TCACTCGACCACAAAGAATCTCGTCCAGTCTCTTTAATTACAATACTGAAAAACACGATTTTATCTCAAAACATTTTTATGATGTTTTATTAAAAACGACAACCAAAAAATATCAGCTTTTTTATTTTTCATATTTTTTATAAGACGGTAATCTTAAAATTGGTCCGAATTGTGATTATATGTACCCATATATTATTATAATGGCAAGCCGTATAACGAATCAAGTTAATAAAAACGTACATTCATATACTTATAAGGCAAAGCTAGCCTTGTTGACGTCCGTTTCTCTCTGTCACACAGATCAATAGCATGCTCTGTCCTTGTCACACTAATAAGCTACAACACATGCGCAAGCTCCACGCACTCATCCACAATGTTTCATTGTGTGCGTACATGCGATGTCAATGTGATGAATAAACAGTTTCTCCGATTTTACGACTCAATGATTATAGATACGTATCTATGCAAAGTTGGTTAATGATTTTGAAATAGTTAAGTGGTCTTGGGAAAGAATTAAAAACAAAACATTCGATTTATTGACGAAACAATTAGACTATTGGTTTAATTTTATCCGTTTTTATCATTGTTATGTATCTCATTTCTACGTCCATAGTACGTAACATAACATAAGACTTAACAAAGACTTCAGCTATTAACGATTACATCAAACGTCGTGAAAGAATAGTATCAAGTGATCTTACACTACAATGTTGACTTACAAACACAATGAAACAGAAAAGTCGCGCAGCAATTTACAGAAACATTCTAATTAACAGGGCGAGCTGCTTCTCGTAATTTCTGAGAATGTTGATGTTAAATAAAATTATAATACATTGATCGATCGATCGAGCCAACTACGTATTTTGTTGCCGCGACAGGAGGCCCCCTATAGCCTTAGCGTACCTAAATCATGACTGAGCAAAAATAATAACGAACATCGCTTTATGGATACCATACCTGTTGACTAAAATAATAGAAGTATCCTTTTACAAAAGTATTTCAAGCAGATCCTTTATGAAACTCATAGAATGATTATAGTTTCGAACATAAAAGCTAAAACCATCGTATAGTAAGTTCAATTCCTGTTTTATCACAGCGTCCACATAAATGACTATAATCTCTTCAGATGCTAAAGTGAGATTGTCACAAACAAACTGGTTTTAAATTAGTTTCGATAAAAATAAACAACGGCCTTTAAATTGAATGTATTTAAAAACGACTTTAGTATTAATTGATCAGTCTTGAATAAGATCGCGTTTAATTATCGGTACAATCACTGTGGACAAAGAGTAAACAACGGGACTGAATGTGGCCGCGACCGACTAAGAGGCTAACCACAAAGGAATCCCCTATCCCAAAAAAAAGTTGCGTATCTCTATGAATATATAACTTCCCTTCCGAGACGACGGTTTATCTTCAACCCTAAAAACAAGTGCCGTAGAATTCGTTTTTATTTATCATTGTGCCCCTACACTCCTCTGATGTTCGATTCCGAACCTTGATGTGAGATAATAAAATCCTATAATGGATTCGCTGTTGTGTAGCTGCGGTCACAAAAAAAGAATGAAATATTTATCTACTTCTGGGTGTGGATATATGTTATTTCCCTTTCGAAAAACATTGACTTTAATATGTTTACAGTAAAAATGACATGTATTATATTTTTAATCATAAATAATCAATCATAAAGTCAATAAATTAAATAAATGTTTGGTCACAAAATGTAAACTACATATTATTATAGCTTATTTTTTACTTTTTATCCTCTTTAGTAACAAATACATTATAATGCGAGTGACGGCATTACTCGATGTAGTCTGAGATACAAACACGTCGAATACACGACATAAGAGTTATAAATATTTTCGATCAATCGATCCACAATGTTCTTTAGTTCGAAAGAAATTTTATCCCCCGTTGAGATTTCTGTCGGACGCGCCGGCTCGTCGGTGCCTAAAGTTACATAGCAACGTGTCAATGTGGGTGTATTGATGTTCGCGTGTGTGTTCGGGTACCTTCAACCTCCATGTGATGGGAAGTGAACCCTTTACGCGGGGAAACCGTTTTTTATTTGCACTCGGACAGCGGCATCAGGTAGAAAGGATGATCGTTAATTTTTAAAGGACACACTGAACTTTGAGTTTAAACAGTGACTATTCAGTATGAGGTGGACAAACCGAGAGTGTTATTTCTGCGTTGTTGTAACATAAACAGCTTTGTACGTATTAACAAAAAAATTGAAATGGATTTATTTTCAGGTGACCTTCAACGGCATAAGAAGTAATATAAAACAACAAACAATCTTTCATACACAAGGACTGTACAATTCATTTATATTTATATTTAAAAATAATATACATAATTCAGTTATCATCGAAGTGCTACGAATCGCCTCGTCGACTCCTCGAACGCGCTACGCCACGGGAGCACACTGATGGTGCGCTCGTTGATGTCTTTTACTAAGAGCTTTTAATATCTTGCGCTTTCACAGGTTTATTGACTTCTCTAGTAGCCAACATTGATAGTACAATGTGCGATAATTTAACTAACGAATGTACATATTACTTACAAAAGTCTCGCCGAATACTGAAGTATATGTTAAATTATTAATTATTTTAAATTTTATGATTATTACTAGTGGTCGTACTAGTTGCCCCAATAATCCCACAGCAACTCTTATTAGGAAAATAGTGACATAAAAATGGTGACTGCACTTGTAAGCAATCTTGATATGAGTAAATTTTTATATCCTTAATTAACTGTTAAAACTTAAAAACAAATTACATTTACAATTTAAGCCGTATTGTGATGCACGCGATATGGCAACTTATATGGAACCAGCTAAAGCCGAAGCCGCCCGATAAAAAGTGTACATAACTGTTATGATTTCCAAAAAAAGCAGTTTACCGGCCAAATAATTACATTAAATAACGATTGGGGCGAGAACCCGAGCGATGGTAAGCTCATCTCGAGGGCTCGCCGCAACGAGCGCGAGCGAGGCAATAAAATAAGGCTGTGGAGGGACGCGGGGGACGCAGCCTGTCGCCTTGCAACCTGCGCCAAAGTATAAGAGGAGGCGATTCTAATAACCAAGCCTTTTATTTAGGAATATTACACGTCCTGAAATGATTTCATCAGAGTTATGCCTTTCCTAGAAATTATACCTTTCGTACATTTCTATCATGTCTTTTGAACTGGTCCCTAATTTTTTATTCAGTACTTAAATGATATTTATTTATTTTCACAACGATTCTTAAGCTCAAAAAATTGCGTATTCGTTTAAAATAACTCCTGATGGGAACGCAAAGAAAAATTCTCATATGGATATATAAAAGAAACGCGCACCGCCTTTGGCGTGTACCGTGATGCAACAAAAAGTCATCATTAAAGTCTTGGAGGCGCGGCGGGTGAGGCTCGCAGCCTCTCGCTCCATCCTAAACGATTCAGCCGAGTTTTTATCACTTACCAATCCATATCGAGCTTATTTATTCATTTTTACTAAGAGCTCTCCAGTTTTAAATTCCCTTATCAGCGTTAAAACTCTCGAAACTATATACACGTGCAATACAAAGATTGAAATTCGATATATATTTCAGAAATTCGATACAAAATGGGATAAGTATATATTATAAATAATAATCCAACGATGACCTATCAAAAAGCCCCACGATTATTAAACTTACGTTCTTATTATTTCATATCAACCAAGAACAATGACGTCATTTGGTTCATTAAAAAAACTACTTCAAGGTGTATCCACATTAGTGTTCATTCGAAAACAAAAATAAAAATAATTTGTGGTCAATTCCATATGCCATTCTCACGCACGATATCTCATGAAATAGATTCCCTCCTATTTTTAAGTCCATTCTCTTAATATATTCCGAGAACAGGTTGTGGAGAGAGATAACATATCTATAATTTATAGATTAGCTCGTAGAAGAGTTGATTATGGTAAGTGATTTTAGTTGGGAGACAGTTACGGACTACGGACAGCCGCTCGAATGCCTTATAGTGTTGAAATAGTGACGTAGCTCGGCTTCAACGTTCCGTAAGCGTTCAGAATCAAGGCTTACGTAACTGGTATAACTTTGTAAAGTTGATTTAAAAATGAATTCGCGTCCTTTTTGATCTAAAACTAAAATAATGTTATGGATTGATGTCATATTTATTGGATGCGCAATATAATACGTATACATTATTTGTGATTTTCAATGATCACCATGACATGTAATAAAATAGACGTTGATTTTTTTAGGTAAATTGTATGCAATTTACGAATTACGTCGCTACGGCGCGTCCGCGTATTATAACTGCATTGTACTAAACTAATATACAGGTGTCGCGTAGGAACTTGTCTGGCCAGCAAACAGACGTAACTAATTTTACTACATGCGCCGCGATGTAGACGAACGTCATGCGATATGAATGACATGCAACCACATGGCGGACGCTTTTTGCGACGGTTACGTTCAACTCGGTTACTGTGTTGTTTAATAACGCCACCGCGAGTTAAACTCTCTAGACAAACACAACAAAAGATTCAGTATTGTTCGCGTTACTTTATTGCATTCGTGCACTTCACAATCATGATTTCGTTAATCAACAGTAAAATTAAATTAGTACGATTCTTTAACTACTGTTTCATGGAGAAAATTGATTACTCTTTTATAAAATATATAACACTTACTGCCTTATAATTTGTGTTGCGTGGCAAACCAATATTAAGGTATCCCAACGAGCTCACAAATATAAGATCATTTATATCTTTTAGAAAATTGTAATTCAACTAAACCAATAAAATAAGAAAACTCGATTTGTGTTAGTTAAGATTGATAGCACTAAAATTCCTAGTTATGGTACAACCAGACAAACACAACGACCCCGCATTAGATGAAATCCGTTCAGCGAACGTGACGATCTTAACTTAACCTTTGACTTTGCCGTGCAAATATTAATATATTAAGACGAGGTACTCCATCCAGCACTGAAGGCTGAGATTAGCTTGTATCATCATTATAATGAGAAGTTAGTGTCGATACAATGGCAATTGGCGAGATCGCAGCATCTCGATGTGGTGTGTCGTGGTCCGCAGTGTGGCTGGGCGGCGCGGGCGCACGGCGCGGACGCGGCTCTCGCGGCAAGTTCAAGGTGAGCGCGTCGCTCCGCCCACACGCGCCGCTCCTAACGCGCACAACCGTTACACTGGAGAACTCGACACTGGACCTCCGACACAAACACCTCATTCTTCCAGCTACACAACACTCACTAATACAAACAATCAATTGTTTCTAACTACCCAAATCTTCACGATCGAGTGCTAACGTTTTAATGAATTAATCATAATGAGGTCTCATTCTGACCGCACGGCGCATGCTCGTCAGATACACACGTACGAACCTTGTAAAGTGGCAATCATTAATTAAATACACTATTATCATTGTTTTACAACGGGATACAAACAAAGTATTTATTTTATATTAAAGATATTTTGATGATGATTATCACAACTATATATTACATCTATTCATACAAATTTACACGTTGACGGAATTTCTATATTCGACTCCAGTGGAATTTCCCACTATCAACGACACCTGGTAACAGTGGCTGCGTGATATTTCCATATCATCTAATAAATGCGAAGCTATAAAATACGATATATGTGTATGGAAATGATCATTTGGATATTTGCTAGTAGGTATTATAATTATCCTCATATAGGATAAAGAATCAACGATTTTGTGGTAGTTTATTATTATCCGTTACTCAAAAGTCAAAAATGACTGTAGCGATTTTGATTCATTTATGTAGACAATCAGTTTTATTTATATTGGTTCACGAACTATAGCATATAAATTAATAAAATAAAGTTTTGAAATGTTGTGTACAATACATACAACATGGTGCCATACCTGGGTATAGTGATGACTTGTCCGAGCTCGTCGACGACGTGGTCAGCCAGTACAAGCACGGTGGGCTGGCCGGGTGCGCCGACCACCACCGATACTCCCCCATCCACCAGCTGACCACCGCTACTGACCAGCTGACCATCATCCAGCTGGCCGCTTATCATCTCTACGCGCTTCTGGTCTGGGGTTGTTGTGTATATCACGGTTTGCTTCTCATCTTCATATATTAAATCTATTGGGGTCTTCTCGTCCATGGACTCCATTCCTTGGTCGTAGACATCAGGCTGCACGGGCACTTTGCTATCTGTAGCGTATGCTGCCAGTTCGTGCGGCGAATGGCGGTAAGAGTGCGCCTCCGGGGGGTAGCCATCATCGGAGTCCATCTCTACTTTGTGCGGGTAGTAGTCGTGCGCAGGCTGCACCGGGGTCATAGTGGCGAGCACAGCGTGTGCAGGCGCGGGCGACCGGGGTGCAGACGAGGGCGACGCGCCGGCCCGGGGGGAGCGCGCGCGCTCCTCGCACGGCGACGCCGACGCGGACATACCGCCGTACCTCGACACGGTAGGCGACGTCTTCGTGAGGGCGGAGGCTCCGAACTGGAGCACCCCGCTCAACACTTGACTCCCCTGACTTCAATTTCTGAAAAACAATCTTTTCGTGAAATCTGTGATAGCCATGAAACGTATCCTAACTACCAGTGAAAGGAACCCGCTTGTCTCAAACATTAGATCGTAAGGGTCAGTTTAATCCGACCAGGTACATAAAACTGTACGGTATAAAAAGATGGGCATGGTAAATGAATTAGTCAAGTGTAGTAGAAAACGTAAACGAAGTAGGTTCGCTACAAAGAGTATCTAACACACCAAGGGCAAGCAGTAACAGCTGATTCAAATCCAGTTAGAAAAGAACGAGTATCAAGTGGCACCTGATCGGCGAGAAGCGCCCGAACTTGTTCAGCAGCCCCCTGCTCCGGCCGGCGCCGTACGAAACGAGACGCACCACCGAACGGTACAAACTGGTAACTATTGTATCCACGTGGTTGTCAAACTCGTCAGTAAACAATTATTTACAAACAAATCAGTTACGCTAAAGATTACACCAGCAGTAATTTTCTGGTTTCGTGGTACTAAGTGCCTTTATTAGATTCACACAAGGCATTTAAATTATTAAAATTAGTAACAAAATGATGAAAACAGAAATATATACGCAGGCAGGATCACACGATTTACAGAACAGCCGAATACACAAAACCTAGCTATCGTTCTCATTTTATAAAAAGACAAAAACACTCGTATTGGTTCAGAAGCTGTACTGAGAGGGATACTGAGTGCTCGGTGCATTGCTACGGAGGCTGAGGCTCGAGAGTGTGAGGGAGACGAAGTTATGTGCAACACATAAGCGTGAAAGTGACCAACACCAGCCTTCTATATAGTATGTATGTACGAGTGTGCATTAAGGAATTTTTCACGATATAAAACTTAGCTCTTTGTCTCTTTATGATAGGTGACTTTTAAATTACATTTGCATAAAGTTTAAAGTACCTATGAAATTCTCATATGTTTCATGACTGCTTTACACATCAGTGTCCAATAAATATATCCTTATTCGTATAGTTACTTAATTAAAAAGCTTTTCTTTTTATTATTGGTAAGTTTACAATAAATGTTTTTACTATGATGCCACATATTTTATTATAAAACCGAACATTTACGCGTTACTACGATATCGATGAGGGATTAGGTTTCAATTATATTTTAGTCATCTTACCAGACGGAGATACTTCTTACAGAGATACTCTAGTTTCTTCTAATGTTTGAAATCTAAAATGATGACTAAAGGAGTCAGTTTGAACAATATAAACAGATAGATCGTAACTAATTTTTAACATTACTTTGTCCATTCGGAAGATTTACTTGGTAGGAGCATTACCTACATCGCTGAACTGAAGGAGGAAAAATAAAATTACAAAAAGGCTCTGCCGCTGAGCCGGGACGTCAAAGTGTGCGCGCACACACATAGACAGATGAAGCTCGCCGAACACGTCGTTACAAGACATAAGCGCACATAATTTACTCACACGTACAAGTGAATCGGTCATGACTGTACGCTAGCGTATAGTATACGAACAGCACACACGTTTATGTTATAGACACAAGTATAGAAAACATTTTAATTAAGTAAGTATGCTTTGAGTCATAAACTCAACTAGCATTTGATTAAATCGAATATGGAAAATGCAAAATATCAAAACAAACAACTGGGCATTGATGAGTTCTTGAAAAACCCTTGAATCAAATGTTATTAATATAAGTTCACTGTAATTTTCACTAGTAATCCTAAGTAAGGAGACAAGCGGGCACGTCATTGCACTGGTACTAAGGTCGGGGGCGGCAGCGGCGTGAGCGTCCTGGCGCAGACCGTCACGCACGCGCGTCAAACTAGTCTCGTGACGTCACGGCCTGCCAGGCGAAATTACAAAACCGGCCGGGCGGCGCAACCAACTGCGCCAGCAAGCAGCGCAGCGCAGTGGCGGACGCGCTGCCGCCCGACCCCGACGCGCCACCGGCGTTTCACATACCGTGGGCGGCGTCACGACGCTGTACGGCGCGGGCCGGTGCGCGGGCGCGGGTACTCGAGCACACGGCGAGCGGCGCTACGGAGCGCGGGCGCAGGTGCTCTGAGCGCAGCAGCCTCCGCACGCCGGCGCCGCCGCCCCCGCGCCTCCCCGCACCGCCCGCGCCGCGCTCTCGCACGCACCAAAACGACGAATTTATCTTCCGTGCCTGCTGGCCCTCCTACTCGAGGACGTTGCCCAGGGTGGCTACTTGAGAGAACTTCACTTCGAATTTTATATCGATACAATTACCGATTTGGGTAATAAGTCCAAGAATACTTATTACCAAAATTTTTATGTTTTTTTTACCTTTAGTAAGACAGTCGGAAAGTGGTAACCGCAGAGTGGATGCAGCGCCGAGGCTGCGGCAGCACCGCCTCGGGCTAGGAAGGCCGCCGCGTCTCGACGACTCGCGACCCGCCTCGAACACGGCGACGTCGGTTACAGCCGTTACAAAATCTGAGACCTACAACGAACGTTATGATTGCCTAACTTTACGCAACTTCCCTTGTATTGAACTTTCCTGCGACGATATATCGACTGAGTGTCGAGCTTACTCACTGGTTTGTGTGATATTCATATAATTGAGCCTTCGGATTGCATAAACCCCGGTCGGTACAAAAGTATACACAATAAACATTTTGTACTACATTGGAAAAGGAAAAATAAACTGCAAGCCAATAACGAAACATATTAGGCACAGTGTTTTCTTGATGTAAATAAATAAAAAAGAAAAATGCATTCAGCATCAGTATTACTACTACACATGCAATTCACTTACCTACTATTTTGTTATTAAATTCCAAATATATATATTGTGAACAAAAATAGTCGTATTATTGTATGGTCATCAAGGCTAAATGTGTAAACAATATCAGATCCAACACTCATCAGGAAGGGGGTAAAGAGGTTCCAATAACAAATTCTTGAAATTGATGAAATCATCATAACGACATCGCGTAAATTAACTTCCCTGCCATTTCTTCATGACTAATATTTGATTCCAATATTTTATATTAAAACTAGCTACCGCTTTGCTCTTATTGGTCGTAGCTTGTAAAATTACATTAAAGAAAAGTCCAGTACCAATTTTCTCTTTTGCTCAGAGACTTCATGAATCACCACATGATTGTCATTCTATTTCCATTCAATTCAATTCTAATATAATCCAATAACTTATTTAACAATAGGACCCGAAATTGAGATATATATCACTTATATCAGTACCTGTATAATAGTCGTAGTTGTAGGATACGGCTTCCAAGTTTTCAGTGGTTTTAAAATTTTCCTGTAACTGTCTCGTTGATCTAGAGCAAGGTATTGAGTATATGCGCACAGAGACTAGATTAGTGCCTGGTATATGGCAATGTACGCCTCTTATTACATAGAACTCATAAAGTAACTAAAAATACTAAAAATAACTGGCGAATAGTGATTTTATATTTGACTAGCGGCCCGTCCCGGCTTCGCACGGGGGGACTTAAGATTTTTTACATAGTTTTACGTTTTATTTATATTTATTCTCAGTTTTTTTTAGCGACCTGCCCTCCGTTGTCGATGTAACCGATTGAACAATTCAAAAGTTATCTAGAGCAAACTTTTATAAGGATTGAACCATTCATTAAAACGATTGTTATGGGTAAACTATAAAAGGTAGACATATGCTCTCGCGGACTTTTTAAAAAATAATGTTAAGATAAACAATTCATCTATAGAACATTTTTGTATAACTTTAACTATATGCTCAGCGCACGCCACGGAAGGCCTCAGAAACGATACTTTTCACCCGTTTTTAAAACATTTTTGGTTACTGCTCCACAACTATATGACCTAGCGTGATATTATATAGCCTATGTTACTTCTGAATAATGCAGCTTTCAAATGGTGAAAAAATTATTGCAATCGGTTCAGTAGTTTTTGAGTTTATTCATTACAAACATACAAAAATACAAATCTTTCCTCTTTATAATATTAGTATAGATTTGTACAACTATCTACCCTGTAGGGATTAAGTCACGATGTAATATTAATTAATTAGGTCGTTCTACTCCACAATAATTTTAGCTCCCTCTCACTCACTCATTCTCAGCAAATAAGTAGTCGCAAATGACTAAATTACAACGAAAAGCCTAACTGAATTAAATGTTTGCTAAGTATAAACGGATTCTGAATTTTCAAAAGGTTTATTCAGTAAAAACGTTTGTAAAGACACTGAAATTTTCAATTTTATATTGTCTAGTATATTTATATACGATCTCCCGCCATCTTTCCCTATGTGGCGCAGGCTACAACTGAATTTCCTGTTGTTTACTACACCCTAATTGACCATAAAATGTAGTAACTAAACAACTTACATTTACCAGTCTATCTTATATCTTTTATCTTTGCGATCAATTTAACCGTAGCTCCCGATAACGTCATCATCAATTTATATTTTGATCGACCCTCTCGAATTCAGTGTGCGTGATATTTCTGCATCTCACAAACACACCTACACACATAATATACATATGTTACTCTAAGCACAAGAATGGTTCCGTACAAATTCAACTCATTGCTTGTGAGATAGGGGCAAACGACATTTTTATGACATTGTTTTGTATAACATTGATTTCATGATTTCACTAAATCAATGTTTTACAATTTTGTAGCTATTGTAATAACAGACCCATGTCTGCCCCTGGGGCACTTGTCCCAGATCACCTGTTGGTAAGCAATCAGTATAACGCTCATGGATAATCTGGTTACATTGCCTTACTGACCCTTTAGAAGCGAAGGACTGGGCCTAAGCAATAATGAAATACCTCATAAATAACCGACTATTTTTTTATGTACGAGTAGTGACCAGTATACAACACAAAATGTGAAAATGTTACCTTTACCTAGCCTTATTACTTTAATATACTATATGAGTGTTGATTTAAAAAAAAACGTTTACTTGCTCTTAGACGATTAATTTACTATAAACTCCAATTTGTTGTACAAATGTACAGGCACACAACGTAGTATTGTCAAGTATTGTAAGCGAAATGAAGTAACCCAATGCTCTGATTTCACAAACCGATACTGAAGTACATACCTACTCGGGTGGACATGTTGGATACTTTAAACATCAATGTCACTGACATGAAGCAATTACTACATCGTCTGGAAAATAAATATTTATTTTTCTTAAAATATTGTTGCCTACTACCACTGTAGCCAATCCTTAACCCAAGTTAGTGTAGCGCTCATGCCAACGCAAAAATTGAGTACTTTCTTCCAATTACCTAGTCAAATACAATACTTAATTGGAACCAACTCAATAATAACTGATCTTAATAGATTAATAATAGTTTATTGCCATTTTATGTTCATCATCATAATATCAGCCAAAAGATGTCTACTGAATATGGTCTGATCTCTCCGAATGACTAGACTTCTAGATCGGCCCACTGGCCGATTCCATTGAAGCGAATTGCATCCAGCACAACATTACGAAGGAATATATTTTACATAAGAAAGAAAAACTTTTTTCAACATCAGGAACATTACTTACTAAGATAAAGTAGCTGCTTTCATAATCTATTTGAATTAATTAATTAACAATTTACTTAAATGTATGTACATGATGTTGTTCATAAGTATTAAGTGATAGAATCTTAATTTGGATCTCGAACAGTGTAGCGACCTACACAAGACCACGGATACTTATTTAACTTCCAAGAATTGTTTAAATGAGCGGTGAAAGCTACACAAAACAGGTGTGTAACACATTACGTTGGACAGGGTAGATGCAGTACCATTTTACGAAAGTTCGATATAATACCATGCTGTTATAAATAACATCATGAAATCATTTAAAATACGTTAATTTAATATTATTATTTGTATCAAATTGAGTTGATCTTACAAGTCACTAATTTTAAACTATAAATCAATGGTTTTATTACAGTGGCTATAATTTATTAGTCTGAACACCTCTACTTCAGTTACTTTTAAATTTAATCACTACTATGTTAATTCAATTTAATTTCTACATGTTATCGCCGTGCTCAGAATTCAAAATACATAACATCACCCAATTTAATCTCAGAAAGGGTAGGAAAAATTGAGTACCAACCATTTATCATTTCATACGGAGAGACTCGCTATTAGATCGACTAAGAAGGTACCCTACATTATCTAATTCTTCGTCATTATTAACTGGCTGTTTCCGGCGGCTTTGCAAGCGTGGAAGTTAATTATACAACAAATTTTCAAGTGTTAAAAATTAAAAAATATCCTGAAATCCATATTTATTATAATTACCGTATAGAATAGTCGTTTTGTTCTTCTTCTCTGGTTATAATTAACAAAGTTTTGTATTTTAAATCACTAACCTAAATACAAAACGTTTTTCATTTTACTTTCATAATGACGGACTTTCATAGAAACTATCAAACCCACCCTATTTGAACCCCTTAGCCCTTAGGGATGGATTTTTTCCTCAACTCCTCCTATTTTACTAGGTGCCTACATAACAAAGTCAAATTTCAGACTCTCCTAGAGTCTGAATTTCATATTTGTAGCATTGATAGTTCGCGCTCGGCGATGATGAATCAATCAGTAAGTCAGTCTGAACTGACTCTGACTGAAGATAAAAAATACTAAACTACTGTAAATCTTTAAAACTTGGCCTCCCACAGTTAGAATAAACACGGTATCTCCTACAATAACATATAAAATCCACACATATAATAAAATCGTAGGAAAGTGAAAACTGTACATTGAATATTGTTCTAAAAAAATGCTTGAGGCGTAATCTACAATACATATCGAAGCCAAAAAATTGGTTTTTAGAATTTTTGTTTGTTTGTCTGTATGTCCGAGTTAAACTCAAAAAGGATTTACACAGTACGTACTTCACATTTTGCAAGAATATTACTAACAGGTCAGTTCAATATATAGGCCACATATGCTCGGGGTTTCTTTGCGCGACAAAGTCCGAAATATGGAGATTCGCCAAAGAACAAGAGTTACCGACATAGCTCGCAAAATCTGCAGACTGAAGTGGCAATGGGCAGGCCACGTCGCTCGAAGGACTGACGGCAGATGGGCCAGGAAAGTCCTTGAGTGGAGACCACGGACCGGAAGACGAAGCGTGGGCAGACCTCCCGCTAGGTGGACCGACGACATCGCCAGAGTTGCGGGGAGCCGGTGGATGCGGGTGGCGAGTTGTCGTTCGACGTGGAGGGCTAAGGGGGAGGCCTTTGTCCAGCAGTGGACGTCTTCCGGCTGTTGATGATGATGATGATGAACTATCCTCAAAATCCTAACCCCCCAAAAGGCCGGCAACACAGTTGTAACGCCTTTGGTGTTTTGGGCATCCACGGGCTGTGTCGATTGCTTAAGGAGGCCGTACACGCTAGGTTATGCATGATGGTTATAACTGTGCATGCAAAACCGACAAACATAACCGAGCACCGATGCACGGCTAAAACCATTATGCAAAACCTAGCGTGTATGGCCTCCTTTACCATCAGGTCTGCTCGTTTATCGGCTTGTACCATAAAAAAATAAAACGTAAAACGTGCCGTGTGCCCTTAGTGTTAAGTTTTAAATTCAGAAAAAGTATTTATTGGTCAGAAAAAAACTATTTTTTAATTATTTGTTTTTAACTTTGAACTCAAGGACGTTGAAAACGGGTTTGGTCTGAAACTTTACAAAAACAATTTTAAAGTGTTGCCTATTAAAAAATACTTTGTAAACGTCAACATGGTATGAAACGTCGGCGTGTGACGTGTCGTAGAACCAACTTGCTTTGTTTTGATTGGTTGAAACACTAAGGTCAAGAAATCGTTTTCGTTTCATTTTCTATCTCTTTCTTTCCGTGCCCACCAAAAAGCCGTCGAGTGCGGTTTTTACATCTGTTGATAACTTCAGATTCTGATTCATCAGTTTTGTGAAATATTTAATATATTTGGACCTTAATTGTTGTAACATATCAACAAGTAAGTTTTTGTCATTACTCTTTCATGTTTTAAAGTATTGCAGACTATTATAACCTAAAAATGTTGTCGAATTTTGAAACTTTCATCTGCCGCCTCAATCTGCCAACGAGAATTTATATAACCTTTTCAATATCTCTTAGCTGTCACGTTAGATATATAGAAATAAATAAAATATTTATTAATTACTCATGTGAAAGTGCTCGTAATATTATTCGTTGAACCTAATTGCCATGAAAAACTCATAACCTGCGTCCATTAGTTTTTGGCATTACGAAGAACCCTAAGTTAAAATTATCGTATTTTTTATTTATTTTAATTTTTTGTATTTTATGAATAATACAGAATGTTAAAATCCACAGCCATTTTAAAGTTTTCAATCTTAAAAATCCTAGGTATATGAAACTCGTTCGAAATATTGTCATCCTACAATATTTAATGTGAATTAAAGGTAACTTACAAAAATAATAATAATGTTATGTTTTCAGAATGTCGAACTTAGTACATGAAAAAGTTTGGTTGGACAAAAACATCTATGGTGATGCTGAAAGAAATTACTATGAGTCTTTGTCAAAGGTGTGTATATGAATATCAAGTAGTTCAGAAAAATATCAAATGTAATATCTAATTTTTTATATCATTGTACCACCGAAACCAGTATAAAATATTATTATGTTAAAACTTTGTAGGTCCAAGCTACTCCACTTTCAGTAGCTCGATCTTCTTTGGCCAGCGAAGTTGCTAAAGCTAGACAACATATCAAAGAATCATTAGAATGTGTGAGTAAACTATATTTGATTAAAATTCACACATTTTTTACTCGAAAGTTGATGTGTTTTTATTTTGAGTTTATTTCCTCAAATAATTTCAGTTCAAGTAGTTATTTATAGCTGTACATGTGTAGCTATGTATTTGTGCTTAAAAACCTGCATAAAATAGCAAAACCTTATATGTATAAATTAAATTAGAAGATATTTAAAATTACAGATGGACAGTGTCGCCACCTTAGCAGGAGTTCCTAACACAGAGTTGACTACCAAAGTCAACAGTCTAGAGAAAGAAAACAGTGATCTGAAGAAGGCTATCAATGATTTGCGCAACCTTGTCATTAGCCTTCAGGCTCGAGTTGAAACACTGGAATCAACAGGTGGTGCTAAAACTCAACCTGCCAAAGTAAGTTAATTAACAGAAAAAAAAATATGAAAAATTTATGTCAATATGATTTAGATAAACTATAACCCTAAATATTTCTCTCAGGCACCAGCACCTACCCCAGCAGCACCAGCTAAAGCACAAGATGACGATGATGATGATGGAGTTGACCTTTTTGGCTCTGATGATGAAGAAGAGAGTGCAGAAGCTGCAAGAATAAGAGAGGAACGTCTTGCAGCATACAATGCCAAAAAAGCTAAAAGTTAGTAGTGATAAATTAAAACAAAATATGTTTGGAAACAATTATCTTGAGTGCATTTATTACTTAGTAGAACTGACATCTAATTGTGTCTATTATTATTTCAGAGCCAGTTCTTATTGCCAAATCTAATATCATATTAGATGTAAAACCATGGGATGATGAAACTGATATGGCTGCTATGGAGAAAGCTGTAAGAGATATTGCCACTGACGGTCTTTTGTGGGGAGCAGCTAAACTTGTACCACTGGCATATGGAATCCACAAGCTACAAATATCTTGCGTTGTTGAGGATGACAAAGTTTCCATTGATTGGTTAACTGAAGAGATTGAGAAAATTGAAGACTTTGTAAGTTCAATGGTTATTTGTCAAAAATATTACATTTTTTGTGTTATGTTAAAATATCTTTTTAAGAAACAATTTTTTTTACAGGTTCAAAGCGTGGATATTGCAGCTTTTAATAAAGTGTAAAACTTGAAAAGACACAGAAATTTAAAATTGAACTGATGGAATAAATGTGCCTTTTTAAAAAAATCTGTTTGAATTTATGCATAAACTAAAACCCCAGAAGACTAGTTTTACCTGTTGTGATGATGACTACAATTCTACCTAGTAAAATCGAATAGTATAAACCTGGAATTATACCGCTATCTTAAATGTTTTTTGTTAAATTATTGTTGATAAATTAATTACAATTCACTTCAGTAAATCATTGCTTTTTTTCTTTCATTATTTAAATTGTTAACTTCAGCAATTTGATAATCCCCACGAATATTGAAAGTTAGTTCTGCGACTTTCAGTGTTCAAAATTTGCTAAACCCATATTATACATAAGTATTATATACTTTAATCTACTATATAAAAATAAGTCGGGATGACGCACGAGCCGATTTCCACGGTTTGGCATTCGTTAGGAAGATCTTGGGGTCCGTGAGGTTTATAGCAAAGAATATCAATTTTAATCAGTCACCAAACGGAATGTTACGTAAAACGAAGCCATCTGGTGGCGAAACGGAGTTTGCCACTAAGAATGCGCTAATCTCAAGAAGCTATAGTGCTTCGATTTAGAAAAATCGTTTTGTGTCGGATATTCTTATCTGTCGAGAAAAATTCCAGACAGGCTTACAACAACGCTACAATCAACAGGAGCAGGTGACACCGTGCGGGAGTAGCGAGTTCCCCTGGTACCCCTAAACTTATACTCTTTTCTAGCTAGTAACTCATAATTATATAAAAACCGCCAAGCCTTCACCGGGAAGTTCAAGACTAGCACACCTTTGCGTGCAATAAAACGCTTCTACTCAGAATGAAAAAAAAACCTCGGGGAAAAAAAATTATTAATTTTCAAGTTTAGCAAGGATTCACACTAGAAATCCATGTAGACGTATTTTCCGATAATAATAACATTGGAGAAAAGTATTTATTAATAATTATTAAATCTTTACTATTAGTATTTCGTTACGAAGTTTAATCGTAATCACACGGGTACAATCTGATACTTTTCATGACTTTTATTAAGAACGGTAACTCGGTTAGAATCATGTTAGAGTCTGCTTATTGTCGCGGAGAACCTAACGGGTAACCGGGGCTCCGGCTCGACGTGCAGGAGAAGGAACGGGGTGGTTTTTAGTCAGTAAGAGTCTGACACTCCCTTCCGCCTCACCCAGGCGGGAGCAGTCATTCGATGATTTTCCCCCCTTAAAAAAAAAAAAAAAAAAAGAGTCTGCTTATTAGCAATGGTTTAATGTTACCGACTAAAGTTCTATCATTATTTATTCCCATACCACAACAATACATTTCCATTAATAAATTAACTTTTTAATGGTTACAACACTGAACATTTATTTGTTATGTCATTGTCAATGTCAATTTGTTATTCGTGATTGAAGTGAGTACTGTCATTAGCAGATAGCACGTTGTGTTGTGCTCCTATATACTTATTATACTCTTTGGTTGTGCTTAGCAAAGAAATCGTATTATGACATATTGTTATAACATTTAAAAACATGAATTGCAAAAAATGTGATTCTCCTAAGACTGTGATTTTGAGAAAAAAGGATTATTATTGTGATAATTGTTTTATGTTAAACACTAATCATAAGTTCCGTGCATGTCTAGGAAAAAATAAGGTGTTAACTCCGAATGAAAATGTAATGATTGGACTCTCAGGGGGTGTGGGCTCTACAGTTTTGTTAGATTTAGTCCATCATGCTATATCTTTAGAAAACACTAAAAAACTACGGATAACTCCATTCTTTATACATTTATATGGTAAGATTTTAAGAACTGGTACTTTTTCAATACACGACATCAGCATCATCTTTCATTTTACAATGTTTGAATTCAGCAACTTAATTATTATGGTTTTTGTCTTACTGACGTACTGACGAGGAAACTCGTCTAGTTACAAGCCCCATTAGAGCAAACATTGAAGGAAACTGATTTCCTCATCCAACAGTGATGCAATTAAGCTGAAAATTATATTAATTAATTCAGTATGCATCACTAAAAGTTACATTAAAAGTCTTATAATTTTTGGAGATTTTCAAATACATCCACACATAATAAAAAGTGTAAGAGTATTTAAAATCAAGACAGAATAATAATAACATAATACATATTGTTTTGTTGGTATTTATAGTAATTATAATAGGGTGTACCCTATACTTATTTATACTTCTCTTTCATTCCAGATGATGATTGCAGATGCTTGGCAGAATCTCTAATCAAACAATGTGAGAAGTATAATTTTGATGTTTATGTGGTACACCTTGCTGTGTATATGAATTCTAATTATGAATTACCTCAAGCAAACACTTTACAAGATTTTAGTGAAGAAAATGAAAGGCAAGTCTTTAAGGATATGATGAACAGCATGCCCTCATCAGCAGCTAATGATTTTTTACTCAAAATTAAACGCAATCTCTTAGTTGAGTTTGCAAAGAAATTGAACTGCAGTGTTATTTTCACAGCAGAAACTACAAACACTTTAGCAGTTAACTTATTATCTAATTTGGCTATTGGCAGAGGATCACAAGTTCAATATGACATTGTAAGTATGTTTCCTTGTGTAAAATATAAAATTATCCATCAGTTACAATAACAAAAACCTAAACTGAAATTGAAACAGGCTCTGAAAAAGTAATTTATACTAAGCTAAGGGCCAATTTTTCCAATGCCAGATGAATTTAAACTAAGGAATAACTTTCAATATTTTACAATTCTTCCATACTAAAAACTGTCATATGTCAATTTTATTCTACAGTTAAGACATAACTGATAATTGAAAAATGGGCTCTAAGAAAATATGTTATTATTCTGTGGTCATAGATTAGAGAATGATAAGTGCATTTTTGCTCAAAGTGACTCATTCAAATGCTTCAATGCAACTAATGCTCAAAAATTCTCAGTCATTTATAATTGGTTTACCTGTTAAGTAATGAAATTTAGTTATCAGATTCTATATAGCAAGCCTAGTGCGAGCTTGTATTTATGTTAACATGATCATAATAATAATGGTATAAATATGCTTACTCACCAATACTACAATGGGAGCATTATCATAACTGGTTAAGAACTGTAAGAATTATGTACTTAGGTAGTTTTATTATAAATTTGCAACAATTTTAATAATAATAAAAAATGAATTTATACTTTTTAGGGATTTTGCGATAATCGCGATGACAAAGTGAAAATCATAAGACCCATAAAAGACATCAGCAATGAAGAATTGAATCACTATATCTCAATAAAGCAGTTGACTCCAGTAAATGACAGTCATATCAAAAGTAATAGCTTACAGTCAGTAATCTCTTCATTTGTATCTGAACTTCAAGATAACTTTCAAGCCACAATATCTACAGTTTGCAAAACAGCTGATAAAATTGGAGACCAGAAGGAATCTAATACACATGAGAAATGCTTAATATGTGAGGTAAGAAACATTTGCATTTGTACACAGATAGTGTGGACAGACCATAATATAATAAAATAAATGATACATATAGCAAATTATTCAGTAAAATTGTTGAGGTCTATGAGATGAGAATAAATGTTAAAAAAAATGTATATTTTCAAAAGAAGTTTTTTTTTTCAGAGTGATCTTGATGTAAAAAACATGAAACTATCAGCATTTGAAGCAACAAATGTTTCGAGAATGGTTTCCCTTGAAAATAATCAGTCTTATCCAACTTTCGAAAAGACGCCTGATATCATACATCGTCTGGAAAATAATAACAACACTTCAGTTTTCCCACTAATCAATAAATATCTTTGTTATGGTTGCAGCAGGAACCATTCAGAAATGAATATACATAAATTACCAAATCAATTACAAAAAGCTTTAAGTGCAGAATAGTTAAAGAATATTTAATGTGTGAATGTGATGTACTTGGTAACATTATATCAAAGTTGATTTAAATTAGTGTGATGATTATTTTATGTATAAGGTCTAATATATTTTTATCATAACATAATTTTGTATTATTTTATTCCTAGTGTGGAGGTGAAACTACGTGGATATAGTATAGTTGGATACTTTTGTATTTGTAATATTTACCAAAAACAGTCTGTAAGAAACTAGCCAAGTCTCGATGGAGCTGCTCGTTTATCTGTAAAAAGCAATAAAATGAAGACGAAAGCACGACTTGCCACGGCAAGTCTAAGGTTCTTTACTGCGATTTCTTTATTATTATATTTAATGTTGTGTGACTTGGCCGTTGTACCGCTACCCATTGAAGATGGAAAGTTGCCACTAGGAAAAAATTGATTGCATAAACAGCCAAGCAGCGGTTCTAGCGACAGATTGGTGCAAAGGTGTCACCGGGTTTTTTTTTTAATTAAAACGTTGCCCCACACTAGGATTATCTCCTGTGTCGTGGGTGCGTTTACAAACATACAAGTTCACATACACATGACACCCAGACCCGAAACAACAATTTGTGGATCACACAATGTGTTGTTCCGTGCGGGAATCGAACCCGCGACACGTTGCACGGCAGCCAGTTGCCCAGCCACCGCACCAACCGTGCAGTCTTTTGCACATTTGTGTAACTTTCAAGTGTGGGAGAGCCTTGCTTCGGCACGAATGGGCCGGCTCGACCGGAGCGATACCACGGCCTCGCAGAAAACCGACGTGAAGCAACGCTTGCATTGTATTTCGTCGTGAGAAAGGATGGTAACGCACTTATAACGCCTCTGGTGTTCCAGGTGCCTACATAGGCAACGCTGATTGCTTACCATCAGGGGTTCCGCCTGCTCGTTTACGGCTTATACCATAAAAAAATGGAACCTTAGACTTGGCACGACTTTGCCTAGATCTCATTACTTTTTAGAGATGAACGAGGGGCTGCATCGAAACCTGGCTAGTTTTTTTACAGAATGTTTTTGGTTGGATTTCACATCTTTTTGTAGAAACTTGGGCAAATTATTCTGGGAAAAGTTTGCAATGACAGTCAGATTTTAATGTACAAATCGTAGAAGGGGGCACTACCATATCTTTAAAACAGCTGAGACCTGCTGATAGTTTTTCATCGGATTTCAGGCCATTCAGACCTTTGATTTTTGGCATCAAATGAAGCGGCCCACCAAGTTGAATATTTTTTGTAAAGGCAGTAACATGTCAGTCCCTAATAGTTTGGTTGGGCTCTTGTGGTTTCTAACCAAGGTCACCAGGTACTCCAGATCTCCGATTATCCTAGTTTTTATAGTTCTCCCTTTATGTGGCCATTAAACAATAACTCTCCGCGGTGAACCTAACGGGTTACTGGAGCTCCGGCACGAAGTGCAGGAGTAGTCCTGCAGTGCAGGAAAGGGGTGGTTTTTAGTCAGTAAGAGTCTGACACTCCCTCCCGCTTCACCCAGGCGAGAGAAGTCATTCGATGATTTTTCCCTCCTTATAATAAAAAAAAAACTAACTCTGTACACTGTTCCAAATTTCAGCTATCTGAGTTTACGTGAAGTACCAGTTCTATTTTATCATCATGAGTGAATGAGTGTGTCATAAATGCGAAACTTTGCTGTCGCATAACTTTGAAACTAAATGACCTACAGACTTAAAATTTCGGATTATAAGGATGATATGATTGTAGCTTACTGGATGATAAAAATTTCTGCGTTCTAGTCTTATCAAGAGGTTCTCAATTAGGGGTCTGAAAATGCAGCGAAATAGTTCCAGTCAAGGAGAGTACGGCAGGGTTTGCTTCGCGCTCGACTTGGCGAGGGCACTGCCGTGCCCCCAGATCTAACGAGTCCCATGAGGAGTCTATTGTTGTCGTACTGCTGTTCGCAATTTCAAACTTTGACTACATAGTTGGTGCGGTGCACAATTCCTGCACGAAACAGCCACAAATTGTTGTTTCTGGTCTGGGCGTCATGTGTATGTGAAATTGTATTTACAAACATACAACGCACCCACGACACAGGAGAAAATCCTAGTGTGGAGCAAAGTTTAAAAAACAATATTGTATTAGAGAGAATTTATTTCGAAGGCTCTCAGTAATTGGTGTGACCCACAAAAATCTATTGATAAATCTGGAGACCAACCAAAGAATCGAAACTCCCACTTCCAAATTTCCGAGCTCTATCAAGTTATCAACAACTAGGTAACCAAATACCTACCTATAATTTAGGTAATCAATTTTTTATATTATATTAACGTCCATATTTTAAAAATTTACGTTGTTTGTGAGCTATTTAAGCCATAATTGGATAATCGCAGAAGAAATTAATTTTTGGAACTACCTAGAACATTCTTTTGTTAGCTGTATAATAAATAAATCCAAATAAATATGACATTGATCACATTGTTTGTATAAATAAAATCCAAATTTAGTTAAAATACATACCTATACCTACCATTACATAAATATTGTAGGTGTGTCCATTCACAGTTTAGAACAGCGCCATCTAGAGATTAATGTCCACATAATAGAAGCAGCCGATTTTTCGTGATTTTATAATAACAAAATTCTTTAACTCCAAATAAGAAAAACATAAATTATACTTATATTGCTTTCAAATAATAATAGGGTGATACACAATATTGACGGTTTCCTAAAACTACAAATGACACGAAAGAAGCATCATTCATCATATCATCATTCATGGGCAGCCTAAGCATTTCTCAATTAATTTTTATATCAAAAGATCTGTTTACACTAAGGTATAATAAGGTATATGAAAACTGGTTTTTACTAAAGTCATTCAAGTTGAACTTAACTCTGCTAATCAAACAGTGCATACTGTATGCACCACATCATCAATACTTGAAAAAATGTGAACTCTGAAAACTCTCAGACAGCAATAAATTTTGTTACAATTTAGTGTAATCCCAATTTTTGATCAATAAGCACAGAAACTGCAACATAGATACTATTTATGTTGCTCCATTTTTATTTTAAGTCATTTAGCACTCGATTAAGTAGTTGATCTATTCAATGCAGGCTATTAGCCATCATATGCTTTATGTAGATTGTAGTGCAACAGATACCATATACTCAGTTAAGCACTCAGCTCATAGGAGCAGAAAAGACTTTTCTATTGCTAACATTTTTATAAATCCGGGATCTCATTGATTACATTTTTTCTAGCTTTAACACCGCCGAAATAACTAATCTATGAGGATGTGATGTTTTTGATCTTTGACCATAAATAATCCAAAACATTTCCAGGCAAAGTTAGTATTGTTTATTCAGAAAATTTTATGCAACAACTTGGAGTTATCACACTATAAAATAAATTATACTCAATGAGGCTCACCTTCCAATTGAAGATACGATTTGATTTTCTATTTATAATATTTATGAGGACAGCTAACATAACTTATTAAAAATATACTAATAGAAAACAATGTTTAAATCCGACAATATCTATTAATGTTAGAATTAGCTGGTTTCTTTTATAAAATACGTAATAAAAGAAAACGATTAATTAATCATCTTAAAATTTTGTATTTATATCACACATATCTACATTTTACTTCTATTACATAAATACAAAATTTTAATAAGTAAGAGTACCAACGAAAAGCTGCTAACCAGTATTTGCAAATGGTATGCAGGTGTTACCAATATATTATACAAGTAATTACAATATCAATACCATAGGTTAATAAATGCAAAAGATCAAGTGCAATGAAACTCGATGCATTTTCTCATTTTCAATAATTAATTACTATCGAATTTCATATAAAAATGGATGTTCCAGATTTTACTTTGACAATTTGAACCCCTCCCACCACAAAATACCTACTCAGCTTGAGTACACGAGCACTTTCACAAATGTATGTCAGCAGTTTATACCGAGATAAAAACACTTTAAAACAATGAATAAACCAGATTTACTAATATTAAACACTAAATTATATTGTCTTTCCAAATTATTCCATTTATCAAGCATTGGAATTACATCAGTGTTTGTTAAACAGAATTGGTGTCCTTCACTGTCCCTGTGCATGTATTTACACCATCAGTGGCCTCTTGTTGGTGTTATTTTTACAGTGTTTTCTTCCGGAATCTTGTACAAGTATATCATATCAATACATTATAAAGAGAATTTATCATCTCTTTTTAACAATTATTCTGTAGTACTTATTGGTCCTTGCAATGCATTAGGAGTTGGAGAATTGGAAGAAACCATTCGTCCTTGCTCCTTCACAATTGGATCTGAAAAAAAGATATAAGTACAATGTGTGTAGTAAAGATTGTAAACAGCTATTTGCAGCAAGTTATTAAATTCAAATAATGTGTTTTGTGTTAATAATTAAGTAGTTAACTTTCATTTTACTTAAATAGTTTAAATGACTGCCTCATTGGCCGAGTGGTCACAAGTGTGACTGCCGGGCAAGGGGTCTCGGGTTCGATTCCCGGTTCGGACAATGTATTACAGGGTTTTTAAAAATTCTCAGTAGTAGCACGGAGTCTGGAATTGTGCCCGGTATATGGCAATAGGGTCACCCCCTATTACATGGGACTCATAATATAAATAGTGAAAAGTGGGTGTTACATTGTACTGTGGTATAATGTACACCTCTGCCTACCCCTACGGGGATAAAAGGCGTGATGTTATGTTATGTTTAGTTTAAATGGATACACAAAAACAACTACATTCAAGTTTATAGACTGGTGGAATGCCTTTGTAACAAAATGGTGTAACAAATATACTGCCTCTTAATATGAAGTACACAATTTACAGCAACATTATAAACATCAACAAAATTTCCTATAATATAGTAAGTATGTCAAAATAAAAGTAAAAAACTTACAGAAGTAAGGATGATCCATTGCCTCACGAGCAGTATATCTCTCATAATGATCATAGCGTAGAAGGCGATCTAGAAAATCTAATGCTTCAGGAGATACCAAGTGTTGATTTTCAGAGTGGACAAAACGCTCCCATCGTTTACGAGAATGCCTTGAAGAAAAATATCAATAAGTATAATTATGATACCAACACACATTACCTAAAAGCAAATAGACATGACTACATACCTGCCAAGTATATCATTAAACCGAGGATCCAATTCTATATGATATTTATCCAAATATTCAAATAGCTCTTCAGTGCCCAGCACTTTAGCAATACGCACAAGCTGATCATAATTGTCATGGCCATGGAAAAATGGCTCTTTGCGGAAAATCATTGATGCTAACATGCATCCTAGTGACCACATGTCCAAAGAATAATCATACATTTGATAATCCACCAAGAGCTCTGGACCCTACAAAATATTAAAATACCACATCAGTATAAATATAGTTTCAATTTTATTATATTAAATTGATGGTGATTAATGATAACAACTGGTCAACCATTAAGTAGTCATTTAATTGACAACATATTTGAACAAATGTATGCAATTAAATTAAAATAATGAAAATGTGGATACCTTAAAATATCTAGAAGCCACTCGAACATTATAGTCTTGACCAGGGTGGTAGAACTCAGCTAATCCCCAGTCAATAAGACGCAACTTTCTGTGATCATGGTCGATCATCACATTGTGTGGCTTCACATCTCTATGCATGATGCCCATACTGTGGCAATAATCTAATGCCTTCAGCAGTTCATACAAATAATATCTGTAACAAAGTAAACATTAGTGCTAAAATTATATAACTTGAATTTGGTATTCATGTAGTATTTTTAATTAACCATTTAGTGTTTTTAAACAAAGTAATCAAAAAAATTATGGTTTTACCTTATATCATAATCTGACAGTGTTTGATACAGCTGTTTAAAATCAGTGTTGTTGACATGTTCAAAAATGAGTGCTGGAGTACGAGAAACAGGATCTTTGACTACAGCTTGTAAAGTAATTATATTTGTGCCTCCTCTTAAGTTTTCTAATATTTTTATTTCTCTTTTTATCTTCTTCTTTTTAACAGGCTGAAATAAAATGTTGTAATTAGATAACACTATAATTTCTTAGGAAGAGCATAGTAGGGCATCTTCATTAGATTATGCATATAATGTAAACAATGATGAACAAGGCTTCTATGGCTTTAGTAAGTAATATTGCGACTCACCTTCAATATTTTAACTACACACTTCTCGTTATTTGTAATATTTATTGCCTCGAACACTTCACTGTATTTTCCACGCCCAAGCTTACGCACCAACTGGTAGTCTTCCTGGTTGCCCCAGTCAACCACATAGCTTTCATAGTCCCAGTATTCTCTCGGACGTTGTGAGTTGACATCGGCATATACCCTCGCTCTACTTGGTACTGCCATCGTCATATGCCTTCGCCAATTTAAGCTTTTATCTGCGATAGTCTTTCCGGAAATCGCGTATGTCTTGAATAATGATACTGCGAATAAATATTTTCTACGTCACTTTCAAACATTCATGTCGGTGAAGAACTCCAGTTAATTGCAATGTGTTCATGCATAATGATTCGACCAGACGAATCGAATCATAGGCGGTTATGATTACAAGTCACTATTCAATTAAAGTATTGTGATGTATAACCTAAAAACGACATCCAGCTACGATTACTGTCCAACTAACAAAATTATTGAAGCACGTTTTTCAATATTGAAGACATTTACACAAATATAGAACACACGAGTTATTTGTTACTATTCATAGGATCTGACGACATAGAATAAAATATGAAAGTGTCTTCAAAGAGAAAAACGCACGCCATTACTCGTCAAACGATTAAATGTTTTAGCAGACGTTCATACCTAAAACATAACTGCAGTTAATCCTATTTTAAACAATAAATAGTTTCGGCATACATAAAACTTCTTGAAATCTAACGATTAATATGAACTCCAAGCTACAAAATACACTTTTATTAGAACTAAACCGGCTCAAACCCAGTAAAATTTCAAGATGGACGCCCACCTATCCACTACTTTACAAAATTACTACCTACCCTACCAGTACTACCAGCATCATTATAATTACCAATGTTGCCACGTATTTTTATATTCACAACCAAACGAAGTTTAATAATGGTCTGAACTACTACACTATATTACTCGTAGTTCACTATTCACTATTGACATAATTATAATTAAAGCATATTTTTCATAAAATACTTTTTATAATTATTATTGGAATAAAAATAAAACTTTAAAGGTTACAAAAATAACTAAATCCGTATTATTAGTAGGTTGTTTCTTTTGTCCAGAAATATCTAGTTTAGACGTGGCACTATGGCACAAAAATTGCATTCTATATAAATTATGCTGCATAACAAGGACGTTAAAATTACTGACTGTTCAGCAATTAGTCATATAGTAATTGATAATCTACTAAATTATTATCATAATTCAATAATTTTAATTTAAACTTTGATAAATGAAAATTTTCCAATAAAAATATCATCATTATGACCTTTCACCATTATTATCTCATCATTATGTTCTACAAATTTAATTATTATGAAACGGAATCAGCGTATTGATCAAGTGAAATACTAATTATTTCTAAATATATTTATATATAAAATATTTTGATATATAAATATATTTAGAAATACATCACACATAGCTTGCAATCCACAACTGGCATACAAGCTACACCCACACAAAATTCAGAACCACACACAGACAGTGTCATTAGTCAAGTAGTCAGCAGAAGAGGAAGAAGGAGATTTAGAAACTAATTTAGAAGGGGGCTATGAGCATTGTTTTTCCTGCGGGTCGCGGGACGCGGTGCCCATTTTCACCAGGTCAACCCCGAGAAGGAGAAATCTCCAACATTTTAGAAATAAAATATATTTAGTAATATGGGTAACGGCATCTTTCACTTTTACTGACTAGAAAGATTGCCACTCGTTCGTGCTTTTATAAATCTCTTTTTTTTCCATGTATTTTAAAATACATACATACACTTACATACACTTACTACATACTAGCGCCACTTACAAAATGCGTTTCATTTTGGTCCAAATCTCTGTCCTAGTTTGATCCCTAAAAATGTTCTGCTTATCTCAAATTTTATACATGCTTAATATTAATGAAATAAATGTTCATGAACATTTTATTGCAATCGAGCGATTTTATTCGCCACTTGTAAAAATAGCAGTCCCACAAAAACAAATATTGCTTTTCATTTCAATAAGACATTTTCTTTAAAATATATATAAGAATCAAATTTAAATATGTACAGAAAGACTCACAAGAGAGTTTCATCAATGAGTAGAAATAAGTATAGAGGAGTCTCATTGAGACATTTTTTATGGAACAGTGATACTTTTTTATTGTTCTCGAGTATCAATATTATTTTATTCGTACTGTAGGGGTTGCTGTGTGCACAACAGTGGCGACCTCACATAATTACATCATTAAATAGACAGACTGTAGGTATATTCACTTCGTATTAACATTATGAAAGAGATTTAAATAAAAGCCAAAATAGGTGAGGATTGTTTTATGAAAGTCCGTCCAAGTTTTGTATTTCAGATTTTCGGTTATTGCCACAAAACAAATAAATAGATAGTATATTTTATAGGATTTTTGGAAATTTTCCTTATGAAGGACGAAATAGGGGTGAAAAGTTTGTTGTATATTCAACTTCCACGCGGGAAACAAATAGTTTACTTACTCTCAGGCTCAGGCCTCTTTTATCAACTTTAATTCCGGGTTGAATAATTATCATTGGGTATTAAATTTTCGGTAATTCTCAATAACATCAAGTATTTTGAAATTATGCAGAATTATGTGTGACTCAATATTTGATTATTATTACGGAATTTATAAAATGAAAATAAACTTACCACATAATAACAAAATAATATGATTCTTCTTACGTAAAATATAAGCTAGCACCATGTTTATAGATTTATATAAAGCAGTTACTTTGCATAGTCGTTGAACTAAACTATAAAATGTGTTGAGTGAGATTAAAATTTTTATATCAATAAAATACATATCTACACTACCTATTTCACGCAACTATTACGTCATTTACCTATATATATATAAACGGGTTTTGTATTTGTCGATCCATGAATCAGTGAAAAACATATTCAATGGCATTGAACTTGATTAATTTTATTTTTTAGAAAAAAATAATAATACAAGGATAACTTAAATACTTAAAACGGTTACCATTAGCACGATAATATTAACTTGCGTAAGTATATAAAAAATAACATTTTTGAATACTTTGCACTATAATAAATAAATACAGTTTGAGATACCAATATCTAAGTATTCTTTTTCTCAAAGACGTGAGGGTATATTTTAACGAATGGTAATTTTTTTAACCTTAGAAAACTGTGTATGTCTAGTATGTACATAGTATAAACAGGCATATCTCTAAAATCTTTAAATTTTCGTAATGTTTTAAAAGAAATTTAGATAATGGTAAAACATTTTATTCTTGACGTGGTTTTTACGAAGTCAAAGTATTTAACATTTCCATAATTATTGCTTTCGTAAATATTTACAAGTAATTACATACACATATTTTTATATAGTTACGATTTTAGAGGATAACACATTAAATAAATAATCAAAGCTAGAACTCTAAATTAATTATCAGCTAAAGTAAACAGCACCTAAGAAAATATCAGAAACCGTAGATTTACATTTAAGCGACTTGTTCAACTACTAATAAAGATGTATTGTTAGAGATATTTGAAACATTGAGATTTATGTCTTCCCCTGTAGTGGAGATGGAGAAGGCAGAACCAACTAAATATGTTCCTGGGGCAGCACAAACTCCTCGTACTTGTACTTTTTTAGACTCAAACTTATCTAGATTGACGCTTACACCCAGTTCTTTAGCTTCCACGTCGTTTCCGTAACTGAGCGCACCAGCCCATCCCAACTCTCCAGACAACTCTCTGAAACATTTTAATTTTATTCTTGGATCAAGAAGTAAGGTATTGATAAATGGATAAAATAATAAAGTGTAATTTAATGATTACCTATTTTTTTGTTTCGTCATATCAATAAATACTTTAACAGGAATTCCGTAGCAGTTGACAAGATTCAAAGTAATTGGAACCAAGCATAGCTTCATCTCATTAAAATTATGGTTAATGTAATTGGAATGTTCCAATCTAAATATCACAACATTGTCTTTTTTATTTTTGTTAGTATCGCGTACATCTAGTTTGCTATCGTATTCGTCAAGCGGCATTGGAACTTCTCCAGGAATATATTCCTTTTCTCGAGATATAGCTTTAGTGAAACAATCCAACCACAAGCAATGTTGACCGACTGCAGTCTTGCCATTGATTTTTTCATGTACTTTCCACCTAAGAACAAACATAGATTGTATCAATCCCGTTCTCTTCCCAGACATTTCTTGGGCTAAAGCTGCATCAGGTGCATCAATGTACGAGTGTTGGCCATCAACCACAAACTTAGAGTATGGAGGTTCATTAATATTAGCCACAGCATCTGGGTGGTTCTCATTGATTTTGACGCAGGTATATTCGACTTTCTCTTCCGGGAGTTCTAACAGTATTCGCCGTGCTCGGAGTACGAAGTGCAGTTTCTCGCGCGAAGTTAGCGGATCGGCTGCGCCCCGGGCCGCAACGAGCCCAGTTAAACGCCACTGTCGGCTCAATAGTGACGCTTCTAGCACTTCTACGGTTAAATCCTCGCCCTTTTCGTTAAAAATATTTTTGACTTCAACGGCGAGGCTCATATTTTCGACAACCTCTCCATCGACATTTCGCAGACTACGTCGCGGGGTGACCGCTAACTCCACAGCTTCCTGTAAGAGAAAGTATCGACTCATCATCGGATCAAATCGAGCAATCGAAGTCGTATAAATACGTAGCATGCGGTACTCACGAGCACTTTGAAGCGGAAGACATGTCTGAGCAGTCGGTAGGGTCGCGCGCGCAGACCCGTGCTGTAGTAGGCCAGCAGGTGCAGCGCGGCGCAGGGCGCGCGCGGCCGCAGCTGCAGGCGCGCGCGCGCCGCCAGCCCGCGCGCCAGCCCGCGCGCCAGCCCGCCGCGCACCGCGCGCACGTGCCGCGCCGCCGCCGCGCGCCAACTGCCCGCGCGCGCTGCACGCTCGTCTACAAACAATATATTATTCTCATACGGAGACTCCGGTTGCAGATTAATGTTTTTGAAATAGTGTCATACGATGTACCATGATTCCGGATTTGAGGTTGGGGCAGCACCGTGCGAACCTACCCAAAGGAGACGTTATTTACGAGTGGTGATTCTTACAGGACAACATTTTTGCCCGCTGACAGTTTTGTGCCCATTATAATATTCGGCGATCAAACGACAGACCGAATGTTAATTTGATTAGATCGTGGGTGTAGAAGTTCCGCAAGACATCTTCTGCTTTAAATAACCCTCAGCTGGGACCCAGTATAATATAAAAGACCACAGAAAACGTTCAAGAAATGGAAAAAGGGTTACGGGAAAATCCATGTGCGGAAAAGAGCAGTTGCTTTGGCACATAAAAACATTGTTTACGAAATTTAAGAAAAGTTTATTATTATTATAATTTAGGTATTATAATTTACCTGAATATGTCGGTAGTTCACGGTACTTTTCATCATACAAAACTTTAAAATCATCCTCCTCATCGCCAGTGATGAGATTGACGCAATCAGGATGGGATACAGCAATGAAGAGATCGTTCATATCGACGGGACCCACGTTTGTGAACTCTACATCAACAGTTCTCATTTCACCACTTATTATATCAGAACTAATTTCTGAAAACGTCATCTAAAATACGAAACATTATTATCATAAAGTATACAAGCATCGTTATTACGAACATTTTAAAATCATTGTCGCCCACACTAGTTTAGTCCTGTATCATATAGGTACATAGGCGTATTCATGTAAATTTTTTATCGTTTTGTTAGTGAAATACCAATAGTTGCTAACCAATAGTTATTGAAAGAAATACCGTTTAACTAAAAATACTTGCCTGTAAACAAGGAGCTTCTGGTATGACAGTAATTTGTAACCGTTTATCAAGACTCTTTCCATCAGACACTAGATTAACTTTCCCTGATATTACAACGTTGTTGCCATTTTCAGTACTGCCTTCCCCAGTATTGATAAGTCTATAAATAAACATATTATAATAATATGAACAAAGAAGTAACTCGTTAAGTAGTCGCAGGCGCAAGCGCAACTACTGCTCTCAGACTAATAATATCAATCAAATTATTATTGGGAAAATCTATTTTGTGTATGGTAAGACACTTGATCCCAATTAAATAACGTATTTAATTGTTCATCATTTGAAACTTTGTTAGGCAGATGAGGTACAAACATTATCTAGACAGATTGAAGATAAATACGTAACACACACTTACTTGTAAGCCAACCCGTGAATACTAATACGGCCCACTCTAAGTGGGGTGACAGTAAAAATTAATACTTTTTTACAATCTCCTTCCAGAAGCACAGATTTTATTTTCTGGCTTACTATGACATTACTCTCTAAAGCTTGCCCGGCCGACACAGCTTGTTCGTTGCTCAGTTCTTCTTCAGGGTCAGTTGTAGAGTCATCACTCGTCACTACAAATCGCCACAATAATTCTACATCTTTTAAAACTAAGGAAATCTTTAATGGATTCCACAAAGTAACTGAGATCTGGATCGGTTCTGAAAAGAGAATAATGGTGCATTTAGTGATTTATTGAAAAGTAATTTAAACAAGGTTCTTACAAACCTACCTAAGCACCATTAAGCGATTACTTATTATATTAATTAGACAATTTTTTTGAGAGGTTTCATTAGAATGTTGATTAATTATAAGTCATAACACGGTTTATACTAATAAGCTGAATCAGGTGGGTTTATGTATGAAAATAATAAAATTTAAAGTCTAGTAAAGTCAAGAATAATATCATTCTTCACATTAATTACCTACGAGATTAAATTACAAACCTCCTTGAGGCACAAGCGGTTCGCAGTCGGTGGAATCAGTGTAAAGGTCCACGGTGGGTTTGAATATCATAGGCACTGAGCTTTGCGCTACTTGTAGGAGCATTTCCTCGAGGGTACGCCAGGTGGCAGGGGCGGTGGGGCCTTCATCCTCCACTGTGGGCGCCAAACTCAGCGACGTGGCTGGGCGCCGGCCCGGGGCGCCCAGCGGCGCCGGGCCCACGCATACCACGCGCGTCTCGCGCACCAGCGCCAGCGGCAGTGGCAGCGTCTCCAGTACCTGTCGGGGCTCTGGGCTGCTCTCCACCCATTGCTGTACACGTATTAAAACCGCTGTTAGGTATGGGCTCATATTTACATTACTAAATGATTATCAGTATCATAGTTAGACTCGTAAAATGTAGCGTAATGACGTGAGCACCCACCTGGTGCGCGAGCATGTACTCGCGCAGGAAGGCGTCCTGCTGGCGCGGCGGCTGGTGGCCGGCGGGCGCGAGCGGCGCGGCCAGCCAGCGCAGCGCGTCGCGCGGCAGACGCAGCGCGGCCGCCAGGCGGCCCAGCGCGAACTGCACGTGGTCCGTCGCCAGCCGCCAGCCGCTGCTCTCGTACACCTGACGTAACACGACACGTTCACGGACCGCACTCGTCATAATTCGATTTACTTTATCGTTCACAATAATCGCACCTGGTAAGCTTGTTTGTAACATCGGTATGCATGCTTCTTTTGTCCAGCTTTTGAAAATCTGTGGCCTGCCAACACCATATGGAAAGCGTACTTTCTACACATGCCTTTAGAAGCCGGGCCGGATAAGAAACACAGTGCTGCTTGTTCAAGAAGCATGGCACTGCGCAAATCACTGTCCTCTGACGTCATACGTATCAATTGTTTAGCAGCCTCTCCGTGTAATCCTGACCCACTTAGGCATAGCACGGATAGCAAAGTCGCCCTTACTGCATACTGGACCATCCTATAACGTTTTTTTATTAAATTAATAAAATATTTTGAAATTATTTATACAATGTATTTGAATTTTATAGCCAATATTGAAATTCTAAATTAAATCCTGAAATAAGAAGAATAATGTTTATACTTACCTACAGGTGTTAAGATAAGTAACTATACTCTCTTCCATATAGCCATGTGTTTTGCGGTTTGAATCTCCAGCCATGAACGCGCTGATGGCCGCCATCTCGAGGGCGCCGGCGTAACAAAGCCACGCACTGTCTGCATAGAACTCTCTTTTTGCCGTGTGATAGGCGTCAAAAGCTCGTTGCCATTGCCGACATAAGAACCACAGGTCACCTAATCGCCGTAGTTGTAATTCTGGGCAGTCACTTGTATATCTACAAGTATTTCAACATTATAACTTTATTGTTTTCAGTATCTACATAATGTCTAATCTTACAGTAACTTACATAACAGCACTGTTGCCTGTAGTACTTCCTGCCTTTCCAGTGCCAAACCACCGCTTTGTGGCTGATAGCAATGATCTACTCACACCTTTCCTGTTTGCAACCTGTAAGTTTGCAATATGATGCTTATTGACTAGTTGTTCAATTATTATTTAATACTTAAATCAAAATGAGATGCCTAGAGATATAAATTAAAAGAGTTGTGTTATACCAATAACACTGGGTTTCTGAAAGGCTGATTAAACCTAAATTCAGATAGCAACAAACACACACTTCAGACTGTATGTACTTGTAAACGCGCTTGCCCTAGTCAACAGTTAAATGCCTTGGCAGGTGACAGTTAAGTTGCTAGGAGCGTGAATATACTTTGTTTCATTTAAGAAAGCTATGTATTGACGTGTGATACTTTAAGATACTAGAGTTGTAGTGGTAATAGTATCATGTAAAAATTTCAATTGAACTAAATTCAACATCTTTATTACCTAACATTCTCACGACTGCACGGATGGCGCGGTGGATGGGCAACCGGCTGACGCACAACGTATAGCGGGTTAGATTTCCGCACGGAGCAATTCTTTGTGTGATCCATAAATTGCGTTACGGAAACGGATGTCATGTGTATGTGATATTGTATGTTTGTAAACGCACCCACGACACAAGAGAAAATCCTAGTGTGGGGCAACATTAAAAAAAATACTTATTTTAACATTAAATACCGTAAAATGGGGTGAATAGACACAACTTTTATGTTTCAAGCCGATTTTCTTACAATTTTTTGATCCATGTTGTTATAAAACATGTTTTAATTGTAAGTCGCGTTGTAATTTGCCAAATAATAATGCTTAAATTATGTAAAAATACGTTAATTAGTTGTTATTTAGGAAAATGTGGCCCGTTTCTATTTACCTGGAAACTGGGGTCAAAAGATACGAGAGAGGGGTGAATAGAAATAAAACGCTAGGGCTGTCAAAACTTATTTTTATTATAAGTACCTACCTAAGTTGTTGTAGTAGGTAAGTACAGTGTGTATAAGAGAATATACCTATTGGTATGAGTGAGAGTGTTGAAGTTATTTTGCAGATGTGTGTGTAGTGTATTGTGGTGAGGTGTGGGTGTGTTGTGGTATGTAGGCAGGTGCGTTCAAAGATGTGTTATATAGGTATTATTATCTTAGGAAACCTAAGAACAAGTTTAGTTTAGTTTATCTTAGAACAAAGTAAACAAGTTTAAAGATATTTAAAAATAAAACAACTTCAAATTCCAACATAAACAATAAAAATTTTACGAAAAAAACTACTTATTTGGCAAAATATCTTAGGATCTATATGTTTCTTAGATTGAGATCAAGTTCGCATCACAACGAATCACAAAATGAGTTAGACATACTTCCACCCGGTTTCCGAAAGGCCGATCAATGTTAAAATCAATTATCTATATCTCTTGTCAAGTCATCTGATTGGTTGACTGAATTATCAACAACCAATCAGATGACTTCACAAGAGATTTGACACCTAGTTAGTTGATTTTAGCATTGATCGGCCTTTCGGAAACCGGGCACTAGTAAATAATAAAAATCACATTAGAGTTAAGTTTTGGAAATCAAATAATGGCGTACTATAGGCCGACCGTTTAACTCGCGTATCGCGCAGGCTATACGCGAGTTAAATGGTCGGCCTATAGTTATTATTACCCTCTAATCTAATTCCATCAGATCTTTTAAAATATCATCGTCATTCTTGTAGTAACTGGGACGTCTAGAAGTGCTTGCAGTTTTATTTGTTAAAATTTTCTTTAATTCAGATTTGCTTACTAGGGTATTAGAAAGAATTTTAATCTTTTTTGATTTCTTCTCACAATCTTCAACTTCATCGGTCCTTACAACAGTTTCGTGTCCTACATAATCCAAATCGTCTTCAAAAATTACAGGCATAGTATTTATATTGCAAGGACTGATGTTATACGAATAACTTGCAAGTTCTTTCTTAGGTGTATCTGCTTTTTCAATGATTATATTGTTAATATACGAACAACTTGCGCTTTCTTGATCAGGTGGATCTGTTCCATAGGAACAACTTGGAACTGCTTCATCAAGTTGATTTTCAGGTTTCGGTGGATCGTTTTCTTTGAAATCACTTTCTTTATTGGTTTTTGATTTTTTTCCTTTACCCTTCCCTTTGCCGACTTTGTCTGTTATTTTAATTTCTTTTTGCTTTTTCTTCTTTTCTTTTAGGTCTGAACAAGACACGTATTCTCGGTCAGTCTCAACATAGTCCTCGTCGCTTGAACATAACACACTTTTTCCTGCTTGAACTTGTAACTTTTTCTTTTTTTTTGGTTCAACTATATTACCAGTCCCGTATCGCATATCTTTTAAGAAATTTAATACTGTCTCATCAACAGTTTCGGTTTCTTTAATTTCACCGATCCAATTAGGCAATTTTTTCAAAACTTCAGAAGGATTAAAAGGATATATCCCTGTTTTCCTAAAGCCAGATATAATATTAGCTGGACCATTTTCTTTTAGAGCGTCCATTAGTTTATTTAATAATTTGGGAAAACAACCTTTCGGAATCGATGCTTGATTCCTACCATCAGTTTTTTTCCAGTGTAATATTATGTTTCGCCATGCTATCTTCATTGGCCTAAAGAAAGCAACATCCAGCGGTTGCGTCAAATGTGTGGAGTTGGCTGGTAAAAATATAAAATGTATGTCCTTTTCCTGACATTTTCTTATTAAATCAATCGAAAGGTGGGAGGATAAATTATCGCCTATTAAACATTTTTTACCAGGCCTATTTTCAAAAAACGGTAGAATCATAGAGGTCACCCAATCTTCAAAAATGTTTAAATCAAACCAGCCAGATTGGCTTCTATTAAACCGAGATCCTTTTGGACCAGATTTTGTCCACGTATCGAACAAATTTTGGGCCTTGTAAACTACATATGGGGGTAACATTTCTCCTGCAGCCGTACCGGCCATCATAATTGATACTGCAGCTTTGGAATGATTCATCACCCTTTCTGGATATTTTGTACCTCTTTTGGTGATAATTTTTTTTCGGCCAGGATCGTCCGCCAAATTTGTTTCATCGTAATTAATGATATTGCTGGCTGGAACTCCAGCAATCGATATTTTCAATTGTTCAAAATACGCCTCTATAATTTCAGAAGAGACGGCAGCTCGGTTTCTTTTAATATTCTGCGAAACTCGTTCCGATATTTTATCACAATGCCTTTTTAAGAAACTTCTTGAAAAATCCGGCCCAGGCAAATTATCTTTAAATCGTTTTTCAGTAATACCCAATTTATCCAAATAATTTTTGACTAGTATTCTTAAATCATACTGCTCTAGGGGATAGCCCCATTCAGCACAGACATTAATATATTTAATGAATGACAATTCCACCTCTTTTGACAGCACTGTCTGCCCCCCTTGTGATTTTAAATTTTTAATAGTATGCCTATAAAGGACAGACTTGTCAATTTCAAATTTTTTGGCAATGCAAGTTAAGGAATCACTATTTTTGTTGTATTCCCGAACAGCTTCTTCAATAAGTTCTTTAGGGTATTTTTTATACCGCTTACCTCGAGGATCGGGTTTATAAATTCTTGGCATGATGAGTGCAGCGCAATGTTGTGTACCTGTATAAAATAAATATCAAGTATTTACTGAACAATAAACATAAATCACACAAACACACACACACACGCGCGCGCGCACACACACACACACACACACACTCACAGGACACAGGCACACACAGCACACACATCACACACACACACACATACACACACACACACTTACACACTTACACACACACTTACACACACACACACACACACACATACACACACACACACTTACTCATACTCACACACACACCCTCGCGCACACACACACAGCACAGGCTACATTTTATCTGACTTCGGTTTCGTACGTATACATGGTAAACGACACTTTTGCAAACAAGTAACAGGCAAAAACTAGTAATAACATAATTGAACAATTTAAACTATTTTATCGCTTATCGGCAGCCGTATATTAAAAAAGAACCAGATGTCCTTAATTTGAGTTCAAGCTTTGTATCAAATTTCATTAAAATTTGTTCAGCATTTTAGTAAAACGGATAACGGTAACAGATGACAGCCAAAAAAATAAATATTTAAATATAGTTAGCGATTGTCTACTAATTAATATGATTATTTTTTTAAGTGACAGCCGATTGACAACCCTAAAAATCATGTTTCTTTTAACCCCTGTCCCGTTGCTATTAACCCCTCACTCGTATCTATTCACCTCTTTCTGCGTATCTATTCACCCTAAAGGCGTTTCTATTCACTCCTCACTCGTATCCATTCACCTCGAATTCAAGGAAAAGTAATAGCATCCTGATTTTACTTGAAATAAGAAAGATACATTTGAATATTGACACTCACTTTTCTATTCGTAAAAGATAATCAACTTAACTAATGAAACACACAAATTCGCTAGGAGATAAGACTGAAAAACTTACGTTTAATAAAAAGTTTTACGCAGCCTAAAATCACTTGTACGCACACGTTCACTTTAACCGCTTTTTTCTTCATGTCATTACACTTGACGTAAAATTGTGTGTAGCCAGCATAAAGGCAAAATGTTGCCGTGTAATAAATAGTGGAAATAAATATTCTCTGATAGCCCATAGACCCACCAGAGACAACTTAATCAAATTCCCAAGTTTGTTTCTATTCACCCCGCGATTTCTATTCACCCCATTTTACGGTAGGTATTTCAATAGTATAAACAGTTGAGTACTAACTGATTTCTTATTGGTCGAGAGTGGTGGCAATTTCTCGATTCCAGGCCATGCTAAGAATAGGCAAATAGTATAAGTTGTTTGATTTGATAACCATGGCGTCTGACATGTGTTAGTTTTAATTAATTTAATAAGCTTTTGAGAAAGTGGGAGTAAAAAACTAAAACCAAATATAACTTACAACTTCAGATAGCTGCGATATTTGCTTTTCCATATAAGGCAACAATGCTTTTGAAGCATATTCTTGCAGAAATTTTTTGATACCCTCAATATCATTTGAATTCAAAGCTGTACCATGAACTTCTGTTGAGTAATCCAGACCTTTGCCAGCTACATTCATACTTTCCGAACTACCAGAGAAGGAATGGGTCTGAAACATTAATGAAAAGTTATGTATTAATCACCGTTAATAAGCTACATTTTTTTACTTCATAAAAATTATCTAGACGAGTATCTATTTATTCAATTCTACTCTGGAAAAAAACACTGTGATACAAAATCAAAGATCACAGTTTCTCTTCAAGTAATAAATAATTTATTTGACTTATCAAATATTATAATTCACGATAAGCACATCTTACAACCTGCAAGCTATTTGCATTATCATAAACATCAGTTTCTGTAGTTGTTAGAGGATGAGAAGTGTCTGCATTCATTGCTGACATTGCTGCACTGTTCTCATCTGGAAAACAGGTAAGAGTGATTTAAAAACAATAGAAACACACCTTTATAAACTAATGGCACAATTGTGCATGAATGATAAAACATAACATAACATCACACCTTTTATCCCCGAAGGGAATAGGGAGGGTGTACATTATGCCACTGTACAATGTAACAGCCACTTTTCACTATTTATGTTATGTTCAGTATTTATATATTGATAAAACAAATTGATATAAACCTTGAATGTTTGTTACAGTTATGGGGAATGTTGGTTGAGGTTCAGCCGGTGTAGTGGGTAGGTTTGTTAGTGATGTTGACATCTCATTCTGGAAATTAAGTATATTAATCATATATAAACACTTTGGTAAATATATGGTTAAGCATAGTAATAAAAAAGAGAAGTTAATGGTAACTACTTACATTTCCTTGAGAAGACCTTTTTACAAATTGAGCCCACAAATCAGTTGGCACATTCTGATCTAATGTACTTTTAGAATTAATTGGTAACATAAAGCAGTTGGTTGCTCCAAATGTTTGCTTCAGAGTTTCAAATGCAGCATCTCCTCTGTAAAAAATATAATAAATTGTGCAAAAGTATACACAAAAGAATATTACATTTTATTGAAAATGATTCTTACTTTTCTTTAGGCACTGCAGATACATCATGAAGAAGAAGATAAGACTTTAACACACTATTGTTGAACCACTTGGGTAATTTTGGAGGAGCCACATTTTGTAACATAGCATATTGCTGGTTTAAGCTATTAAAAGTATCTATTATATTATCATCTAATGTTGTTCCAACTATAATACAAGATATGAAGTGTTTTGTGAATTCATGGTCTGAAGGAAATTGTACTTCCAAATATGTTTCTCTCCAGGCATCAAACCAGTGTGTTGATTGGGGAATATCAAATTTTCGCCCATCTGCAATAATATGTTGCCACTATTAAAACACATTACTTATATACATTAGCAATACATTTTTTTTTCATTGTATTTAAAGTAAGCCAGAATAATTAATACACAGTTGGTAGATAAAACAAAGTAAAGGAATGGCTTTTGGGCACTTGCATTACTTCTCTACACTGGTTTCAATATTTAAAAAATAATCATAACACAATATATTCATCATAACATATAATTATATATAATGTGGAACACTACAATACCTACCTATTTCAAGGGATACAATTTTGTCATGATAGTTATGTAGCACGGCATTATTTAACTGTCTTCTTGCCTCTGTAGGCTGTAGTGGCTTCCAGTTCACATCTCTTATAATTAATTTCCAATTCTTTATAGAACATGTATTACCACTTGAATCTTTGAATTGCCCTGAAACATTATAAAACTTTCAATTGCCATTTAATGTTTACATTAATTAGCTATCCGGATCTCACCGAAGTGCAGTTGGACAAACTTGAGCGACTCCAAAATTTCAGTATAAGGTTTATATTTGGTTTACGCAAATATGACCACATTTCCGAATATCGTGCTAAGCTTAAGTGGCTGCCGATCCGCCTTCGCCGGGATACTCATATCTTATCTTTACTCTACAGTACGCTGTTCAATCCTACTACCCCTCATTATCTCAAAGAACGTTTCCAGTTCTTCCATGACACACATTCTAGACCAGTACGGTCATCGGAGGACATGAAGCTTGAAATGCCCCAGCATGCGAGCAGATCATTTGACAGATCTTTTACAGTTCGAGCTGTTCGACTGTGGAATGCTCTGCCACTTTCTATAAGACAAGCAGAGTCACTTGTTGCATTCAAAGCACTCGTGAAAAAGCATTATCTCTCCACGTTGTAATTTACCATTACTATTTCTTTTCTCTCTTTGTTTTTTCTTTACTGTTGTCTATTCATTGTTCATACTATATTTTATTTATGTATTTATGCATGTATATATATAGTTTTAGGTATATATTATATATGTTGTATGTAAATATATATTATTTTATTTAGAGAATATATATTTTACTTGTATATATAATTTATAAGTAGATACCTGAGTACACCTAGAACAACCTCCACTTTCATACAATAGTACTCCATTCACCCAAAGGTTGCCTGGTAGAGATCGCTTTTAGTGATAAGGCCGCCTTTGTACCCTACTATTCTTTATTATAACATTACATGTATATTCTATTAATTTAAGGTGTACAATAAAGATTATTATTATTATGTGTGTCTTTACCATTCACGGGACCACAGGGTCCCGGTCATTTGGAAGGCATGCGAGGGGCCGAAGCCAACTGCGCAGAGGCCCTTTAGACAACTTTAATATAAATGTAATGGAGACACAAACCGGCGACTGTCCCTGTATGCACTATGGAAATGCACCCAAGGACAGTCTCCGGTTAGTGTAAAACTATTGAGGATAATGGAAAAAAAAAAGATAGGGCTATGGATGGGTTGCTGTGGACTGGAAAATTGGGAACTATGGATGACTATGGCACCTGCCGAAACAATGTAATTATTACACGTAAAAATGGCAGGCGGAGACTCGCCAACTCACCGACCGGGCCCCGGGAATGGCTGCTAGATATAGCAACAAAGGGGCAACGAGAATGTGAGTGGCTGAAGGGTTAAGAAACTACCACCGCTTTCTACTCAGATCATCTGCTCCAGCCGAAGCCTCCTGCATCCCTGGCCCACTCGCGACTTACGAATAGTTTCTTACCCTCCGAGCAGGATCACTGCTCTCGCGACTCCACTCTGGACGGCCAATGAAGGCAAGCCAGAGGTGGGAGACCTGTTCCTTGTCATCGTTCACTCCAGCCAGCCAATTAAGGCAAGCCGGAGAAGAAGGAACGGTGACTTCTCCCTGGAGCACTCGGGATGATGGTAGCCCGCGGGATCGCTAATGCCCGTCACCTCGCCTCAAGGTGCCCTGCGGGCTTATTATTATTATTATTATTATTAATATTTTTTTAATTTTTATTTCTCCAAAAATGTATCCTCAATCACTCAATCCTTGAAATTTATTATGTGGGTATTTTCTTTAACCATTTCGTATTTCATAATTGTATAGAGGATATTATGGTTGTTTGTTTGATATTTATGTAAAGTGGTCATAAACTGATTGATTTGACTGGATATGGTCATCATTTTGTTTTTATCTGTGTCTGCAGCACAGGCGTCTGTTTGTAACCAGATATGGGTGTGATAATGATAGATAGAACTCTTTATACATGTAGGTTTTTGTGGAAGAGGAAAGTTTAATGTTTATTATTAGATTTTGTTGTTATCTAAAAACACTGAAAGTAGTTCAATTAAGTAAAATTCATCAAAAGCAAAACACCATTCTATACATAGCTTTAGTAACACAAGAATTTAGTTATACCTTCCCAATCCATAGTAGCGAACGGTTGCAACAACTCAGTAAAAGATAAATTATTCTTAGATACGACATTTTCAACTTTTGGGCTACACAGAACAGCGATGATAGGTGAAAACGAATCTTGAATGAACTCTTGTGCAGTTTTTCCCAGTCTAGCCATGTTTCTTAAGGCTGTTTCACGATTCTAATCCTTTAAGTAGATCATACGAACACCTAAAATTAAATCGAACAGCTTCATACGATTAATTAGTTTTAAATTTTTATTAGTAGATAAAGATTGTCGCCGACTTCAGTATTTTACAATAATTAATTAATTGTAATATTGACATATTTGACACAAAGCAGTGACAGCTCGTATACATCGTAGACAGTAGTTGTGACACTGACACCTGTCGCCTTGGTGACATTTCCGTATACTTTTTTGTTGTCTGGGTATGGGGTTATTTTATCATCTGTTTAAGGGGGTAAATTATCCAATGACCTTCTTTCACGTTTGGTGAAGCGAGAGGGAGTATCGGACTCTTACTAACTAAGATCCACCCCGTTCCTACTCCTGCTCCAAACCGGAGCCCCGGTAACTCATTAAAATGTCCGATGCTCCGATTTACGACTTGATAAGCTATTCACCTTCCAACATACACATATTTGAAATTTGTTGCAGCTTAAATACATTTCACAATCCCTATCTCATTAAAGGCAGATTTACACAGGGTCAGTAAAGCTGACTTCGAAACAATGCAAGTCAAGTCAACGCTAACTCCAAAACACCAATGTAAATTGATTTGAAGTCAGTACAGCGAAATGAAGTCAGCGCTGACTTGAGACTTCCCATAAGAATATTTTGAGTAGTTACTTCTACTTTACTGAGTATTTTTATTCGATTAATTATTTATCCAAAAAATTTATAAATAGTGGTCGTCCATTTTGAGTTTCTGGAAAATCGCCCATCTGTACAGGATGTTTGGCGCATGGACGGATAAATTTTTTTCAGAGATTTGGGTGGTCATTGCTGGCTTTCCTTTCCCTGGAAAGTTTTCCGGTTTTGACAAAAGTTATTAGTAGTTTTTGTAAAAAAATGCCCCCAAACCAATTTTTAACGGGGCCCCGCCAAGGCAAGTTACGCCACTGTCCGATGTCCACAGATGGACAAAGCGTTGTCTAGTTTTACACCTAGTCGCACAAAGGATAATATAAAAACAACCAATTAATGTTCATATCGTTAATATTTAATGAAAAATTCATTTTAAAAAATTCAAGTATACCTATTCAACCAATTTAAAGTAATAAAGATTTATTTACGACGAAAATACGACCGTAAATGCATTACTTACATAAAAATATAATCCATTATTATCTTAAATTAGGTAAAAACTTTATTAAAAGAAATTTATAATTAATGGAAATCGTAATTCTGCAATAATGTATTCTACTTATTATCTTTTAGAAATGAATTATGAAGCAATAACTGTAAAGAATTTTAATCATGTTGTTTTAAATATAAAACAATTAAGTTCAAAGCAGTGTCCTCTCATTTTCCAAACAAATTAGAAAAATTAAAAGAATAGATTCCAAGGTATGCAGTACACAGTCACAGTTATACACAATGTATAATTTTTAAGTTGAACCTAAAGGGTAATGTTAAAAAGTTTGAATTGAGAGAAATCGATTAAAATACATCACAATGGTGGCTCCATAACTCTTGTTTAATTTTTACCAGGTAGTATTCAGTATGTATAGTAAACAGAACCAGACTTAGACATGCTGTCATTCAAAGTAAAGTTCCAAATAAAATGACGCATCTACCTAATAATAAAACTAGCAAAACCATTCGACGTAAGGCTTCACGGCGCACGCATGTCTTTGGTTTCGTAGCAGAAACAAAATAGTGATTGGCAAACATATGATGTATGTTGAGTATTACGTTACAATTTCTAATTCATTATGCTCCTCTTCGCTTGCCTTCAAATTAATTGCGCAACGTACGACGCGCGATCGCCGCGCTACAACCATGCGTCATTCAATTGTATTAAAGAAGGCTAATGAAGGATGATGAAGGCTGATTTTAGTCTCACGCTGACCGTCAGCGCTCATAGTTCGGCGCGTAGTTTAACAGACGACGACCAAACCGTAGCTTTATCCGTCAGCGTTGACCGACGTACAAGATTCTAAAACGCTTTATAAAAGTTTTTATAAGTTTCGACTGTCAGCGCCGACGGTCAGCATGCCTCTAAAACTAGCCTAAGCAGCGCGGCCGTCGCGCTGTCACGCGGCTGTTTACGGATAATTTAAAGGCGACCTTAGAGTGCCCCAATTAGCATGTAGTTGAATTTTACGTATGTAGTGTAGTGGAATGGTGATTAAAGTTACTACAACCGAAAGATTTTTATAACTATAAAGTAATACTTATTTGTATTCCTATTTTCTAAATGAGTCTTAATTATAACTTAAAACCAACATAATTATTATGTATAAAATTAATACAAAACAACTACTTTAATTAAGCTTATTCTTGATAGTTGCACCATTCGAACGAAAATCATGTGTGTACATTTCAATATATGATTCATGATGATTCATATGAACACATGATTTCATGAAAATCGTAAGTAAAAGATATGTTGAGTTAATTCTGTATAGTCGATTAAGTATTCTACATTATGTTCAAGTAACTTTGGTAGCTGCCAGATAATACTATTTACAAAAAAATCACTTAAATGTTTTCTTGCTAACGTAATATTCAATCCAACGACTATGCAGAATCATCATCACACAAAATTTAATATTTCGATAAATAGTAGTAAAATTCAGTTCAAGAAAGACTTTTGTTGTTTTATTTTATGTCTACAACCATCCATCAAACGTACTTAACAGTGTCGTTTGTGTTCTATTTTATAATGTTGTGAGATTTATCTATTATCAGTTTTTTAGAAAATTGACCTGAATCTATAACTGTGAAATCGAAATATTATCCATGATCAATTATTAAACCAATTTTTCATGATATAAACGAGTGTACACATGTAACGTACAACGTCATTTCTCTTTATAAACACCATTGCTGGAAGCGAAATATTCTCAGTTCTTAAATTCACAAGTTAAATTAGGTACACATTTTTACAACTAGCATTACTCAAAGTTCGAATTGAACATATTTATGTTTAGATCTTCAAAGGTAGCAGTCCCGCTCTGGTCCAATATCTGCAGCATGTCGGTAAGCTCGTGCGGCGCATGCGCGCCCTCGGCCGCGCCCGTCCCCGCCGGCCCGGCCGCGCCGCCCTGCCACGACCACATGCCTGCAACACACCATACTTACTTCGACCGAGATCAATATACACTACCTTTTGACAGAACATTTTGACAATTTAACTAAAACAATCAATTCGAACCAGTAGTTCCGGACATTAGCGCGTTCGAACAATCAAACTCTTCAGCTTTCTATTCTAATATTAAAATAAGCTTAGTTTGCTGAAATAAAAAGTAATAGGCAGAATTTAGTTGTAACTGACCGTGTGAGGGGTGTGGGTGGTGGTTGTGGTGGTAGTGCGCGGCGGGCGGCAGGTAGGCGGGCGCGGGCGGCGAGCGCGCCGGCGACGCGTCCGCCGCGCCCGCGCCGCCGCCGGCCTCGCTGCTGTACGCGTAGCTTTCGCCGCCGGCGCCACCGCTCTGCATGTATCCATTTATTGTAAAATATGCATCCAATACCACTATATTTATTTTTTCGCAACACTTATTTTTAGGCACTTATGGAAATTGTTGAGGTAATTATTAGTAATTGGCTAATCGGATAAAATGCTAAAGAATCAACTATCATCATAGATAATGCATGTAGAGCCGGTACGTACGGTGCGCAGCGTGGTCCAGGTGGTGTGCGGCGGCGTGTTGGCGGGGCGGTGCGGCGAGTAGTCGGGCGTGTAGTGCGGCGCGTACGGCGGCGCGGCCGGCGCGCCCGGCGCCACGCCCGCCTCGCCCGGCGACCGCGCCGTCACTCCGCCGCCTCCGCTCACTTCACATTTCACATCAAACATCAATGTCACTAATAACACACATAGTATTAGAGTGTCATTGCAATGTCTAATTTCAGACTGAAAACACTTCCATGAAAAAAATTTACAAAATTCTAAATTAATTAACACAATCAATAATTTTCATTAAAATACCTGGCGGTGGAGCGTGGTGTTGCTGATGGAGATTCGGAGCTTGAGCTTGGTACACGTCACGATGCCGTAAATGGTAGTCGTAGTTTTCTTCCGGAGCAGGTTCTCCAGTAGTACTACCTAATGACCGGCTAATAATAAAATAATTTATGTTGGTTAAAACAATTTTATATACTATATGTTTTTAATTTTAAACTTTACGAAAAATGTTCCTACTTACTTAGCCAACATGTTTGTGCAAACAATGTACTCGACATCGTCATTATAAGGATTCAAAAAGGCGAAGGCAGAAGTTCTTAACCAAACCCACTCTCTGTTTTTCGTGCGAAACCGGTACATGAGCGATATAATTTGTCCTTTAAGTTTTAATACTGAGAAGAAAAAACACAATAGATTAGCTTACATTGTACAGATAGAAAATAAAGTGACATAAGTAGATGAAGTGTATAAAGGTTACCTTGGTCAAAGTTATCTCTCATATGTTGTTGGTCCTCGGGATGATAGAATTCGTAGCATAGTTTCCCCAGTAGATCGGCAGGCGCGTACCCAACCACCTGCGTTGCACGCTGGTCTGCGAACGTGAAGCGGCCGTCCACTGAATGCCGCGACACAAACTCTACTCCTCCACTACATAAACTGTTCTCTGAAGAATTTGGTGTAGATGTCACCTGCCAGAATAAAAAGTTGATTTAATTTTAACATTTCATTTTCTACTCGTTTTCTATAAGAAGATTGAAATACTCGTTACCTGCAATCTTCCAATAGCAACTAAGCAACAATGAGACGTGTCAAGTTCTTCCTGAATAGGGCGATCCATCTGCATACCTGGAAACAGATCTGATGTCCCAACATACATAAAACTATGTTTCTTAATACTTCATTTAGTCAAAGAACTCATAGTAAATGTTTTAGGTACTTTAAATAACCTGATATTAAAGTAGCAGTAGGTAATAATGCGTGTGTGTCCATGATCACAGTAATATTGACAGTTCATCAATATTTCACTTCAAAATAATAATTTTACTTTTTTAACATTGACATGATAATTCTGTGCAATTACTACTCATGGTTATGAATTATAGTTTATGGTTTATGAATTACAGTTAGTTAAAATACCTATATAGATATATAAGAAAACTCTTTCACTGGTATACATGTTACCTGTAGGTGGCCAATTTTTTATATATCCAGTGCAATGGACAACGGCATAATTATGACCGTCATGCGAAGGACCTAACGAGTTGCGTGCACGCAGTCTTCCTAGGTGAGCGCCTTCCGCAGAACCTCCGACACGCATACGACATATGAAACCTCGACGGGAGCCCATCACTTGACGCATAGACGCTGCAATGATATTTATATACATAAAATAGACGCGAATTATCTACTTTCTATGCAAATGTAAAGTTCACTTACATTGATGACCTTCTTTCTTCACTGTTCCCGTCTTAAGATCTAATATGCGACCTGTGTTCTGCGGTTCTTGAGTGCTTAACTGTTCTCTAACTTTTTCTACATCGTCAGGATGTACTTGATCATATAAGCAAGAAGAATACCACTCACCCTAAAATAAAATAGGTTGTATTGGTATCATTCATAAGAAAATTGCAGGAATTTGATAAAAAATGCGTTTTACATGTAAACGGAAAGCTCCCGAAACGCTGACAAAACGAAATTGTTACTAAAATTTTTATCGTTTTTGTTTTCGTGTTATTATGCAACATCGGCTTTGACCAGTCGATTAGAACTATTATTACATAAAAGAAACATTTAATTCCTTACGTTTACAAAAATAAATCTTGTTTTTTACCATCACCTGTCGACGTGTTTCGAAAGCGTTTAGTCTGCACCCTGTATGTAATCACTCCATTACATTGCTGATAGTTACCTGAGAGTAGTTCAATACTGGAGCTATACTATCACTGACGTAAATAATACGTCCAGTGTCGCAACTGACAACGAATAAAAATCCATCAGCTGCTTCCAGAATCAAGTGCTTCAGTTCTTGATCAGTTAAAAACGACGGTTTGTAAGTACCATCTGTCGAAGTGTTGCCAGTGCCTGTAACATACAAATTGGTTAAAAATCGTCTGCCTTCTAATTGTTGAAAATTCATGTGTATAGGCAGTAGCCTACATTTTGTACTGAGTATACACATTTTATGAAATAACAATTATCTAATAAACTTGTCTAAGAAAGCTTGAAAGATTATCGCCGTCTGGATATTGATAATATTGTTACTTAAGTACCTCTTAAGGCTTTCATATGGGCTACTGCCATACGCAGTATGGTTAGTTTGTCTGGCTTGCGCGCTAGGGCGGAGCATGTTGGAACCATATCCGATAGTTCCGTAATGTATGCCGTCATCTTGTTTCTTCGGCGACGTTCAATTTCACAATGGTTCTCGCGGCTGCAAATAAAATAGGTAACTGTTAGTGAATTACTAATACGTACCTACCTAAAAATAAGATACAGCTATGTATGTACGTAAAAAATAGATGTAAAAACTAGGAGATTCAACTCAATTGAAGAATGACACTGTTTCAGTAATCAGTATAAGTTATTACAAAGGTTCTATGAGAGATGAAAAGGTGGCAAAAGAGTTTAAAAGAGCAAGGTAATAAATTTATACTTGGTTTAATATCTTGGGTAACAGTAATACAGTAGAACCCGTTTAACGCATTCATTGCCCAGTGGATTTTCTCCAGTGCCCGAATTATAAGACATCCTACAGTGCCCCGCACGCACTATTGCGTTCAATGTTTGCCCTTTTCGTGTGCCGGAAACTCATATACGCGTTCTTACGGCTCCCACCGTGTGCCCGAAACTCATATATGCGTCCGTTCGACTCTCGGCGAGTGCCCGTGACGCGTCTGTGCGTTTGTTATATACTTACGAAAATACGATAGAATATTATGTATCTGTAGATAAAAGTTAGGGTCATGACACACTGTAATGGAATTTATAATCCATAAGATTATTTATTTTATGTAGTGAAATTGAAAAATTTATCTAAATATAAACTAAGGATGAACGTAATAATTCTATAGTTGGTAAGTAGGTTTATATTTAGAACATTGTTGTATTTTAACCGACTTAAAAAAAATGAGGTTCTCAGTTTGACCTGTATGTTTGTTTGTACGCGATTATCTCGCGATTGGTTGAACCGATTTTGATGCGGTTTTCAGAAAAACTTCTGTTACATTTAGGGGATGGATTTAGTATACTAATTAACCAACTTCAAAAACAGGAGGTTGATGTTGGATTTTTAAACGTATGTCACGACGCGATGCCAGTATATATAAATTATAGTCTTTCACCATAGATATTTAGTAAGGTACTTATTATCTCGTATAGGTTTATCCTAAAACATTTCGATAGTTAGCTATAGCGCCTGGTGGATATGGTATTTAAAATCTTCAAAGGCACCGCCGTGCATTGTATTGCCGTTATCAGCAAACTAATGTGATTCTATTGTGCGTATGTATGTGTTATGTGAAATTTTAGGTTTCTTGGAAAAAAAAGAGATGATCGAGATAACATTGAAAAAAATACCACCAAAGGTGATCGTAGTCTTACGTGGATATTTCTTTTTTCAATTGTTCTATGTATATTTATATTTCGAAACGGCTGAACAAAATTATTGATAATTGCATTGGTAGTAGTAGAATAAGTTTTTTTTATAATTCGTACAAAGTGTGTAACGACCTTTATCAAAGAAATCAGATAAGGAAGTACATATGTGTAAATATGGGTTTCGAAACAATAGACCCTCGGACGCGTCGACGGGCAGCAGGTAAAAAAAGGGTCAAATGAATAGAACGCATATTTGAGTCCCGGGCACATAGCGTCGTGTCACAAAACGCACAGACGCGTCATGGGCACTGAATGCGTTAAGACGATCACGCTTAATACGATTTCTCGCATAATACGCCATTTTACGTCGGTCCCTGCAACTTAAAATATATTTTCATACATTTCTTAACGCTTAATACGATTCGTCATCCCGTTTAATACACGCCGAGCAGCGAGAGAACAACGTGGTTGACGTCGTGTTGGAAGAAGAAGAACCCGAGATACTGCAGGGTTTTCCTGGATACTCTTCTATTGATGACAATGTAGCACCGTACGAAATTCAATCAATTGAAGATCTTATTGAGAATGTGAACAACACACAAAACGAAGCCCTAAGTGATAATGATGAAGACGAAGATGAGTCAACTCCGGTTTTGTCAAACGCCCAGGCATTATCAGCTGTTTATGATTTAAGACGCTATGTAGCTTCTATGGATCAAAGCGAAGACGCACTGCAAAAGTTGAATTATGTTGAAAATATTTTAATTACTAATGCATCAAAATCTTTTTGTCAAACCAAAATAAGTGATTATTTTAAAAATTGTAATTTTAATTACACTACGTATTTAACGTAATTTATAAATGTATAATTACAAAAATTAGAACATATTACATCATAATAAGTAGTACTTTTTTATTTTCCCTATCCCGCATAATACGCTTTCTCGCTTAAGACGCGTTTTTGGTAAGGTCCCTGCGAAATCGTCTTAAGCGGGTTTTACTGTATTTGCAAGCAATCAAACAATAGGCCAAGTTTCTCCACAGGAAATAACTGTTAATTGCCAACTAATTGTTTCTTTATTTCAGTTTGATGATTGAGTGTTTGACTTCTAGCAAGCAGAAAAGCGAGTTACGACTGCGCTTCCTTCGCCACCACGAATATTACTTGTCCATTTTACATATTGTACGAACAATTATATCATGGTGTACTTTTTTACATATTGATGAAATTTAAATCAAATCTTGAAATAAGACCCAGTTTACAAACTCATTCAATGTACGATACGTACATCTATCGCAAAGTAACAATATTGATTATTTATAATAATAAGTTCAAGAGAAAGAGCGCGCACTTGTCGCGTGATAAGACACGTTTTCAATCATCACATAGTAGCCTAGTAATGAGTTGTAGTTAGTTACGGGAAAATCATAACCTTGATGAAAAGATTTGTATTCAATTACTTACTATACACGCAAACTGTTTAGACAAGCTATTCATTGTATTTAGTCGACGCAAAAAGCTTTAAAACACAATAGGTACGTAGTTTTGTAAGGTGTAAATAACACTTTGAGTTTGGTAATACTTTAAAAGTTAAAAATAAAAAACCCAGCTTTCTTCTGTTTTATTCAAGTGTAAATTTTTTTTTAATGAAATAAGCCGGTAAACGAGCTGACGGATCACCTGATGGTAAGCAATCGGCGCCGGCCATGGACACCTGAAACACCGAGGCGTTACAAGTGCGTTACCGGCCTATTGGAAATTGGGAACTTGAGGATTGTGAAGGATTCGGGAATTGGGGATACTGGGAAGGGGGCGGGGGGTAATTGGGCCTCCGCTAACCTCACTCACACGACGAAACACAACGCAAGCGTTGTTTCTCGTCGGTTTCCTGTGAGGCCGTGTATTACTCTGGTCGAGCCGGCCCACTCGTGCCAAAGCATAGCTCTCCCGCACTTATTTACTTATTTATTCATCTATTGGCAGTGATTACCAACATAAAACACAATTAAAAATACAAAGATCCATCGTCATTGTCATCTCAGTGACAAGACATCCACTGTTGAACATAAATATCACCTAGTGACTATACAGCCATAATAAATCTTTTGGAACAACAGAAAATTAAACATTACACAAATGGGCCACTAAATCAACAAAACAAATAAAGTAGATAATAAAACAAATTAACCTTGCGAATCTCTCCTTGTCCTGAATGTTGTCCTCCTCCATCCTTGTATATTTCCCACCACTTGCGTCGTCTTCATCTGACCTATAAACAAGGTTTTTTAATATTTCGGTGAATACTGTGCGAAATAAATGTTAGTGTAATATAAACAAATTTTGTTTGTAAGTGGACAAGGAAATTAAATTTAAATTAACCTGATATAAAATTGTAAAATATAGGAACTGTAGTCCAAAGATGAGGAAACAATACAAAGAAACAACATTCCGTAATATAATTAAATTCATAAAACATGATTCACAAAGCACTTTTGAACAAGTACAATAAATTAACTCGTCGAGTACCGGTTTTATAGACACAATTAAAGAACAATAGGTCGCGGTCACCGGTGACCGCTTGGTGTTTGACAGATTAATAACTATTCGTAAATGAGTTAAGACTAATAACAAAATGATTTATCATTATGGCTAACTAAGATTATTGTAGTACAGCTGGGTAATTGTTATTTAAATTGAATTATATAGCATAACTATTTTTGATTGAAAGGAATTAACACTAATTCCTTCCTATTTTAATATTTACTGCCATACTTGAGAAACCTTCTGTAGCCCAATTCCTTAGTAATAGTTTGTGTTTTTAAGTTCAGTTTAAGGTTCTGGGCACAAAGCAGTAAAAAATGTGGAAGAAATGCACAGAAAACAGTATATTATATAAAAAAAGTTAGTAAAATCTCAAAAACTCATAAAAAGAAAGTTTGTGGCAATGATGATTTCTAAACAGAGTGTATAAGATATGTAAGTTTTGTCATTGCAGTTAAGTCAATGAGTAATGTTTATGAATGTTTAACCTTTATTCTAGCATAACATCTAGAAACTCACCCAACACTGCCAGCACGGCGTTTTTGTATATCCTTTGCTGGGTCAGCCCCTATAAAAATAGCAGTTGTTTAAGGTTTTGCTCCAAGGAGGTATTTTATTGAAATTAAATATTAAATTATAATAGGTATTAATAAATTATTTTTACATTTATTATTATAGTTTTTAAAAAAGTTACTTTTATATCTAGTTATTTCATTAACCTAATTTTATTATTTTCTTTTTCAATATATAATATAATTCAAATTGCAAAAACAAAAATTATTTTGATTTTAAAGCTTTATTAATTCTACCAATATTTTGTGAAACTTTCAAACAACTAAAGTTAATACAACTTATGATAACTAGAACTGAAGGACAAACAGGATATTTAAATATATGAAACAAGAAAAAAATGGTATTGATTAGCAAATTAGAAAGACGAATTGTTTAATCTGTTTATATAAATAATAACAAACTCTTATCTATAAGGTTGTATTTCATTATCAGGTTTTATTATATTATCCAAAATTATAGTGTAAATAAATATAGTGTATAAATGCGTCAACTATCTTATAGAATTAGTTTCAACTAGGTATAATAGTAGTAAATTTCACTCTAAGGATAGAAAATAAATATTTTAAAAGGTGAAACTATTATTAACGATAGTTTAGATCAAGGTCATAATATGAATTCTGAATAGTAAATACAATTTAACCCAATTGTGTATCAAAACAAAAAAACTAATAAATAGAAATCGATGTCTAAACAACTACTTTATATAATGAAATATCATCTATATATTCAGCGCAGCACTTAATATTCTGAAATTATGCATTGCTCAAAATTATATTTTATTGAAAAACATGTTAAGATAGTCAGCAATGTTCTCAATACCTGTCTTAACAATAAACTTAATTAAAACTTTACTTATAATCAGTTATATTCAAAAGTGCTTTGTATGCAAATTATGAATTCATTGGAAATGCGTTGATCCTAAATTTCCATTTCTAACTTGAGTAACAACGCGTCACGCGGTGCAATGTCAAAATGAAAATAGGTCGATAAATTTTGACGGATTACGTTTCTTCAAGAAAATATTAAATTGTTAAAACTAATCACAGTTCTTTAAGTGTCATTCTTAATTAGTATTCTAATACAATTTAATACAGGTATGCCAGGATTTACTCGTAAAACAGTATCGAAATGATCACCAACCGGGGATAGTGGGAGCCACGGCAGACATCGGTCAGTAAACTCATTAGTCCACGTTATAATTATCACTACTTTAAAATCTAATGTTATTCAAACTCACAACGAAAACGTCAGTAAAAGAACAAAGTAATACGTATGTTTACAGCTCTTCAATACAACACAAACGCCATTTTCCAGTGCAATCACCACATATAAAAACGTCACATATAAATGTTGCCATTAAATGATAGAAATATTTTATTTAGTCGATTTGTAGGATTTTTTATACTATTTCGATTTCCTTTTTATTTCTATTTAGCCAGAGCAACGAAATTATTACAAGTTAGAATGATATTATTGAGACAAATTGGAGAATACCAGAAATAGTATCTATAATTTTGCATGTCGAAAATAGCCGTCGATGTACAGCTTGGCAAAAAAGAGTTTGATGCGGTGAAAGCTTGGAACTAATATTGACGTGGACTGAATGAGGCCTACCTAGGCCTACCGTATTTTTACTCACCAGATGGCACCTCTCGTTCTTTGTCCAGTCATCTAAAAATAGTACTTGAAACTCCATAAAAATAATAAATATTAAAACTTGCTAAAGTAATAGTAATAATAGATAGGCAATTTATCGGATAAATATCCAATTAAATACTTTGGTTTTAGTTTCGTTGCGTGGTTGACTTGCGCACTTTTCGAACGCGTGTTGACGATAAACTATATAAGTATCTTACAAACATGTTGAAATGGTTAACCAAATTATGGATAATTGAAATAAATGTTTTGACTTTAACTTTGTCTTTGATTACCAATAACTTTAGGTAATTTTCTAATCTACGGATTGGCTTTTTTTTTGAAGGGGGAATATCATCCAAAGACTTCTCTCGCCTGGGTAAGGCGAGAGGGAGTGTCAGACTCTTACTGACTAAAAACCACCACCTATTTCTGCACTTCGAGTCGGAGCTCCGGTCTGATGGCTCTTTGAGGCGTGTGCGGAACGAGACACGCCGTACGCTCGGGTTTGTTTCTGGTCGGGCGGTGAACCACCCGTTCTCGCCGTCCGCAGGCTCGAGCTTACGGTGGCCGGAGATTGTCTCACAATACCCGACGCGCAGAGTGTTTCTCGAAACGGCCGGGGCGTGAGGAGGTTCGTTGGCTAGCATGACTGCTTCGCAGAAGGAGGAGACGGCAATCCAGTCCCCCTCGCTCCGTACCATAGTCTGAGCTGGACGCGAGAGCTCACCGTCGCCGATCACATCCCTGAGGACATGGCGGTGCTCAGCCCACGCAGGGCACACTGCCACCATATGCCCCACCGTGTCCTCCGGGCGGTCCTCGCAGTGATGACACCCGGGCGTTTCCTCCCGCCCAATCCGAAACAGGAACGGTAAGCACCTGAGTCAGGCGGTAGGTTAGGACGCCGTGGCGTCTCTCAAGCCACTCCTCAAAGAGGGGACTTGCCGCTGCAATGAAAGCGATCCCAGTCCTCGGTTGCGACAGTCATTGCTGTCATTCCGCTATGAGATTGCGCCGGAGGTCATCCCGCCACGGACTAATCAGGCGCGGCATCAGAGTTTCGCCCCGGCGACGTGCCTCCGCGCGCAAATAAAACACGCGCGCGTGCACCTTCGCCTCCAGCGGCGGTAATGGCGCATGGCGGTTCGTCGCCTCCCCGGAGATCGTGCGATATCCGTGGATTAATCGGATCGCTATGACTCTCTTAGATATGAGCAACGCTCGACCGGACCGCCGCATCAAAGACAAAATGTGCACCTCTGCCTACTCCTTCGGGGATAAAAGGCGTGATGTTATGTTATGTTATTTCATAGGAAGTGACAAAATTCAAGCCGTACGCAGTGGACCAAACACAGAATATTTGTATTCTATATTCCGTGGGACCAAATAAGGGACCTCGTAGTTTGGTTTATTAAAAGGTTGACTTTCCTACCCTCACCTGGAAAGCGTTATAAAAAGATCTTCCCAGATGTTGAGCTTTGTAATAAGAAACTGCAAAGTCTTTCTCGGTGTTGGGCTAAAAATTATGCTGTATAACAGTCTTGTAAGAAGTATCTTAAATTATTGTAGTGTGGTATGGTGGTCACATTATGCAGTACATTCCCTTTAATTAGAACGCATTCATAAGATGTTCTTGTGGCATTTGTTACGCAAGGAGAATAAGATATACAAAAAATCTTCTTTTTGAACAAATTGTCACAATTCAAGATGGTCTTTTTATCTGATCGCAGGGAACTCCCCGACTGTATCTTTATGTATAAGTTTATGTTTATATAGACTGAGTAAGGTGAATTAACTCGTCGAGTACCGGTTTTATAGACACAATTAAAGAACAATAGGTCGCGGTCACCGGTGACCGCTTGGTGTTTGACAGTTTAAAGAGTTCCTTAAGATATCTATGCTCGTAAACAGATCACCCCTTGTACACGCCGCGTCGTAGAATGTAAAATTCTACTTGGTGCACACTCACCACCTACCTCAATACCTACCACAGATGTTCACTTAGACTCACTTGGTCGATTCCGTTCTAATGTGTAATGCGTATTATTCAGTCCACATAGGAACTTGATATTATTTGATATTTAATGTTAAAATTCGATTTTAAGATAGTAATCAAGAACTTTTTTATATACACATACTTATTTGCGTCAGTGAATGTTGTAGTTATACCTGTAATTGTTTGGTTACACTTAGGCTGATTTCTCTTTGATAAATAAATGTTTTATTTTTACTGTAGTTGTGTAATGAAATGTTGGTAACTCTAAATAAATAAACGTACACACCTACCTACTTACTTACTAAATAGCTGGCCGCATAATTATTCGTCTATTGTTTTACGAGTTTGACAAGTACCTCCAAGGACTTACATAATGAAATAAAATGTGCAACTTTATTTGAAAGAATTCAAAATTATGACTAATATATAATATTTTTCCATATATTCTAAGAGACCATATAAAATCATGGACGGTGAGCCCGAAGCGCTATCCGATACAGCGACGAACTGTAATTTGGCATCTGCATCTGAAACGCTGTCAGATCATAATCAAGCAAAATTAGATTCCCTAGAGAAGAAAGCTGTTCATTTAAGGTTACTTTATATATTATATTTTATGTGGTGCACAAAGTTTATTATGATAACGAGAATTATACTTTTTGTATATGAGACGTACCTATTATTCTACTTCCTTCTATCCCGTTTAAAAACATTCTAAGAAGTATAGACTACTTTACTTTTGTAACTTATATGTAGATATTGTTTATTTTAAGAAACGTAAAATAAACTATCAGTTAGGTAGGTATATTTTTAATTTTTATAAACAGTGTACCTATCTAATTATAATTGAAACTACTGTAACACGAGGTTGTGACCTTATTTCAGATTAGTACTGGAGAAGGATTTCAAAGCTGCAGATATAAAATGGAGTCTATTTGTAGCAGCAGCTTTTAGTTTTAGATATGAAAGCTGCCTGCGGCCATTTCCGCCAGCTTTCTTGAAAAATGGAGTCAAGGATATGGATGAATTAGTAAGCTAATGTTATTCTTAATAATTTTTTTGCTTTTATCTACCCACTGTTGTTAACGAGATAGTTAGAAAGTACCTACTTACCTAAAGATTATGAATTTGTATTATTGGTGTAGTAGGGTTGCTGGTTGTGAAATTAAAGCCCCGGTGTTCTTGATGGTTATTTATTTACTGATTCTAATTGTATAATTATTTTTGTGTTCGATAGTCCACTTATCGAGGAATGCTATAGGCACGCATACATCATGCTACGATCAATGCCGAACGAACCGCGAACCGAACAACAGAATATGCCCGAGAGTTGCTAGTGTAATATGTTTTTTTTATAGCCTAAGCTGGTAAACGAGCCGACGTACACCTGATGGTAAGCAATCGGCACCGCCCATGGACACCCGAAACACTAAGGCGTTACAAGTGCGTTACCAGCCTTTTGGGAATTTGAGGATTGTGGAGAATTCGGGGATTCGGGAGACTAGGAATTATTGGGCCTCCGGTAACCTCACTTACATGACGAAACACAACGCAAGCGTTGTTTCACGTCGGTTTTCTGTGAGGCCGTGGTATCACTCCGGTCGAGCCGGCCCATTCGTGCCGAAACATGGCTCTCCCACACTTATGCACCACACATGTAATTTCAGCTCAGTGTAATAACGGATGTACCGGCTTTGGATTTAGTCTTACAGCAGTTGGATAACTTGGATAATTTATCAAATATCAGCGACATCATTGATTTGTTGTTTTATGTGCTAGTAAGATTAAAGGAGCCTTCTTTGAAAACCATACCTGCAGAAGTGGTAAGATGATGTTACATTTATTAAGTATTACACGTTTTTATTTTGTAACTTGCAATTACATATGTATTGAATTCCTATGGATGGATGGATGGATGGATGAATGGATGAATGGATGAATGTATATAATTATTTAGGTATGTATGAACCTACGTATGTATGAATTGATGTGTGTGTGAAGTGCAATCTCACAAGTAGGTAAATTTTGGAGCAGATATTTAACCGATTGAGTTACAGTACACTGATTACCACAAATGCCATGCCATTATCATTAATGCTTACTGGTCACCATGGTACTGATAATAAAAGCTTGTTTTTCAAATATTTTAAATAAAAGACAATACCCAAAAATGTATGGAGCAAGAATCGAGGAGAAAAGACCCAGAATCGATTAAAGTAATGTACAGGGTGTCCCTGAAGTCAACGATCAAATGGCACCAGGTGATCGGCAAGGTTCCTGCAGTTATCAGAAAAATATAAAAAAAATCTAAGTCAGATAGTTTTTAAATTACAATGACTTATGTGTTATCCACGAGAAAGTACACTCTGTGCCACTCTTTTGACTCTTATTACTACAATTCTTAATTTCGTCTTTATTTCTGCCTACGTTATTCTGAATAGTGCTTCAGTATGATTGAATCATTAAATCTGAGCTAACTGCTGTAGTTTGGGAAAGCATGTTGATTTTTGGCGAACTAGCATAGTGGAACTAGTATAGTGGCATAGTGTTACCTAGTATGCACTAGGTAACACTATGCAGGCGACATGCCATCATCGTGTTGCTAAAAATGTTGGAAATCAGCAAGGGTCTCTTATTAAACCGCATCATCGGTCTACTCATGATTTCGTTCGCAGTATTCTTCGGCAAGCACAAAGGAACAAGTTTGTGCATCACGAGCACAACACAAGCGGAGAGTGATTTTTAAATAGTAAGGAAACTGGACTGGACGTTCAGTTCATCCTAGCACGAGATTTTTCTGGTAGGTCTACGGTTTCGAGTCTATTAGTTTTATATGACTATCTAGTCAGATAGTCTGAGAGAATAGACAATAGTGAGCAGGTAGATGTGATTTACACGGACTACAGCAAATGTTTTGATAGAATCGATCATGACATCCTAAAAATTAAACTACTCTTGAATGGTATTAGAGGGGACCTTCATCGTTGATTCTGCTCTTATTTAGAGAATAGATCGCAAGCTGTAGTTTCAGTAATTATGTTTCAAACTGGGTTTCAATTCCCAGTGGGGTGCCCCAGGGATCCTTAATGGGACCATTACTGTTTGTAATATTCGTCAATGACATAGACACTTGTTTCCATAATTCCAAACTTCTTTTTTTTGTCGATGTTGAGAAGATATTTACCTCCATATAATCAACTAATGATATGCTGTCACTTCAGTCTGACCTGAACTGTCTGACTGATTACTGTCAGTCCAACAAGTTAGATTTAAGCCCCGCTAAATGCTCTGTCGTAACGTTTAGCAGGAAGCGTGTTCCATTTCCGACTACCTGTAGCTTAAAGGGTCAAATATTATCTAGTAGCCTTGGAGTACAGGATCTGGGCGTTCACCATGACTCAAAACTTCTATTTAATACTCACATTGAGCAAATGGTGGCGATAGCCTCTAAAGCACTGGGTTTTGTACAAAGGCTCGGGGGCTGTTTCAGGAGGGCTAAAACACTTAAGATCCTATACTCCACATTTGTCAGAAGCCATCTTGAATTTGCTTTCCAAATCTGGAACCCCTGCTATGACAAGTAAATAGACCGCATTGAGAGCATCCAAAAAATATTTATCAGCATTCTTTGTTTTCGTCTGAAGATACCGTATCGATCGGCAAATTATACAAAACTATGCAAAAGGTATCATTATCTGCACCCACTTTAAATCGCCGGCGAATAGCGAATTGCACTTATTTTGCCCAGATTCTAAATACTGAAATCGATTGCTCAGACCTCTTCCATAAGCTGTTATTTAGTGTTTCGAAAAAATCGATTCAATTTAATCCACCAATTGCTGTCCTAACTTCTTCCTCAAATTATAGACAGAATTCTTATATATTGCGAGTGAGTAAGGATTTTAATAGATTATGCAAGGATTTAGGACTTGATCCATTTACCACAAGCAGTTCCGGGGTGCGTAGTCGACTAGACCTTAAATTTTTTGAATGAATATCCAAGTTTTCTACTTTTTCAACCGACTTCAAAAAAAACGGAGGAGGTTCTCAATTCGACTGTATGTTTTTTTTTCTTTTATTATGTTTGTTACTCGATTACTCGAAGACGCCTGGAACAATTTCAAAAATTCTTTTATGTTTGAAAGGGTAAGTTTGTCATTTGGTCACATTGTCATGAAATTAAGATCTGATGACGGAATCCCAGGGAAACCGAGGGGAACTTTTAAAAATTATAGGAGCGACTAGTGCATGTGTTAATTTTTTCGTTAAGTATTTAAAACCACTATAATCGGATAACGGTGTGGAGCTGATCTGATGATGGAGTCGATGGAACTCCTCAACGGTTAACAGTAGCTACATTGTGTTTGGGTTTGATTAATTTGAATTGAAGAGGACTTTATACCTAGGTGGTATGTGATTGCCAATAAGGGTCTGATGATGAAGTACTACCATAGTTGAGGGAACTCGTCATCGGTTAACAGTAGCTACATTGTGTTTGGGTTTGATTAATTTGTATTGATGAGGACTTTATACCTAGGTGGTATGTGATTGCCAATAAGGGTCTGATGATGAAGTAGTACCATAGTTGAGGGAACTCCTCAGCGGTTAACAGTAGTTATCTTGTGTTTGGGTTTGATTAATTTGTATTGATGAGGACTTTATACCTAGGTGTTATGTGATTAAGGCCAATAAGGGTCTGATGATGAAGTAGTACGATAGTTAAGGGAACTCTTCAACGGTTACCAGTAGCTATCTTGTGTTTGAGTTTGATTAATTTGTATTAATGAGAACTTTACATCTAGGTGTGGTGTGGTTGTCACTAAATGTCCAATAATGAAGTAGTATGATAGCTAAGAGAACAATGGTTAACAGTAGCTACCTGGTGTTTGAGTTTGAATAATATGTATTGATGAAAACTTTGCACCGATGTGGATTGTACATAATATAATATATTCTAGTACGAAACTAAAAAGTATAAAATAAAAAAAAACTGCGTTTAAAAAACCGACTTCAAAAACAAAAATAAACGAAAAGTAAAAACTAAACAGCAAAAAATAACTATTATTGGTCATTCGTACATACATATAGCTTACACACCCACTGATAAGTAGGTTAGAAGTCGGTGCCACAAACCCATAACAAAATATACGTATCTTAGGTAATGGTCACAGGTATAACCCACAATAAAATTGTAAACAGCTTAATAATGTTAGGTATTAAGGTTTTATTGAATAATTTTGTGTAAAACTTGTGGCACCGATTTCTCACCTATCAGTGGGTGTGTAAGCTATATGTTAGTACGTATGATCAATAATAGTTATTTTTTGCTTTTTAGTTTTTACTTTTCGTTTATTTTTGTTTTTGAAGTCGGTTTTTTATGTGCATTGCATTGCAAATAAATAAAGGAGTCAAAAGACTGGCACAGAGTGTAGGTACTTTTTCGTATGGATAAGTTATTGTAATTTAAAAACTATCTGACTTAGATTTTTCTAAATATTTTTCTGATAACTATAGGAACCTTGCCGATCACCTGGTGTCATTTGATCGTCGACTTCAGGGACACCCTGTATGTGTGGCATAACATATTTATAAACACACATGTACATAGTATATCCCAAATTTGTGCCCTGCGTGGGCTGAGCACCGCCGTGTCCTCAGGGATGTGATTAGCGACGGCGATCTCTCGCGTCCAGCTCTCGAATCTCCTCACGCCCCAGCCGTCGAGACGCTCGGGGATCGAGAGACGATCTCCGGCCACCGTAAGCACGGGCCTGCGGACGGCGAGCACGGGTGGTTCGCCGCCCGACCAGAACCAGACCCGAGCTTAGGGCGCGTTCCGTGCTCGCCTCAAGGAGCCATCAGACCACCACAGATGATGCCGATACGGAGCCGCGGAGGGTTTATTGGGTTGCCTGGCTCCGGCTCCGGCTCAAAGTGCAGGTCATTAGATGATTTTCCCCATCAAAAAAAAGCCCATTCGGTTATAGTTTGGGTCAAAACGTACCTATTCTCTTACAAGGTTTATTTATTTTATGATTTACGAACGATTTTAATCGACTCTGGATTTTATTTTGGCTATTCTCCTTTATAAGAAAATAGTATCTAGCATAGGTACCTGAGTATTTTATAGGTAATTAACTATGTGCTACTTTAATTTTTTTTTTAATTGATCCTTGACAATTAAACATTTGCCAAAAATTGGTACCTTATTTATGTTACAACTAACTGTTATGATTCTCGCAAAATCTTTTTAAAAAAAGTATTACTTTTTAGGTATATGTTTAAAATCTCACTTTCAGCATGAGGCCATTTTAGCAAACGCACATTCGACAATATCTGCACCGAAGCCGCAGTATATATTTCAAGTATCAAGCTCCTTGAAGTCCTCTGCTGAAATGAAATGGAAAGAACTCGCTAAGAACCATCATATATTTTATGCATACCATGGAAATCGGTTGGAAAATTTTTACACCATATTTAATTTTGGGTTACAACAGCATTTAAATAAGGTGAGGCATCAGATATTAGGTACTCACAAATTATCTAATACTTATGCTTCGCCCGCGGCCCTGTGGGATAATTAGCTTATATACGGCTTATGTGTTATTCCAGACAATAACGTACTACTACCCCTTTTTGAAATTTCATTCTGATCCATTCAAATAAACTCACATAGGTACTCTTATTTTAACATAGGAGCTTATCGCGAAATCCGTTGTTCTTCTGGAGAGGGCTTTAACCGAAATATCAGGACCATTAGGACTATTGAATTGTGCTGAGTTTACTGGTATAATTGCCACTAAATTGAAATATTGAGTGGTAAATTAAGTAGAATAAATAATATCCAACGAGGGCAACAACCTACGAGTACTTACGTATCCTAATTTCGTAAATATTGATTAACTATTGTTTACCTTGTAGAATACATTGCTTGGCAATGGTGTATACTTGTCACCTGAGTTGAACTTAAGCTTGCCATATAGTCATGGAGGATTCGGATGGGGCGCAAGTTGCATTGGCGGGCACTTGTCTTGCATAGCCTTGTGCGAAGTTGTTGATGCCCCAGAAGGAATAAATTACCAAAAGCCAGTTTCTAATGAAGGTAAAATAATTCCATCTAATATAAATTGTGATTTCCATTGATAGAAATTCAATTTTTTTCACAATCTATAGTTTTATGATCTGCGTTAGTTACTGATTTGATTTGAATAAAATATTAATATACATATTTTGTCTTAGGTGATGGTTTATATGAAGATGAAAAGAGTAAATTATTAACTGAGCAAGGTTGCGACGGACAAATGACACAATATGTAGTAACAAACTGTGATCTAGTGAGAGTGCGTTACATGCTTGTGTATGCCAAACAGCCAGCCTCCATGAGGTTCCCTACAGCGAACGTCAACAGAAACGGTATGTTCTTCATCGATTTCATTGCTCACCGGTATTCAAAATCAAAAATGATCTTTCAACTTCAGGAATTTACATACCTACTTATGTCACGCCATTTAACTCGTCGAGTACTGGTTTTATAGACACAATTAAAGAACAATAGGTCGCGGTCACCGGTGACCGCTTGGTGTTTGACAGTTTAATTTCCGAAAGGGTAGGTAGTTAAACGGCCCACATAGGTGCTTTGCCCGAGCCGGCGATCCCGCGGCCTCTTACTCGGCAGTCATGCTTGGTACTCGACCAAAAATACATTTCATTAAATACCTATAAAGTATTGCATGTACAGCTATACTTTATTTTCAGTTGGCGGGCTACGTCAATGGCTTGCAAGGCATAAGCTGTTTTCCATTCTACTTGGCTATGGATTGATGCTCGCAACAATAGGCTTTGCAAATAATCAACCAATCCATTATTACTACAAAATATTATTAAAAAAACTTGACATTGCATACAGTTCTGTAAAAGTGTGATATTGGACTTAATACCTATATTGTTAGTGTTTAGAATAGTGAAGTAAAATTTATAAGTATTTGAGCACCAAAATATTTTAGAGCAATTTGTTAGTAATAAATTTGGGAAACGTAATTTTCACATTTCTATTGTCTTACGGCATTTGGCACGATTGCCATTGCTATAGATGATAATAACTTTTCTTATCTAACAAGTGCACAAATAAGCTGTTTTAACACACCACACCCGGCTTTTGTTTTGTGACAATGCTCAATATGGATTCATGGTGAAATTAGAACAATAGTGTCCAGCCATCATTACAGTTTTCTCGTCATGGGCTGGAGCACAATCATTGTACGATCTTTTCTGTCAATAGTACCTACCAATGCGGCACATACATAGCTAATTCATATCCACGCCATGTCCGTGTAGCCTGTGACAAAACATCAGTTTGAAATCGTCACTACAGGCATCACCACATTAGACTGTACATTTATTTATTTGTACTCACTCGTGTACAAAGTTAATACAGTGTTTACATTTTCCATACGATAGAATATTTCAAAAGACATTATGTTCAATTTGTTACGTATTCAAGTCTGGTGTACATTAGGCTTAAGTATTGTTTTAACCCAAGAACCCGTGACTAATCTCCCACAAGGACGTATTGTTGGGGTGAGTAATTTAATAATATAATTAGAGTTATTTGTTTCAAAACTTCTGCCAAAATAGTTTAATTTTTCACATTACTCGTGATACAATTCTTCGCAACTTCTCACTCAATAATAGTCTGCTACGTAGAAATAGGCTACGATCTACGAGACTGCCTAGCTCTGTTTCTGTCGTCTTATGTGCTACGCACTCGCTACGCAGAAAGACCTTTCGTAGCAGTTTTCGTAGTCACAGAAATATTGTAGCAAAATCTTTCAAATGTGGATCTAAAGCACTGAATAAAGTTATAGAATATAGGTATTGTGTTTTCTTTTTATTTTTTCAGTGTTTTAGTTATTAATTTATTTTAGTTCTCTAGTACTTTTTCTATTTATTTGGTTTACACAACGTTTCCGTAGATAGTTACTTTTGATTATATAGTTTTTTTTTCAATATCAATGTTGTTTTAAAATTACAGATAAAAGCTTACATAGAAGGGTCCAACACGCCAATAGAAATATACTATGGTGTTCCGTATGCAACGCCCCCGAAAGGAAGATACAGATTTTCGGTAAGATTGACTAGCTATATACATACAACATACATGTACGGTGTTTACGAAACATTGTTAAATTGTACACTTAGTTATAACGTAAAACGAAACATAAAATTAAAAATATATTAATTATTCGTTACAATACTGAAGGTTGATTGTTAATAACTTCATGAGTTTGACATGCATTATTTTCAAATAAAAGGCTCCAGAACGGCACACGGGTTGGAGACGAACATTTTTTGCCCATAGGATACCTCCACATTGCCCCCATATTGGAGACGACGACAAGGACAATTACAGCGAAGATTGTCTTTATTTAAACATATGGACACCTCGGGTAAGACGTCTCAAATTCATTCGGTTCATCGGCCTTAACTCGTCAAGTACCGTATTTATAGACACAATTAAAGAACAATAGGTTGCGGTCACCGGTGACCGCTCAGTGTTTGACAGTTTAATTAAGTAATTTCATTATAACATTATTCCTTGAATAACAGATGGCTAAACTATTACTAAAATACTAACAGGCAATTTTCTAATTACCAGGAACAATTGAAAAAACTGTGCACAATTTTTTAGATGTTTATTTTTATTCAACACCAATTGGGGTTCCTATACAATTATACATCTTGAATTATCTACTGACCTTTATTAATAAAAAAATGGCAATTCAACGACACCCAATTAAATTGAGTACCATTAACTTACCAACATTGTTCTAGGTAGCGCTCAGATGGTAAAACTTTACCAGTGGTTGTGATATTATTCAGTGAATCGTGGATAAAAGGTGGCGTATCTCTTCCTTGCCAAGAATTAGCAGCCGAGGGGATAGTGGTAGTCACAGTGATGTATCGATTACACCTACTTGCATTTTTTACTCTGCGCACTGTAGCTGCTAGGGGTAATCTTGCATTGTTGGATCAATACTTGGCAATGCTCTGGATTCGTGACAACATTGCAGCATTTGGTGGAGATCCTACTGCAATCACTTTACTTGGACACTCCGCCGGTGCTGATAGTGTACTGCATCATATTACTTCACCACGATCTCTTGGTACGTCTCCGGTTCCACGAAATAAAATAACAATAGATTAAGAATACACTATAATTGGTAATAATAATGTTTTTAAATATTTTTCTTGCATGCGCCTATTTTCATTTCTCTTACATCACAATACTAGATTGCCAAGACAACGGTGGATATATAAAGCAACAGAAAATAAAAGTAAACAAACATAAAAATTAAGATTTTAAACTTTATGAATGTTTTACACAGACCTACCTATACTTTGTCTATGTTCAATTGTTTATAGATAAAAATATTAATTGTAATAAATTCTATATCGATGTACAGGTTTATTTCGAAGAGCAATCATTATGTCACCGTTTGATATTTGGAAAATAATTGGCGAAAAGGTTGTTGAAGTTACTCAGGTTGAACGAATGTCTCGTGAAATTGCAAAGGCACTCGGCTGTAACGGTGACACAGATCACGAAATTCTCCATTGTATGCGAGAGCGCCCTTTGTCGGAATTAATGTCATTATATTCGGTAATATATATATTGCATACCTACATATATCAATGCCCGTTCCTATGCGGCCATGCCCATGTTTACTTTAATTATATGTCTAATTGCAGAACGATTCCTGGAATAGATTTATGCAACCGATTTCTGATAATTTTTTACCAGAATCTGAACAATTTTTGCCGAATTCAATAATGTCTGGCTTGACAAATCAAGCAACCAAAATACAACTCGATGTTCTTCTAGGCGCGAATGATCTCGAGGCTTTGAATAATAATGGTGGGTGTGGATGGATTGAATTCATCAAGTTAGGTACCTACCTACCAATATTTTTTGTAGTGGTACTGATTTCACGTTTAATTTTTCCACAGTTATGAAATATGAAGAATTAATGAAGCAAGGAAACCTTTACGCGAAAAACAAAGTAATAGTCGAAAGTCTTCGTTTTTTCTCTTTGGATCGATCGGAAATGTTACCCCTGGTAAGTTGAAAAAATTGTTAGGGCAGTTTAATAATGAACTGCCACCCATCCAAAAACTGACCTCAGCATGCAAACAACCTTTGAAACCCACTCGTATGAGTGATACTGTTAAGCAACGTTCTCTTACAAGTTGTGAGATTGTAAATGTAAACTTGTAGCTCATATAAAAGCTTAAGAAAAGTAGATGTTTTTTGTAAAAAAATGCACAACAAGCGTCATAATATTTTTTATGTTAGAAAAGCATATTTTTGATTCAAGCATGGAAAAAAAAATCCCATATTTTATGAATTTGGGATCGTGTCCAAAATAACATTATTATTGTATATTTGATGATTAGAAGTGATAAATAAAGAATCTAATGAAGTAAGATAATTAGAAATAGTAAATTAGGTCAAGCGCGTGTCTTTTTATTTTTTTTTTATTAGTTTTACTTTAAAAGGATTTTAAAGTTAACACTAAAATAAAAACTGCGTTTAAAAAACCGACTTCAAAAAACCAAAAACTAATAACAAACAAAAAGTCAAAACCAAAAAGCAAAAAATAACTATTATTAGTACTGATAGGTTACCCACCCACTGATAGGTTAGAAGTCGGTGCCATAAGCTCATATCATAATGATATAACTGTACAAAAAATTGTGAATTAGATACCTATTAAGGTTTTAATGAATAATTTTGTATGGAACTTGTTAGTTATTAGTTTTTGGTTTTTTAAAGTCGGTTTTTAAACGCAGTTTTTATTTTATTATTTTATCATTTTCAGTGTAAAGCTACATATACCCGTTTTGTTACTTATAATCTACATAGGTGCAAAGTTCTAATCAATACAAATTATACAAGCCCAAACACAAGGTAGTTATAGTATACCGTTGAGGAGTTCCCTTAACAATTACACTTCTTCATCATCAGACCCTTAATGACAGCCACACTCTATCTAGATGTAAAGTTCTTATCAATACAAATTAATCAAGCCCAAACACAAGGTAGTTACTATAAACCGTTGAGGTTACCGACTTCAAAAAAAGGAGGAGGTACTATGTGCGGCTGATTGTTTTTTTTTGTTTGTTTGTTCGCGCAGTACTCCGCCATTTGTGAACCGATTTCCAAAATTCTTTTTTGTTTAAAAGGGTATACTCCCGAGATGGTCCCATTTCCATGAAGTCAGAATCTGATGATGGGATCTTAGGGAAAACGAGGACAACTTTCGAAAATTCTATAAGCGAGTAATGCGTCTATTATGTTTTTCAATTACGATTTTTAAACACTACAATTTCATAAGGGTCTAGAGTCGACCTGATGATGGAACCGACAGACAGTCGAAGGAACTCCTCGGCGGTTTTTATTAACTACCTTGTGTTTGGACTTGATTAATTTGTATTGATGAGAACTTTACACCTAGATAGAGAGGGGCTGTCATTAAGGATGATGAAGAAGTGTAATTGTTAAGGGAACTCCTCAACGATATACAGTAACTACCTTGTGTTTGGGCTTGTATAATTTGTATTAATTAGAACTTTGCACCTACGTAGCTTATAAGTAACAAAACGGGTATATGTAGCGTTACACTGAAAATGATAAAATAATAAAATAAAAACTGCATTTAAAAAACTGACTTCTAAAAACCAAAAACTAATAACAAACAAAAAGTCAAAACTAAAAAGCAAAAAATAACTATTATTAGTACTGATAGGTTACCCACCCACTCATAGGTTAGAAGTTGGTGCCATAAGCTCATAACATAATGATATAACTTAATGTCCACAAAATTGTGAATTAGGTACCTATTAATTTGATCTTGTAGGGTACCTTTTATGGGACAAGCTGAAAAGCATAAATTTGCCTCTGCAATTTGTTAACATGTTTCAATATTGGTATGAGCACCAGCTCAATAGTGTTAGGTGGGCGGGAGCAATGTCGGATCCATATCGACTCGAGTGCGGAGTGCGGTAGGGTGGTTTGACTTCCCCAACCCTCTTCAACCTGTACATCAACGGGCTGATAGCAGAGCTTAGTAGTCAGCATGTCGGCTGCCACATTGATGGTGTGTGTGTCAACAACCTAAGTTACGCGGACGACATGGTGCTACTGAGTGCTTCGGTGTGTGGTTTGAGATGGCTAATACGGACGTGCGAGGAGTATGCAGGTGGCCACGGTTTAATATACAATGTTAAGAAGAGTCAGTACATGGTTGAGGCGGTGGGGCGAGATGTCCTAGTAGTGTGCCACAGGTTAAGTTAAATGGTATCCATCTTGCTCGTGTTGACAGTTTTAAATATCTGGGGCATATACTCACCACGGACCTTAGGGATCATGCTGACATGGAAAGGGAGCGTAGGGCATTGTCCGTTAGAGCAAATATGCTCGCCCGTAGGTTTGCGCAATGTTCGAGGGGGGTAAAAGTTGCGCTTTTTAAAGCGTACTGTACTTCACTGTACTCGTGCAGCTTATGGGCTGATTATAGTCAAACTTGTTATAGTACACTCCGCGTCCAATATAATAATGCGTTCAGGGCAGTGTTGGGGCTATCCCGTCGTTGTAGCGCGTCGGGAATGTTCATGGAGGCGCACACTGACGGCTTTCATGTGACTATGCGTAAGCGAGCTGGCGCTCTCGTACGCAGAGTACGGGCTAGTTCCAACAATGTCCTGGCAATGATAGCGCAGAGACATGATTGTCTCATAATTAGGAATTGCTGCGACAGGCATATTTCAGTGCATATACCACCGAGAGTGCTTTAGTATGTCTGTTTTAGTACCAACATACTGCATGTGTCTGTTTTCCGTGTGTGTATTTAATTTGTATTTGTTTTCTGTATTGTTTTGTCTGTTTAAATGTGCTTACTAACATATTTTTGTAAAGATGTTTCGTATTTTTGATTTTGTTACTAACACAGTGGACCATTGATGTCTTAAAAAAAATAAATAAATGAAAAAAAAATTAAGGTTTTAATGAATAATTTAGTATGGAACTTATGGCATCGACTTCTTACCTATCAGTGGGTGGATAACCTATCAGTACTAATAATAGTTTTTTTTTGCTTTTTAGTTTTGACTTTTTGTTTGTTATTAGTTTTTAAATCATTAGACACGTAGGTATTTTTTATTTTCTCACAGAAACGAATACTTTCGACGATGTATTGATTTGAAATGTCGCGTGACGTCACTTCTATGTACATTTTATACGTAGAAATGACGTTTTAACCCCCACTCATAAACTTTGATTCGTTTTATTTAAGTACTAGCCGTTGCCCGCGACTTCGTCCGCGTAGATTAATGACTTCTGACAGAATTCATCAGAATCAATTCAGTTCCCAAATAAGATTTACCTATAATAAGATTTAACTATAATAAGATTTACCAATAATATTCATTAACTTCATAAATTTCAATAACATTCAATAAATCATTTCAAATTTTGAAATGATTTATTGTATGTATTGTTTGTTATGATAAATCATTTCAAATTTTGAAATGATTTATCGTACTTTCAATAAATTGATTTGATTTGAAATAATCCCGCAGGGATCTTACTAGTACAGTGCCCGATCACGCAAGGTGTGAGTAATAAAAACTATTCCATCGACTGTTGTTGTACCGAATCTCTCTAAAATAAGTTCAGTGGTTAAAAGTTAGAGAGTCCTGGGTCATTGACGCATAGTTTCCGTTCCCGTGAGACATCTGTGATAAAAATTCTCATACGTTACCCAGGTCCCAAATCATCGTTTTACCGAATGTAATTCAAAAAGATTCAATGATTCTAAATTCAATGGCTAAGAAGATTTAAGTATACAAACTCTCATTCCCTATTTTATCCCCTTAGGGGTGGAATTTATCAAAATCCTTTCTAAGGAGAAACCTATGTAACTTTATGCATGCAGTCTCAGCCCGATTGGTTTAAAACTGGCAAAGTATCATACTAACTTTCACCCCCTATCTTACCCACTTTGGGGTGGGAATGTTCAAAAACCTTTCGAAAGGGACATTTACGTCATAGTATCCACCTGCACGCCGAATTTCAACCCGATCGGTGTAAAACTGACAAACTTTCACCCCCTATTTTACCCCCTTAGGGGTGGAAATGATCAAAATCCTTTCTTAGCTGATGCCTACGTCATAACATCTATCTGCATGTCAAATTTCAATCCGATCGATTTAAAACTGACAAAGCCTCAAACAAACTTTCATCCCCTATTTTACCGCCTTGGAGTGGAAATTATCTAAATCCTTTCTTAGCGGATGCCTACGTCATAACATCTATCTGTATGCCAAATTTTAGCCTAATCAGTCCAGCGGTTTGGGCTGTGCGTTGATAGATCACTATGTCAGTCAGTCAGTCAGTCAGTCAGTCAGTCAGTCAGTCAGTCAGTCAGTCAAAGTTATATGTATGCATCGGTTATATGTATAAGTAGAGGTAGATTGTTTTATTATACGACAAATTAAAAAAATACGTGTTTAATATTTTTTCATTACCTAACTTACGGACTTTTTCATTTTTCATTTTCATACCCTGTCATCATCCCAATTACAAATCTCCCTGTATAATGTTGCTTTTGGTTCTGGGATATTTTCGTTTCCCAGTCGCCTTTTTTAACTAATAGTTCTCTAGTTATCATACTTCTAAAAGGGATCAGTGATCGACCAATGTTCGATTATAAATGTACCAGATTGCCTACAATCTTTTTTAACAAAATAACTCTACTATTGTCAATTGTGTTTTAAAATGACGAATTTGGTCAAAAATAGCTCTGATAGGTAATGTTACTGATTTTCAGTTAGTGGAAGCCGTACGTTGGGAATATTGGAACAATAAAACAAGAAATGTAAAAGAGGGACTTGGTAATGTGGAGTTTCTGGGGCGAGTTGAATCTGCAGCAAAATGGAACTCGGGTATCGTACTGATTGCAGCTCGTTTGGCGAAGAGAGTTAGGCGCCTCTTTGTTTATAGATACTCACAACCAGCTGGAGTTGATCTAAAAGGACAACAGTACAATTTTACTGGTAGGTACATTATAAATATAAATATTTTGCTACGCATTTGCCACCTACTTATAACTCAATACATATGAACATACGTTCAGGTGTTACCTACTTTTATCGTTTATTTCTTATTTTTAGGAGCAGTCCACGGATCCGATTTAGTGTCTCTGTTAGGAGATGCATTAATGCTCCAGGTAGCCCGACGACCCTCTACAAAAGAAGAAAAGAGAGTTTCGTTTCTCTTACGAAGACATTTAATTAACTTCATTCAATTTGGGTCAGTCAATCAGTCAGTGAAAAAAGTGATGCAATAATTTATTAATTACCTATTTTTGTAAATCAATAAACTTTTGAACGTTTTTGTAACAGTTCACCTGGCGAAGAATCAATCTGGCAACCCTACAAATCATCGGACGCCAACGTATATGATATAATACGAAAAATTCCTATCCTTACTACCATAATGCTGAAAGAGATGCCAGATTTTGGCTTCAGTATTTGCCACAACTGAACATTATTTTGGATACCGCAGAGAAAACAGGAAAACTGACAGACGAAAAAGGTGAACTGCATAATTATTTTGTTCAAAATTGTTTATTTTCTTAAAAGATAATTACTTCCTATACCTCGTATTTCTTATTTAGGTAATTACTCCCTTACCCTTAAGAGTACCATCAGATGGATTGATTTAGGTACTGCTACTGGGTACGCAGCAACCGTGCGTTGGTACAGTAGTGACATTGCGATTTAAAATACACAACTAGACCTACTTTCAATTAACTAATTAAACTAAACTTATCGTGTTTCTATTATAACTATGGTGAAACATGCTGAATTAACTAAAAATTTTGAGTTACTCACGTAAATATACTGAGAAATGCTTTACTAGTGGTACGGTGATGTCGCACAGCTTACGCGCAGCCACGACCGCGTTAAACTGTTATTTTTTTATATATTTGATGGGCCGACGTTTGGCCACTATCACACCTGGTGGTAAGCGATGATGCGGTCTACGATGGAGCACGTCTGCCCATAAACATCCTATTCACTCAAGCCTTGAGGACACCCAGGTTATACATTTCAAGAAATACAAACTCTGGCAAAGAATTCCACTCCTTTAGCAGTACGTACAAAGAAGCTTGACGCTCCAATCGTCGTGTGGTACGATGATGGAAAAAATTAGGGGAAATCAAGTAGTGCAAATTCTCGCACAGTCTCCAAAATGTGTCTTGTGTTCGAGGATTTGAAGCCGGGCCTCCACAAGCGCATCCTCTTTAATTAGCCTTCTGGCATGCCTCTCGATGTGTTGTAGTACGTCCAACGTGTATTTAACCGAGCCGTCCCAAAGATGAGAACAATACTCCATGCAGGACCGAAACAGGCTCAGCAATTGTTTCAGTGTGACTTACGGTCTCACCTAGGATTGCCACCCGTACTTTATAATAAAGTATTGTACGTTATTTAAGGTAATTGTACTCTATACTTTATAAGAATAATAAAGTACACGAAAATACTTTATTTTTGCAAAATTCGATATCGATATTTATGGACTTACGTTGAATCGATTTCGCCACTCCCCAGCGCCACTTAGACAATTTCTAGTAAAGATGCAATTGTTTAGTAAAGATACTAATTTTATACAAACTGCAAAAAGCAATAAAAAGTATATTTTTAAATATAATACGAAATAAGAATAAATTGTACTTTATTTTTGTACTGTGTAGGTACTTTTTTTTCTTACCTATAATCGTCAATGTACTTTAAATACCAAAATAAAAGGTGGCAACCCTAGTCTCACCCTCCATAGGATACCCAACTTCCTACCAGGCAGTTACGCTTTAGACTCTATTAGTAAAAATGCCCATGATGGCATTAAGCCCGCCTATGATGGCGCTGCAGTCGGTTTCTAGGTTATTTATCTATACCTATTATTACAGGATAACGTCTATCGGGTCCGCTAGTCTTTATATATATAATTCTTCTGTGAGTGTGTATGTCACTGAACTTCTCTCAAACGACTGGACCGATTTTGATGAAATATATTTGTGTGTGTTCAAGGGGATCTGGGAATGGTTTAGATTCACAAATCAGCCTGCAGATGGCGCTGCAGTCGGTTTCTAGGTTATTTATCTATACCTATTATTACAGGACAACGTCTGTCGGGTCCGCTAGTTCCTTATAAAATATTATTAGGTAGGTACCTATATGTATACATATCATCCTTAAAACATTTATTTTGTTTTCAGATGAAAATCGACTCAGAGGCGGTGTTCTTGCAATGTGTGGCGTCACAATAGTACTTTTGCTACTTCTCGTTATTTGTGGTATAATATTACATATACAAAAGTCACGTAGATTTACCGTTGTTGATGAGAATCATCATTAAGCAACGTGCGAGCTGAAACCATACTGATGGTTGCGCATTAAAATGAATTTGTTGTTGCACAATTTCGGTACCTACATATCTACAATACTTACATAATATTATAATCGTACTAATATTATAAATGCGAATGATTGTGAGTTTATTATTTTTTTGAATATTATATTCATGTCTGTCCATGTTTATGTCTGTTACTGACAAATCGCTTCAAAACGGCTGTAGGGCCCTTTTATTATTTGGGGCCTTTACTATTGCAGTAGTTATAAAATTGTATATGTATATCTTACATTGATTTAATAATTGCAGATTTGTCAAAATCAAACAAACAATCTGGACGCATCTGTTGGCCCACCTTAGAGTTTTGGTTTCGATGGCCCCTACCGAAATATGATTGCTAGATTGAACAAAAACTGTTGATGCAGTTTTAAACCTGATACATTTTACCTTCTTTTTCGATCGTATTGTTTTAAATTTGAATTCAGAATACCATACGACATGGAGCTACGTCTAACAAATCCTATATGCGCCTTGTTAGAGGCAATTGATTTTTGTAATAAAAAACATGTTTTATCAAATAAAGGTTTAATTTAATAACGCGTGTTGCCTCCATGGGCATCTACTACAGCTCTCATACGGTTAGGCATATTGTTTATCAACCGCTCTATGAAATTTTGAGGGATCATCTCCCATTCCTCTTCTATGGCAGTTTTCAACTCCTGTATCGTCTGGATAACTGGCTGACGAGCCCTAACACGTCTTTTTAGCTCGTCCCACATGTGCTCAATGGGGGTCATGTTTGGGCAACTGGCTGGCCAGTCCATAACTGTCATGTTCACATCCCGAAGATATTCCGTGACGATGCCGGCCGCATGGGCTCTTGCATTATCATGCATAAAAAGGGGACCACATAGTCTGCGTATGGTATCACGTGGGGTTCTAAGCACTCACGAATGTACCTTTCAGCATTTAATGTTGGCAGCCGTGGTCCTGTAACAACCTCAAGTTGAGTTTTGCCGCTCGCGGATATACCGCCCCAGACAGTCCATGAGCCACCGCCATAAGCAATCCTCTTTCAAAGCAGCATTGTGCGAAACGCTCTCCCTTACGTCGGTAGACCTTCTTCCTTCCATCATTGCCATGTAACACAATTTTAGACTCATCAGAAAAGAGTACACGGCTCCAATCGTGCTGTGTTCAATTTAAATGACTGCGTGCGAAATGAAGGCGCGCTGTTCGATGGGCTCGCGTTAGTTTGGGCCCATTAGCTGGCTTGTGTGGTACCATATCGCGTTCTTTTAACTTTCTCCGAACAGTTTGACCGCTCACAGATACTCCGTGGAAGTCGCGAAGTTGGTTTTGTATCTCAATGGAGGTAAGGTGACGATTTCTCAAGCTGGTCGTCATGATGAATCGATCTTGCCTTTCAGTTGTGACCTGAGAATGTAGCCTTCCTTGGCTACGAACAAAGCCGCCAGTCTCTAGGTGCCTTAAATTTGAATAAGATCTACTTAAATTAAGTTGAGCACTCACGTTTCTTTGGCTGTGTCCGGCCTGAATAAGTGCCACAGTTTGGCGGCGACTTCAGGTGAAGTATCCATAGATTATGGATAGAACTTCACCTTAATGTTAAGAATAACTAATGTTTGTTACAATCAATCACTTTCTCAAGAATTAAATCCAAGTAAACCAATAAAACCAAGTTTTCTTAGTATTCGATTGTTTGATATCAAAAAACAGGCTCCAAATTGTCTTTTGTTTATTTAAATTCTGTGTTCAAAATTAAAAAAAGACTATTGCATGAAATTGTGAATGTGCCAGGTTCAAAACCGCATAAAAACTTTTTGCTCGACCTAATATATAGCTAGGATAAAACGAAACTGAAAATACAAGGTGGGCCAATAGATGTGTCCATAGTATAATATGTCTACAGACGTATATCTATTTTTCGGATCAGACATAGGGCAGCCATAAAGATGTGAATAATAAAATAAAAATTTTTTACATATTTTTTCGGGGTTTATCAGTACTTAACTCTTGACTGCAACGGTAGTTGCTCAATGTTTATAAGTGGTATTACTTATAAAATTTTCAGTGGTTTATAATTATCGACGTTGAACAAAGGGCGGACGCAATGTTTTTATAGATTATAAAAATAAAAATGTATATTTCTTAATTTTTTTTTTAATTACAGATATGATGAACATGACATTTTGAAATCATCTCGATGACCTTTTTAATCTCTCTTAAACCCATATTGCAATACTTGAAGAATTTGAAATTTTTTAGGTACTCGTAATCTTTAGCGTCTGACAGTCACCATGTTGGTTTTTTTTTCAATGTCATAATGTAAGGTGGTATTTGATGACCATGGTGATTAATGCTCAAACCTTTTCGGCGCGAGAAGAGGCCTTTGATCAGCAGTGGCCACTTATAGGTTGTTGATGTTGACGATATAATATCTAAGGGCTGGAACACATAAACTCGTGTTTCCCGGTTTCCAAGAATTAATTAATTAACAAAACACTTTTTTTACTGTTGAAATATATTTATTGATAAGAATTTACATTAAATAAATAAATGTATACAAAACTAAATTTGGTAAGCAATCCTAGAAATATTATAAATGCGAAATATTCCCAATTACAATGCAGGGTGAATTGTATTCACCCTGCATTGTATGGACGGCATCGTACTGGATATTGTGACACGTCACGACGTCGCGACGTATTTTTTTAGGATGCTCGTCATAAATTACCACGGTGCGACGTCGTATCGTGTTTATGTGCACCGACCTTAAGACTTGGGTTCTCACGACATATCTATCGATATATCATTATCACTTTGTCTGAACCGGTTAAGTGGTTCAGAAGAAACAAAGAAAATAAAAAATGTTACCCTCAGGTGGCCGCAAACCAATCGAAACTTCCCATTCTAGAACCAGAGTAAACCTGTGAGATGTGAGGTGGAGAGCTAGTATAATTGTTGGCAACACTGGTTTTCCCGACAATAGTTTCCGGATCCAGACCCTAGATGGAGCTAACGGTATGATTTTATTGTCTGTGCTCGATTCTAGGAGTGACGACCCAGCATTACGTCAGTCACGTCAAGTACGATAAAGTATCAGTCATTCGTTCCTCGTTCGTTCGCTTGTACCATTTCCGATTTTATGTTTATTTTATTCCCTTCGTTTGTACGTTACGTTAGTAATTGTATTTGTGCAGTTGAGTGACAAGTTGGGTTATGTCTAAAAAACTATTTTGTTAATTATTCAAAAGTCAACAACAATACTTAAATAATTTAAATTATAAGGTGATATTTAGAAAAACGCAAATTATCAGCACTTCTTGAAAATGGCTTTAGCCCTCCAAAGACGAGCCAATGTAAGTATTTACAAACACTGCATAACAATTTTTAAACGTGTAAATTAATTTATTCCTAATCATTTGTAATTTGTATCTACGTTAATAAACCACTTAAATTTGGATGATAAATATACCTCCCAGTGTATTGGAAGTAAATAATTTGTATAGATTCGGTGACTCGCGGTGTACTTACGGTGAATTTTTGATGTTCCGTTTACATACATCAAAAAAATAACACGCCTTGTATTATAATACTATAAGTTTTCATTTAAATCGAAAAGTAACACATGATTAAATTCCGCATACAAAGTCTACAAGACCAGGAACTGTGTTTAACAAAGTCAAAATGCATGTATGGCTCAGTTGTGAATTAATTTATTCCTAGGCATTTGTAATTTGTATCTACGGTAATAAGCCACTTAAATTTGGATGATAAATTTACCTCCCAATGTGTTGGAAGTACATATTTGAATAGGATTCGGAGACTCACGGCGTACGGTGAGTTTTTGATGTTCCGTGCGTGTATGTACATACATCAAAAAATAACACGCGTTGTATTATAATACTTTATGTTTTCGATTACATCGAAAAATAACACATGATTAAAATCCGCATATAAAGTCTACAAGACCAGGAACTGTGTTTAACAAAGTCAAAATGCATGTATGGCTCAGTTGTGAATTAATTTATTCCTAGGCATTTGTAATTTGTATCTACGGTAATAAGCCACTTAAATTTGGATGATAAATTTACCTCCCAATGTATTGGAAGTACATATTTGAATAGGATTCGGAGACTCGCGGCGTACGGTGAATTTTTAATGTTCCGTGCGTGTACATACATCAAAAAATAACACGCGTTGTATTATAATACTTTATGTTTTCGATTACATCGAAAAATAACACATGATTAAAATCCGCATATAAAGTCTACAAGACTAGGAACTGTGTTTAACAAAGTCCAAATGCATGTATGGCTCAGGTTTCGTGGGTGAATAGAATCGAATGACCTTTTATAATTTTTCTAGGTTCGCTTGCCACCAGAAGTCAACCGAATACTGTATGTCAGAAATTTACCTTACAAAATATCAGCTGAAGAAATGTATGATATATTTGGAAAATATGGAGCCATTAGACAGATTCGTGTGTAAGTATTTACTGTTTGTTTGTTACAATTGTAGGTATACTTAATAATATATATAAATACTAGGTACTCAATTATAGAACACCCCTCTAAGATTGTCTTTAGACAGTTTTGTGTTTAGTAATGATGTAATGTTATCAAATTTTTACGAATTTGCTTTTCATTTGAGTAAAAATAAAGGTACAATCTATAAATATAACAATTTTATAGGTACATACATAAACTCTCTTTATTATAGTCGTTAAATCTGTAATAATTATCATATTGTCCTTCCCTTTTTATTATATTCCATAAAATTGAATTTCATATTATGTTTTTTTTGCAGAGGTAATACTCCTGAAACGAGAGGAACAGCATTTGTGGTGTATGAAGATATATTTGATGCAAAAAATGCATGTGATCATTTGTCAGGCTTTAATGTCTGCAATAGGTATTTAGTAGTGCTATATTACAGGTCTAACAAAGCATTCAAAGGTATGGATATTGAAAAGAAACAGGAAGAAATAGATGCATTGAAAAAGAAATATGGAATATCAAGTGAGGATCTTCGCAAATAAACTATTTTGGATAACATTGTTTTTTTTCTTAGCCTAGTATTGAACAACTATTAACTACAGACAAAATATAGCATTGTTGTATTAGATTTAGACTGAATTAATCTATTATAAATCAACAGCTATACAAATAACAAATGCATGATCTCAGCCAGTCTTGGCTCATGTTGGGCAATTATATAATATACTAGTCTAAATGATATTAAACTATACCCACCAAAAACAAAAAGTTAATCATATAGCACCATGTATCTGTATGCACATGGAAAACTATAGTTGAGTACTATGTGGGCATGACCAAAACATTCATGGACGAGATTGGTAGAAAGTAGAAACAGGATCATAGAATTTTCCAAGTAGTCAGATCGAAGTCTTTCAAACCTCGATAAAAACACAGGCACAAACTTGATCGCCCTTGACATATAATTGTAATATAAAGCTGAAGAGTTTGTTTGATTTCATAAATCTCAGGAACAGGATTTGAAAAAATATTTTTGAGTTCATAGGGTAAGTCCATTATAGATGCTAGATAGACTTTTCGAAAATGCTTAATAATTCCTAAATCTATAACCTTAGAGCATTGTGTTCTTTGAGAAATATTTAATATATTTCTTGATGTATCATTTTATCTAAATCGTTATCTATATAGACTGTAGATTTTGTATAAATTGTAATTTCCTGGACCTCTTAAAAATGGGATATACGCCTACTGTGGTGGATAGAAGACTCATCATGAAAAGCGTTGTGAGGATAGGTGCCCTTAGTGAGGATTCAGGACTTAGTTTTGACTAAGTTAAAAGTATCAATGTTTGCATTGTATTTGATTTGTTCTGAAATTAAACAACTATATTATAATAATCAGTATTTATTGTATTTTATCACAAATAAAAATTTTCATCTATTAACGATAACATAATTATATCAATAATAATCAACATATATTACATAAACTACTAGTAGTAGGTACCTACTAGGTAGTAATGACTTGTAGAAACTTTAATACTTCTCCAGTCTTCTTAAATAACAATTATCTTAAAAAAATAACAGCTCTGGTATCAGACTTAATTTTCCTTAGGATAAGATGGTACTTAAATTGTAAATTATTTGTTACTTGAATCATGCAATTTCAATTTCCCACATCTTGTAGAATAATTCTGATATCTTGTGCAATTTTAATGTAGCCACTGGTGACATTCAACACACGCAACCCAGACATATTTAAATTTTGTGGATGAATTAATTTTAAAACAATCTAAACAATGGTTGTCATGTTGTAATGTTGAATCTTCCTTATTTTCCTTCTATTTTTTACTGGTATTCCTTGCGTACCTAGCTTTTAGTTTGGTTGAGGTAGAAAAGCGCCCTATTTTCATTTATATTTATAAGGCATTTTGCTCTCATGCAACAATACAACTCTTATGAAAACAGTTGAGGATAGTTGCCCTTAGGGGCATCAATCCTAATAAAAAACGAAGCAACTTCGCATACTTTTTGTAGGGGATAAATGCCCTTCTGAATAAAAACATAAAACGAGTTTTAATTACTATAAAATCTATCAATTTACATAGGCTAGGCATATCTTCAATGCAAGCAGACTAATAGAAAAACATTGGACATTATAGGCGAGAGAAAAAATACACTCTTAAAATAAAAGTACTTGCAAATCTTATTTTGGCACCTTTTGCCGTCTCGCCGCGGAAGATTTTTACTCACCGAAATGAAACGCGGGCCCTCCCGTACACAATCTGCTTGGCCCAGAAGTTTGTGGGGACAGGATTCGTTACACACTTAAAATTAAATTTATCTCTCACAGTGCTCCTACTATACTTAGTGAAATAAAAATCAAGTCATCTATCCCACTGCGGCATCTACCCTGGACTTACCTTAGTGTGTTTGTTGCTCGACGGAGTAACGCATCAGACAAGGAACAGAAGTATGGTAATGCTCTTTTTAGGTGACATAGGTGACAACATCTTGCTGAATACCTACCTACCTACCTAGACTCATCTCATTTCTTTCTGGGCCATGTCTACAAGTTGTGGTCGAGTGTCATACATAATGAATCGTCCCACCCGTATGTCTGATGACTTCCAGCCTCTCAAACAAGCCGGTTCCCTAAAACTTGAAAGGCTGTAATATCATAGACCACAGCCAAGCACTACGGTAATTTACACAATACCGAGGATTATAATTTGATCCTATGCTTAGCGTTTATAGGCTCTTGATTTGATCGAGGCTTAGTTTTACCTCATGGCAACGTCGCCAACGGCACAGGCCTATCGCCTGTTTACTACTGGGCTCTGGCATCCGGAGGTCGCCAAATCCGTGGCCTCGAGTATCAACGACTACTAGTAGTCATATAGAATTTAGCCAGTATGAGTCTGACATAACATTCAGTTCAAATATCCAATCCAGTGGCCAAATAACACCGCGCGCATCAAGAGCGTGCTCGTGAAGAACTCAATATCATCATAACTTGTTCAATACTTACAGGATACTAATGAAACGTCACATACATTTGAAGGCAGTTACAAGCTTTTAAATAACGTTTAAAGTAAGTCTTTAGAGCTCTTATTGAGAGTGCTGGGACCAATTTAAGTGTTTTTCTATTTAATGAAATAACTTTTAAGCTATTATTTTGATTTTTTATTGCACAACAAATTTAAAACTAATTAATAAGAAGCCATGTACCAAATATAAGAATCCGCTTAACCATTTCAAAGATCTAGCAAAATCAAAAACGTTACCCCAGCAAAATCTCGAATAACTTCGCAACCGATGAAAGAACAAATACAAAACCAGGCACAACATTTACTTCACCTAGACAACTAATTTTATAGCTAGTAATTATTTAAATATTCCCATTAGAAAGAAAAAGGTCTGGTTGGAGTAACGTTACCCCAGCAGGAAATGTTTTTGTGAAATAATTAAAAAACTATAAGCGCAACAAATTTAAAAATGTGCGCAACAATTACAGAAGCCGCACAACTAATTATCTATAAGATTCAAATGACCATTTTCGACAACATCTGGCCTGGGTAACGCACACCTCCCGCCTCACCTAGGCGGGAGAAGTCATTCGATAATATCCCTTAAAAAAACTTACACAAGAAAACCAGCTCGTGCCTGCACTAAATACTTGGCGAAGTAGCAAAAGCGTCGCCAAGTGAGTTAGGAACCGAAACAAAATCATAAAAAAGTGCGATTGGAAAGTGATAATTACTGAACTAAAGTTCTTTAGTTCAGTAATTATATTTTTTATCAAATTGCTTTTCAGAAGTATTTTTATGATTTTTTATTAAAAAATTTTCAAGGTTGGAAAATAATTTACACAATGTGAGATTAAATATTTATTTGCATATCGGTTTAAGGCCGTAATGTTAAGCTAGAATCTGATATACTTGAGTATAGAATTACAGATATGTACCTACTCCATTATTAATAGTTTACTGCGGGTATTATTTTCAAAAACAGTTACATTATTAATAAATACTACTTAACAGAGATAAAAATTGAATAACCATGTTGACACAATCTATTGAGAGATTATTATTATCTAAATCTACTTCGCGGATTAAATAATACCTACAGATATCACAAAGAGGATTCTCACGAAACATGCAATAACTAACTACTATTGAATTAAATCTGCCATTGAAACTTACACCTATAAAATAATATTTGAATGCTAATTTCAAAGACGATGTGGAATCATAGAAGTATATAAGCTTACTTTTGTTTGCATACAATCATAATAACTGTAGTTAAAGGAAAGTGGTGTGTCTTTTTAAGGAGTATTTTTACATCTTTCTAATTAAAATATGTTGTCTACAAATCGAATCGCCGCCCCACTCTTGCCAACAAAAACATAATGAATCGTATAACATTTCAAGGTATAACAAAATATTCTTAATTTCTATTCAACTGAACTTTTTTAGTTTCGTACAACAATTATTTGATACTCCAACACATGAGATATGAGCCTATGATAGAGATGAGCCCACAAGGGCTGAATACTTTTGTATGGCATAATAATAATAATAACGATTGACACTAACAATGTCGTTTACTGAATGGAATAATAGGCAGCATATTGTTATACTGGTTAGTATGTTTCTCAGGGATAGTCCGAATCCACAATCATTTACGCTTACGATATATGTTTGAAAATCATTTGAGCTACACAATAAACTGTGCTTCTCACTTCCCACTTAATAAACATAACATTTAATACGATAAACTTTCTGTCTACATAGTCATGCTTCTTAACGCCTTAAGAGCACTAGTCTTAAAATGTTGAAACTATTTAACCATTAGTTAGCTCTTAACAGCACTAGTGATTAGTATGTACATACTTTATTTTAAACAAGAATGAACATTATTCACATAGTGAACATCCCCATCAATATGAATCACTATTTAGCCAATTTAACGAATACTAATTATTACAGCATATATATTAAGCTATATCATGTCACTCTATATTTATAAAAGAATAAATATATTAGACATTATCAAAACGAAAATCAGGAACTTTACTGAGATGCTTTAGAAATTGTGCTTAGTGAGCCGAGGATACAGGATTAAACATAATATAACATAACATTATTATAACTAAGAAAAACAAAAACAAAAATATATAAAAAACGTGACAGAATTTTAGAAATGATGTTGCATTGTGTATCACACTTGGCAACCCAATACTCTCATGACCAGTTTCACAATCCCTGCAAGTTCCTAGAAAATGTAACTTAGTATGTTGTAATTTCAAAATTTTCATAATAATCTTATTTTATATATTCTGTTATTTGGTAGTGAGTAGTAGAGTCCATGAAACTGACCAACAGTATGTTAAATACAAATATGATTTGACTGTTTATGAAGGAACAATAGATTTACCGTAAAGTTGTGAAGCTGAGTCTCGAAGAACAATATAAGACATTATAAAATAAGTACAGACGTGTGTATTTCACTAAAATAACCATTGACTCGATACCAAATGATAGTAAAGCACGGAAAACACATTGTTTCTTGAGTAGCCCAAAATGTAAAAGTTTTATGCCGTCATTTTAATAATACAATGTATATTCAAATACGCCATACATAAAATGTACAAAAATAAACACTAAGGTGTGCATATGTGGAGCACTAAAATAATTGTGTTTTACTTTCGTTACTCAGTCTGTTAACCTCTCTCACAATAAAAAAATTGCAGTGAATTATTGAAGAGTAGTCTGTTACACCTTGTATTTTATGAAACTTTTTGTCATAAATAACTTAAATTAGGAAGTAGATGTTAATCGTGCTCTGCCTTCAGTAACTAATTGTTTATTTATATAAATGTCTTCATCAGTAGATGTGTCAATAAGATCAAGTGTCAATAAGGGTTCGTTTGGATTTAACGGGTCCTTACCAACATCTTTACAAATACCTACAAACTGTTGCTCTACACACAATTCCTGGAATCTTATACAGTCTTCTACAGTCCAGTCCTGATGCAATGGCCATACATCTGAAATAATTGAAAAATATATATTTTAAATGTATTATTAATATAGTTCTTAGTTTTAAGTGTGGGAGAGCCATGCTTTTTTTATAGCATAAGCCGGTAAACGAGCAGACGGATCACCTGATGGTAAGCAATCGGCGTCGCCCATGGACACCTGGAACACCAGAGGCAAGTGCGTTACCGGCATTTTGGGGAATTAGGAGTTTGAGGATTGTTGGGGATTTAGGAATTAGGGAGATTGGGGAAGGGGAGGGTAATTGGGCGTCCGGTAACGGTGAGGCCGTGGTATCACTCCGGTCGAGCCGACCCATTCATGCCGAAGCATTCATTTTAAGTGTGGGAGAGCCATGCTGACGTGAAACAACGCTGCGTTGTTTCGCCGTGTGAGTGAGGTTACCCGAGGCTCTTTAACCCCCATTTACCCATATTAGCAAATAAATGATGTGATTTCAAAATATTGGCAATAATTGGCAAAAACACACGAGGTTGATGACGCCATTGGTATAAATTTGAAACCGTACAATTATGCTGAACATTGGATTGTATAGGTAGGTATTGAATCTAGCTATTATCCCTAGCAGTATGCCGTGCTATTTATATAGATAATTTGCACTAAATATCAAATAGGCTACTAAATAGAACTACTGAAAGTAAACTGAAAAACTTAGGGAGGTCAGTCGCTACTTTGTTTATTAAAATGAAAGAAGCGTAACATCTGATTCTTACCAAACAGTCGGGCTTTTATAGCTTGCGGTGGTAACGACCGCGCTAGAGGGGCGCCGGGTGGCACAGGCCGTAGTGATTTAGTGGCAAATAAAGCTAAATCTCCGTAGTCACAGAAATAAACAGACACCATTTCTGATGAAACTGTCCCAGCGATTGTCACCCTGCAAAAAAGAATAGATTTATTAACTATTGCTAGCTTTATCCATAGGGATGATGACGGGGTATGAAAATGAAAAATCTATTTAGGTAATCCGTCAGTTAGGTAATTAAAAAATATTAGACACGTATTTTTTTTTTATTTTGTTATATAAGAAAATAATATTTAGATAAAACGAATCAAAGTTTAGGAGTGGGAGCTGGCTACGTCATTTCTAAATAATTACAAAACGTACCTAGAAGTTACTTCCCGCGATATTTGAAATCAGTTTTATTTATTCATTCTTATTATTTATTATTCATAAACACATGCATTTACAGCACAAGCCAAAACATTATACAGTTAAAAAATGACTTCTTTTACTACTTTACACATATGTAATAGCTTGTATAAAAAGTACAATAATTATAATTACTTAAAACTAATTCATCAGCCATTCATCTGCTCACAAAATCTTACACATTCACGACATACATTGTTCCATTTCGCTGCGAATAAATCACACTCTGGTACGGATGCCAAGAGAGCAGTGATCATAATATCGTCAAAAGTATTTCCTTCCGTAAGAAAATAAAAATACATGTCAAATGTTTTCAAATTATCTACTAGACGGTTATTAAAATGAAAATTAGTTACCTACCTTATTGCCTAAGCCTAAAGCACTACGATACAGATAGAATTTGTACATACCTATACCATGATGCATCTTTGTCGTAATATACTGTATACAGTTCTCCACTAACTGGATTTACGGGAGCATCTAATTCAGTCAATTTTGGACATTCTGTTTGCAAAGATGACATCATCGTTTGCAGAGTGTGTCTAGTACTATTTGGTTGCACCTGTTAAAAACAAGTTATGTTAAAACTGTATAATTTTGCTTGAGAACTTCTTCGATTAAATTCTTTTAATACACATAATATACAGGGTGTCCGGTAATTAATGGATAACCTTAAAATGTCTTATAGTATAAGTTATGGTCGTCCTGAGAAAATACAAAACAAAATATATCGGTGTTTAGTTTATTATATATCGCATCACGACGTCTAGGGCCAATTTTGTGGCCTCCATGTTCACCGGATTTATATCTAACGCATTTTTTTACTGGGGACACGACTTTTGGACGAATTACGTAGTCGTGTCAGAGCAGCCGCATCGAAAATAAGCGAGCAACGGTACACAAGACTGCTCAGAAGAGCATTTATCCGTAGATGCAGGGCGTGCATAAGAGTGGGAGGAAAGCACTTGTAACATATATTGTAAATTTATGTAAAATAAATTATTTTCAATATTAAATGTTGCTTTTATTTTTTCTCAATGTTGAGATACAATTCAATTTAAAAAATGATCCCATGTTACGTATTATGTTATTTAATAACATTTTCTCCTTTTCTACATTAATAGAAATAAGTCACTAATTATGATAGACACAGTTATAAATTGTACCATTACAAAATGTATTTGAAACAGACATTATTGTAAAATTATGTAACTTTGTACCCATGTATCCATGATTATTTTTTATACCCAAGATGTTTGAACTTTGCTTAAAAAATATTGTCTGCATGTTTTTAAAAAGTAATTATTTTCAAAAGTAAATTAGTATGCGTATATATTTTTTAAAGAACTGCATTGGCTAGTCATACTATTCACTTTCTATCTATCAGCACAGTTAGTGTATAATAATAAAACAACAAAAAACCAATTAAAAACAATTCATTCGTTTTTAATCATAGTGATCAGGATAGTAAGTAATAGTAGTAAAAAAATTGATAATTCTTTTAAAAAAATGTTTTATAGGATAGGACGGCCATAAGTGGTAAAGACATTTCTAACCGAACCATTAATTATCGGACACATAACATCACGCCTTTTATCCTCGAAGGGGTAGGCAGAGGTGCATATTATACCACTGTAAGTACAATGTAACACCCACTTTTCACTATTTATGTTATGAGTCCCATGTAATAGGGTTTGAGCCTATTGCCATATACCGTTTATACATATATAATTATCGGACACCCTGTATAAATACACTCTAAGAGTTAGAATATGCTGGTAAGATAATAAAGATAGATTCATTACATAGTCTAATGGCAATGGTTACAAAAGGTATGGCCTTGTTAAACAGAACATCACATCAGCAGAGCCCATTGCTAAGCAACGGCCTCTTCTCACACGGAGAATGTTTTTGTTTGAGCACTATTCACCAACACTACAGTAGCTGCCTATTCTCTCTGTACTGAATCAATCGATATCCATCTTTTTTTTAAACTAGTTGTATCACAACCTATACTCTCAGAAATTAAAAAACGTTGTTTTCGGGTACACTTTTTGGTTAAAAGGACAATCTACGCTATGTAGGTATATTTGCTTTAACATCATCTGCGCTATAAGGCCTGCGGCGCCTATATTGTACACATGCAATTACGCATATCTTGTAGATGGTCATAGGACAACGTACGTTCGGGTTTGAGTATCATGTGTATATGAAATTGTATGTTTTTAAAAGCACCCACAGGAGTAAATCCTGGTGTGAGGAAACAATTTTATTTAAATAGACTGACTACGCGGTGTTTGTTAATAGTTCTACGACAAAACTTACAACGAAGTTCCAGGGATTAGCAGCCATCGCAATATACACGTCAAAGCACTGGCCAGGCGCTGGCAGCGGCGGCGGTGGTAGGGCGGAGCCAGACGAAGGGCGTTCTTCGCCAGCCATCGACAAACTCCGGAAAATGCGTTCTTTCTTCCTATGTAGTGCCTCCACGTGGTTTGTCGTATTATTGTCATCTTCTTTTAACTTACCACTAAAACAAAAATAACATATAACAAAGTTCTTCAGATGAAAAACTAAACACAGTTTAACTATCTTCATAATGATTACCCGATAAGCACATTATGTACCAGGTAGTTCATACAAATTATCCTATTCTGCTATCCTGACATTGCAGACCCAAAATTACTTCAAAGTTAAAGTCAAATCATTTATTTCGATTAGACCGGTAGTTCTTAATTAACCCGATCAGTCCGAGGACAACTAGTGGTCCCTGCGATCCTCCCAAGTGGTTCACGGAGCCATTTTAGCCGGAGATTAGCGCGTCCAAACAAACAATAAGCCCTTCAGCTGTATCTATTATATAGTATAGATAGGACATTGGCCAAAATAGTGTTTCAATAATATGGAATGTTCAATTCTAATAAAACGCTGCAATTTGGATTAGACTGTAATTTTTGAATAAACCTAACATTATACAGGGTGCCTTGTAACTCGACGTATTCCTCTCGGGAGGTGTGGATCTGAAAATGCAACTAATTTCCTACAAAATTAACCCCGAGGTCCCTAGTCTGAAAGCAACACAGTTAGGGCGAAATCTAGGTAATGATTACGTCATCGGTAGTTGAAAACGAAATACATTTTCGGGGAATTTGGGATATACTATTTTTTTTTTTTTTTTATTATCTATGGTTTTAGGGACTTTTCGTTTAGGAACATGTCAGCCCCGTTAGGATATACTATACATTCTGTACTTTTTCACACGTAAATTACTAGCGATTCTGGCGCGGTTTTACCCGTTCTACTGGACTCCTATTGATCATAGCGTGGTGTTTTATATAGCCTATAAGCTTCCTCGCTAAATAGACTATCCAATACAAAAATAATTATTCAAATCGGACCTGTAGTTCCGGAGATTAGCGCGCTCAAACAAACTCTTCAGCTTTATATTATAAAGTATAAGATAAGATTTATGGCACTCGGTGTTTCTGCTCCATATATTTTTGGGCATTGTTCTTTATTTCAATTTAAACGACTATATATATATATATATAAAAATGAATCCCGTTTTCCCTTGGTCGCGGCATCACGCGTGAACGGCTGAACCGATTTCACTTATTCTTTTTTTGTTTTATTTGTTATTATTAGGAGAAGGTTCTTATGACAGAAATAAATCAAAAATTAAAAAAAAAAAAATCCTGCAAATTTTACGGCATTGGGAGAAAATGAGATTGCGCGTATCGGAGGATCGTATCGTATCGTAAGGATGGCAACAGCGTATGACGGGGCGTTCAAGAACGAGACAGCACACCCCAGCCAGCAGAACTCATCACACGCGCCGCCCGGCCGCCAGTAGCCCAGTCCGGACGTTAGTTTCAATGTCGGGGATACGCGCACGCTACGTAAAAATGACTCCCAGGCGACGAAATTCAAATCAGAACTCGAAGAGGAAGTGTTAGAGCTCTTTCGGTGTCATCCCCTTGCGAGCACAAGGGATACTGCCGGAGTTTACGATGATAGAGACAATAACTTGTGGCGTCTTTTAAATCAAACGCGAAACAAAGTAAAAGTGAAACGGACACATTAAGTAATGTGATATGACATGTTTGGAAGCGTGCCTTCATTTTTGTGCAACGCGAAGGTGGACTTGTGCAACAGTTTTGTAGATAAGTAGGTAGAGAGTGTGTAACTGTAAAAGTGTGTAAAAAACTATTTTAAGTGTGATGGGAAGTTTATCATCTTATTTACCTACATCAGCTATTCGGAAGAATGCCATACCTGGTAAGTAATTGCACTTTTAAAACCCTTGTTAGCCTGCCTATTGAGTATCTAGTAGATTAGATAGTGAACGAACTAGTCAGCTGATTTCCGTTTTCATTCTCAGTACACGTGGAAAGAGATAGCAATTGTTTTCATTGACTAAGCGACGCATCGCGCGTAATTTGTGAACCACATTATGCACATTGTAGTCAATGTTTACTTAATTACTTTATGTAATTAACTGGTCCGGGGTACGAAATTTCTTCACAATTGTAATCTGTAAACATAACACTATCTCCCATTAAAGCCGTGGCTGATAATTATAGAGCACCTTATATAGTGTTAAACATATAGGGAAGCATTCACTTTTGATAATAAAAGACGTAGTTTTGAAACCACTAGACATTCCAAAAAAACATAATTATCTGACTCGACTCGCAACAACAACAATAATAACTACTAAGATTTGCAAAGGTGAACTTGCCTAACAGGTAAAATTTTATACCTATAAAATATTTTCACCAAAATAAAGTGTGTTTAAGTACGAGAAGAGTTTATGTAAGTATGTATAATCTATACTAATATTATAAAGCTGAAGAGTTTGTTTGTTTGTTTGTTTGAACGCGCTAATCTCCGAAACTACTGGTTCGAATTGAATAATTCTTTTTGTGTTGGATAGTCCAGTTATCGAGGAAGGCTATAGGCTATATAACATCACGCTACGACCAATAGGAGCAAAGATATAGTGGTAAATGTGTAAAAACGGGGGAAATTATTTCATCTTTGAAGCCTTCCGTTGCGTGCGCTGTGAAAACGGTTCAAGATACACAAAAATATGTACCAAAGAATAATAGCTCTTTTAATGATCTAAAAAAAGTCCGCGGCAGTATATGTCTATCTTTTAAGATTAACTCACAAAAACCGTTTTTGGTATCTGGTTTTGTTTGGTCGAAATATGTTGTTGGTTAAGAGTACTTCATTGTGAATAAAATTGTCTTTGACATAACTTAATTTCAACAAAAAACTTTAAAGATTACAACCTTATTCTAATAATAAAATTGAAATTGATTGCGATTTAGGAGTAAAAGTGGGTAACATCGAGGAATTAGTAACTAAGGTATACCCTGACATCAGCCAAATAGAAAACAAGGACCATCAACGGATGTGTCAAAGAGCAATATTGGCGGCAAGAAATAGTAGCGTTGACGAAATAAATGATATCATTTTGAGTAAACTCCCAGGAGATATTCTAACCTACACATCCATTGATACCGTGATGAATCAAGAAGATGTAGTTCATTACCCACAGGAGTTCCTCAATTCCGTGAACCCAAGCGGCCTTCCCCCACATTCTCTTAAGTTAAAAATAGGCGCCCCAATATTTTTACTAAGAAATCTCAAATCACTAAATTTATGCAACGGGACCCGACTTCAAGTAAAATTTCTGCGCAATAACGTCATCGTTGCAATAGTTTTGACTGGTCCAGCAATTGGTCAAACAGTCCTCATACCCCGCATCCCAATGATACCCAACGACTTACCTTTCAATTTTAAAAGAATACAATTTCCGCTTAAATTATCTATCGCAGTCACAATAAATAAATCACAGGGGCAAACATTCAAACACGTGGGGATCGATTTACGCCAAGACTGTTTTTCGCACGGCCAGTTATATGTCGCGTTATCAAGATCGGGTTGTGACGAAAATCAATAATGTTCTTCTGTCACAAGATAATAAAGCAAAAAATGTAGTATATGCAGAAGTTCTTTAAAATAATTTAATTTAAACATTGTATAGATATAGTTCGGAACTCGAAAAAAAAAACATAGGTTTTATCCTGAAAACTCTGCGGGAACTCGACCATTCCGAAAATCCCGCAAGAACGGGAGCTATGTGGGAAGAACCAAAAATCTGCCGGAAGTCACTATTCCACGCGGACGAAGTCGCGGGCAAAAGCTAGTATATTAATATTGTAATTGTCTGTTTGTCCAAACACTGCAGCGCCGGGGCCACCGTGTTGCTGCATAACGTGTAAACACCAATTTGTCGGCTACATTAATTCCTAGGAAGGTAGTCTATCTTTCATTGGACTTTTGAAGAATCACTAAACTTAAGAAAAACCACTTACTGTTGAAGATAATCGTATTCCATGAGTATGGCGTTATTGACAGATGCCAGGATGTTCTGTGGGCCTGTGCGCACGAATAGCTCGACGTGAGGAATAGCGGGCGCGCCCCCCGCGGCTGGCAGAGCGCGGCACAGCACGCGCGCACCCAGCAACAGCTCGCGCAGCCGCGGCACCATGCCGCCCGCCGCGCGCTCCGCGGGGCCCAGTCGCACCGACACCGCCTGCACACACGCACTGTACTCGCCACTCCCACAGACACACACACACAGCCGCGGCACCATGCCGCCCGCCGCGCGCTCCGCGGGGCCCAGTCGCACCGACACCGCCTGCACACACGCACTGTACTCGCCACTCCCACAGACACACACACACAGCCGCGGCACCATGCCGCCCGCCGCGCGCTCCGCGGGGCCCAGTCGCACCGACACCGCCTGCACACACGCACTGTACTCGCCACTCCCACAGACACACACACACAGCCGCGGCACCATGCCGCCCGCCGCGCGCTCCGCGGGGCCCAGTCGCACCGACACCGCCTGCACACACGCACTGTACTCGCCACTCCCACAGACACACACACACAGCCGCGGCACCATGCCGCCCGCCGCGCGCTCCGCGGGGCCCAGTCGCACCGACACCGCCTGCACACACGCACTGTACTCGCCACTCCCACAGACACACACACACAGCCGCGGCACCATGCCGCCCGCCGCGCGCTCCGCGGGGCCCAGTCGCACCGACACCGCCTGCACACACGCACTGTACTCGCCACTCCCACAGACACACACACACAGCCGCGGCACCATGCCGCCCGCCGCGCGCTCCGCGGGGCCCAGTCGCACCGACACCGCCTGCACACACGCACTGTACTCGCCACTCCCACAGACACACACACACAGCCGCGGCACCATGCCGCCCGCCGCGCGCTCCGCGGGGCCCAGTCGCACCGACACCGCCTGCACACACGCACTGTACTCGCCACTCCCACAGACACACAAACACACTATCTCACACGCAAACGCACGCACACACACACACACACTTTGAGATGCACTTACAGAACAACAAGCAGTTGTTGTAATTTGTTTTTTTTTAAATAAAAATAACGACTGACCTGAGGTGGAAAAGCGTTTAGAGCGGGAGAAAACGACTGTAATGGTACTAAAGACGATAAAGGTGCTCTCAAAATTAAGCCGCTGTCTACGAGCTGCGTTCTCACTGTTCCTTCACCGTCAAGACCACTTATAATAGTACAGCGAACCCTAATAACAAAAGAAATTATTAATGAAATTCGTGACAAGAACGATGAAACCAAGAAGTTGTAATAAAAGCACGACGCACCAGTCGCCGGCGAGCGTGCGCACGATGTAGAGCGTGGTGGCGTTGGGCGCGGGGGCCTGCGGCGCGGCGGGCAGCGGGCGGCGGTAGGGGCCCGCCGTCAGCAGCGCCAGCGCGCCCTGCACCAGCGCCGCGCCGCCCGCGCGCGACACCCACACGCGGCCCTCCTCCGTCACGCACCCCACCTCCACCTCGCACGGTTTCTGTAACGCACACCCGCACACCGTCAACACGCTTCTTCTATTTACAGCGCAAGGCGAGGGCGCAATCGGTTAAACTTGTAATCAGAAATAAAACCTGTGTAATCGTGAAAGCGCCAGCGATGCAGAAATCATGTATAATCTCTTTGTTGAGGTTGAGATCGCGTTGCGTGGAAGTGTCGTAGAGCACGACGGCGACGGAAGGATCGGTGGGATCGTGGCGCGGACCGGGCGCCGCCACCAGCACCTCGCCGGGCAGTCGCCGTCGCACCAGCTCAGCACCGAGCGTACTTGCCGCTAATTCTTCCGCGCCTTCCAAACGACACAGGATCGCCTGTTTTATCAAGAAAATAGTTTAAAGACGTTTCTTTAAGATTCTTAACAATTTTAAATGTAGCAACTTCTTTGAATTTGAACAGTTTAAACAGTTACATACTGTAAAGAAATTAAAGAGATATTAGATGATAGACAGTAATTTTATGAATTTATGTACGCCACCCATAAATATAATAATAATTAATCATATAGGTGTCAGACTATTGTCTACAGTTAGAATCATTTTCGAGTTGTCCATTTTGTATTCGGTCGAGATACTGATATCGATAATTTTATGTCGGACGTAATAATCATGCTCTAAGAGTAAGAACAAAAAGTAACATAATTACACACTATGTAAAGAAAAAATGTGTTGATTTAACATAATGACGAAAAACATTCACACTACTTAAAAAATCAATGCAATCGTCCATCGTATTTTAAGTTATATTAGCAGTTTGCTTAAGTTTGGCTGAAAATAATTGGCGTAGAGAGTATGCACTGATTGCATTCACTTGACGTGAAAGGGTAACAAAAAAATATTTATGTTTTTAATTATTCATCCTTCTTATTAATAGGATAAATAATTTGAATGAGTTTTATTGTTGTCCGCTCAAAAATTAACTTATCCTAATAAATATTGACCAGTTGGTAAGTATTATAGTAAGTTATGATGTGAATGTATGGATATTTTTTCTCACTCAATCATATTGTATGATATTTGGAATAGTGTAACTCCAGACATTGTAATCGTATTTTTTTTTTGTTAAAAATCAAAGCTAGGTAAATAATAACATAATGAACTTTTATCGATTTTTAAGGTTGACATAGGTGTATACTTTAAATACAAATCCCACTTTTAAAGTATGAACATGGCACGGTTATACTTTTTTTACACCACGGTGAGATAGAGAAAAGCATGCCTCAGCCGGTCAACTACCCTTACAGTCAGTTACGAGATTGAAACGTTACTGCGTTTAGCCCTCTGATGGGTTGGTTCATTTAAAGCAGGCAAATAGTGATAATAATTTTATGTGTGATGGTTATTATTACCTGTGCTGGAAGTTTTCTAAACTGTGGTTCTAATATTTTGATTTTGTGAATATACACGACATCGTCGTCTCCATGATCACCTAGAAACACAGTCGCCGAGTCTTCTTCTATTTCTAGAATTTTGGCACGCTGCCAGCCGCCATCATCTAAATTAACAGCATACCTGTAAGAGATTAGCCTATTTAACATTTTATAATTTCATTAACAAACATAACATAACTCTAATAATTATTTTACTAAGTATTATAAACACTTTTCTCAAAAACCACATCAAAATTGCTTCAACCAATCGCGAGATAATCGCGCACAAACAAACATACATACATACAGGTTTAATTTACCTAAAGAAACTGCCGAATTTTATGAAAAATTTAAACGATGTTTATTCGTGTATTTTTTATTGGCCTTAATCGAAGTAATCACCCATGCAATCAAAGAATCTTTGTCAACTCAGTGGCAGTTTATTGATGCCTTTCTTAACGAAATCAGCTGCAACAAATTCTTTAAAGGCGTTTTGTACTTCCTCTCGGGGATTGAATTTTTTTCAAGCCAAGAAGTTAATCTTATTCTGGAAAAATTAGTAGGTAGTCTGTAGGCGCAAGGTCCAACCCAATTCTTGCAACTTGGAGACCGTCTGCTGTGCAGTACGAGTTAGCGCGTTGTCGTGCAGGAGCAGCGGAGACGAGCGATTCACCAATGCTGGTTGGAGATGTGCCAGCTTCTTCATCATTGTATTCAGATTTTCACAGTACACATGTACACTGCAGTAATGCTCACCCCGTTTGGTAAGAAGCTGTGATGAATCACACCGGCACTAGACCGCCAAATAGTGACCATCACTTTTCTATGGGTAAATTTTCGTTTAAAGCATTGTTGAAGTGCTAAACCAGGATCCAACCAACTTGCTGAGCGCTTGCGGTTATCAAACAGAATCCATTTTACATCGCAGGGAACCATGCGCTTCAAAATTCCTTCATTAGTGTGTCTGTTAAGCAATGCAAGGCACGCCTCTACGCGTACTTCGCGCAGACGATCACTGAGTTCATGGGGCACTCATTTGTCAAGCTTTTTTACCTTGCCAATTTGACGCAAATAGACCAATATTGTTTCGACGCTAACGTCGAAAGCTAATAAGCTAATTAAGCTAAGCTAATTCAGCCATAGATTGTCATTGTTATCATTTTCAACAGCACCGCTTCCACAATCGCCTTGAATTCATCATTGTCGACCAAAGACTTCGGACGACCGCGAGGTTCATATTTCAGGTCGAAATTTCCAGAACGGAGGCGAGCAAACCAATAAAGTGTATTAGTTTGTGGTGTAGTGGTTGGTTTGTAGTGTTAGCTCCGTAAACGTCGTTGAAATTGCGTGCTGCTTGTGCTGCGTTGCTGCCACGACGGTCAGTATCCTTACTAATATTATAAATCGGAAAGTGAGTTTGTTTGTTTGTTCCAACTTCACGCCGTAACTACTAAACCGATTGCATTGAATTTTTGCAGACGTAAAGTTAGTAGTCTGGATTAAATAATAGGGTACTTTTTATCCCGAAAAAATTTGATATTCCCGAGGGAATACAAAAGTATTGGTATAGATGGCGCTGTATGTATTGGTATATGTCGCATAGGCTACTTTTTAGCGAAGCCGCGGGTAAGAGCTAGTATTCAATAAAATTGGGCTCGCTGCCATTGCAGCGGTAAGTCCCCTCTTTGAGGAGTGGCTTGAGAGACGCTACGGCGTCCTCACCTACCGCCTGACGCAGGTCCTCACCGGACATGGAAGTTTCGGGAGGTACCTGTGTCTGATGGGGCGGGAGGAAACGCCCGGGTGTCATCACTGCGAGGACCGCCCTGAGGACACGGTGGAACACACCGTAGCGGAATGCCCTGCGTGGGCTGAGCACCGCCGTGCCCTCAGGGAAGTGATCGGCGATGGCGACCTCTCGCGTCCGGGCCTAGTGCAGGCCATGATGCGGAGCGAGGGGGACTGGGATGCCGTCTCCTCCTTTTGCGAAGCAGTCATGCTAGCTAAGGAGGAGGCGGGACGCGTGAGGCAGCGAAGCGCTGCCTCCTCGCGACCCAGCCATCGCGAAGGACACACCGGGCGTCGGGGATCGCGGGACGATCTCCGGCCACCGTAAGCGCGGGCCTGCGGACGGCGAGCATGGGTGGCTCCCCGTCCGACCAGAAACAGACCCGAGCGTACGGCGCGTCGCGTTCCGCGCGCGCCTCAAAGAGCCATCAGACCACCACAGATGGGGCCCAATAGGGCCGATGCCGATTCGGAGTCGCGGAGAACCTAACGGGTAACCGGGGCTCCGGCTCGACGTGCAGGAGAAGGAACGGGGTGGTTTTTAGTCAGTAAGAGTCTGACACTCCCTTCCGCCTCACCCAGGCGGGAGCAGTCATTCGATGATTTTCCCCCCTTAAAAAAAAAAAAAAAGTATTCAATAAATTACTCGAATTTTTAACGTATCCATGATGACGAAAAAGATTGGAATTCGATGAAAATGTATAACAATAATCAATAAACAAATGACTACTTTTGAAAAAAAATCTATGATTTTAAAATAAAATTAGTACTGGAGACCGGCAATTTCATAGGCAAAGATCTAATGTACTTACACATGTACAGGTCAAACACAAACCTCCTTTTTTCTTTTTGAAGGCGGTAAAAAATACACAATAAGGTATCTTACCAGGCATTTTTAATTAGCATCGATTTGTCGACAGGTGATCCTCCATGTTCATAATATTTTGCCATATCTATTAACAGCGTTTCGAATGTATCCTGAAAAAGAATAACAACATATTGTGTAAAGTTAAGACGCCACAGTTTTGACGTGTACGTCATTTGAAAGATCTAGATCTATACTTTACTTGCTAGTGTGACAACAACTAGGACGTAATTATATTAAAATTAAAAAAGGAGGTTCTAAGTTGACCTGTATGTATGCATTTATGTATGTTTGTGCGCGATTATCTCGTAATATTTATTTAAAATAATTATTTTATAAACTGCAATTGGATCAGCCAATCGCGAGATAACCGCGAACAAACATACATACATACATACAGGCCAAATTGAGTAACTCGTTTTTTTGAAGTTGGTTAAAACAAGCTTTCATGCTAATCATGCTAACTAAACATGTATACAAAATAGCGGCACGATCGGTTAAGATTCCACTTCACACACATACATACATTCAAAAGCATAAGAGTGAAAGCCAGCCACATACAACATAACAATCCATCGGGTGCCGCCGCCTTTAGTTCTGCCTCAGTCACGACTAAGTGACTGGCGTTCGATATTTGGGTCATGCTAAACATTAAAAGGATTGTATATAATAAGGTGTATGGCGACAGATTTGCCGTATAATATGCAACTCTGGCAACTCATAACACCTTAAATAAAACCTTAATGAACTTTCGTTTTCCTGAATGTTGGATGTCGCAGGTTACGGACTCCCATACATTCAAATATTACGTTTATTTTAAAAAATTTCTGAGTCATACTAAATTAATTATTAGCCTAACAGCGCGACAGTCGCGGGTAACGGAATGCTGCTCATGAATATAAGCCCCTAGGATGGCTCGAAACTAGTCGAGTTCCTAGTCGAATCGAAACGAGACCGCGTTGGGCGCTCTAACTGGCTGGTTCCAATGAATCAACCTTCTTGATTTTTAACGTAAAACAAACTCGTACTATGTCCTCTGACGAGGAACTCCACTAGTTTCAAGCCATGCTAGTAGCAGCTAATTAAAGATTTATAAGACTAGCGCCGTCCTAATTTATTCATTTCTTTACACGCCGCGATCAATTCGGTCGGTACATTTCGCAGGTCGCCGCTCCGTGTAGCTTGCTGAGTACATTTCTATGTGTTACGGTTGCACCGTGCGGATTTGCGTTACGGCGACTCTTCCGTGACCTCGCACAAAACTGCGGTCTCGTGAGTTTTGAAAATAAAACTTGCCGCCACTGCGGCAAGCGCGGGTGAAAATCGCGTCGCAAGTCCTTAGCTGAACACTGATTATAGCATAAATTAAACTAACTTACGAAATTATTTGTTATTGAAGGAGACATAAATGAAATTATTTAATTATTTTCCAATAACCCCATACTTTATGAAAATAAAATTTGATGGTGATCCAGATCACTGATTGAAATACTTATCAGTAAATGATACTTCATTTCTGTTGATTTAACGTCCAGGTTTTATACTAAAATGGTGCTAAATTACCTAAGTTCCTTTAAGTCAACTTTAAAAACAATCACAATATTTTTTAAGGGATAAGTAGGCGAGCAAGGCATACGTGCAGGCGGATCACCAAAAACCACAAGCGTTCGAAGAGCGTTGCCAGCGTTTTGGGATTAGGAATTTTAAGATTGCGGATTCGGTGATTGTAGAAGGGGGCAATTCAGCTTCCGGTAACCTTACTAACACGACGACATACAATGCAAGCGTTGTTTCACGGCGGTTGTCTGTGAGGCCGTGGCATCACTCCGGTCGAACTGACCAATTCGTGCATGGCTCTTCCAGTCTTACAGTAACAGAACTCCATATCTTCGTATAAACGGTATAGAACGAAAAGTTTCCTACATATTTTTAATTTTTACTTACGCTGTATTGTGATCCAATTATTCGAAGCCAAATTTCTAGTGTAGAATTTGCGACAGTCACAAATACGTTCCAAAAATCATCGTCAGGAAATTGCAAAGGTGGTAGGTCGCTATCCATGGAATCGTCATAAATAGTTGTTTCTAAGAGTGGTATTGGCACTTCCTGTAAACAAAAGGGGATTAAATATTATGACCACCGGAAAATACTTTGTTACCATAAGTTTTTTTTACCAAAAATATATCAACTTTGATTTGTTTGGAAATCATTTGTACTAATAGGATAGTAGATGTATAAATTTTGGTTATAGTTTTAAATTAAAATGGGGTTTGAATTCTGGTATCGTAGTGATCATTTACTATTTTTGCCTGTTATATGTTACGAAATCAGGTGATACGTAAACATAAGCCTAAAGAAACATACATATAATAGGTAAGTAGTATTTTTTTATATGAAATTCTTTAAAATAAAATCTAAACTAAAAATATTGCATGTTCCTTATTGGGTCGTCTAATAAATATTAATCCAGGATATGGTTCATTTTTTTTTAATTTTCACCGGTTTGACTATTATATCAATTCTATTTCAATCGAAAGTATGAAGCCCATAAAATATGGAAACGTTAAGTTGCCTATGTTTTTCCAGCCATAACTCTCGGGTGCCAAGTATAAACAGGTAAATTGATAATTCAATCAAATTTAAAAGAGAATAAAGAAAAAAAGGGTTGCGTGCGAAAAATTGAATTACGGTTGTCGAATTTTAGAAAGTGAAATATGACGCGATTGAATAAGTGCAACTGAGACATCTAATGCATTAAAAGAGGAGTGTTGAGTGGACTGTCAAATATTACAAATATTATTATACTGTCAAGTATTAAGGTATCTGGCGTTGGAGAATCGGCCCTAATTGGATTATTTTACAGCTTAATAAAGTTAAAATTACATTGGTACATACCTCTTTATTAGGAAGTAACACTAATTGTCCATTAAAAACTCTGTCCTTTATTATTTTAGGGCAATTTTCAACTAATTCTTGCCAGTTGCTTGGTAGGTTTTCTTGATATTTTTCTCTACAAGACAAAAATAAAAAAAAATAATAATGAAAAATAGAAACGATTTTTTTAACAATTCACAAAGTTTTTCAAAAGTAGGTAAATAAACGTAAATAACGCACCTGTACAGATGTGGTACTGTGTTGGCCCACAGTCCTGCTTCATGTTCTGACACTAACTCTGTTAGATATACAATAGCATTGCTACTTGAAGAAGTCGGCTTTCCACCAGCTTCGGAACTTTCTATAGCTGAAAGCAACTTTACTGCTCCGACTTCTTTGGCTAAATCTTCGGACGGTGACGAGTCAGGATATGAGGATACACTATACGATCCTCCGACCTACGGATAGACCATACGGTATAAAAATAAGGCTTTAGTTATCGTATCGTAATCGATTTGAATTATTGTTACACTATTTTATATAAAACATTCTACATTCTTACAGTACAAAACTTTTTACTATACACTATATGAAAATAAAAAAAAAACTGGACAAATTCCGTACAATCAAGGGCATTAAAATCAAATTTGTTGTATGGGAGCCCATCAATTTTATTATTTTATTTAATATTATTTATTTTACTTTCGTATTTGTTGTTATAGCGGCAATAGAAATATCTACATAATCTTTCCAAATTTTTACTATCTAGTTTCACTCAATCAACTGTCAGCATCACGGTTCATGAGAACATCCTGATATCTAGCAAAAACGGCAAAATATCACGTTTGTTGTATAGGAAGTATAGGAACCCTCTTAAATATTTATTACATACAGTATAGTTCGACTGCCGACTGCACAGTGAATACTGCACAGTTAAATGGTATGTGGAGTCTCAATTAGGTTTGCAAAATTTATGAATCGTATTTAATTTTATTTTAATTTTGTGCCGCTAATTGATTTATTCTAGTACCAGCTTCTTTACGCGTGGTCGTAGGATAAAAAGTATCCTATATGTTATCCAGTCCAAAGTTCCAAATTTCATTCCAGTCCCCTCAGGCGATTTAACGTGATTCGACAAACATACATTGATATTTTTTACTAGATTTTATCACCACCACATATCTAGTCAAACTTCAATTGTAAACGTCAAACGTCATTAAAATATGTATCGTGACTAATCATAAAAAAATATTATAGGAAGAAACTAAAAAAAATCCACTTTAACAGAACTTAATATTCAGATCAAAAATAAAATACAATTACAGTATGCATGTAAATCAACTTTTTTAGTTCTCTGCTTACATGTTTCAACTCCTTCGTATAAGTTGCCGATGAACTTATGTGACAGACATTTCTTACAAATTAAGTTTTTAATTCGTTATCTGGTAAGAAGAGGCTATCCAAAAATTGTTGAACAGGCTCAAAGTACAGGCAGTGCGATGTCATGTTTGAATGTGTAAGGTACAGGAAATAATTACTTTCACAGTGCAGTCGAAGGTTACAGGTCCCCGTTTCGGTTTAAACTCATGTACTTTATACACAGGTTCTGGAAGTCCAAGTTTTTTACAAGTCCAAGCTAATTTTTCAACAGATGATGTAGAATCGGGAGGTGGTTCTAAGTTATGAGCTGGCACAACATTTGTTACAGGACCACTGCTTTCCTGAACAAACATACTTCAATTAACTATACTTATTTAATTATTCTAAATATTTTAACATCAACACCAAGATCAAGAAATTCAAACATCAAATCATTAATGTCATTATTTTAGTTAATAAAGACAATATCTTATTGAATTTTACAACATTACTGCATTTACAATTTGAACCCCAGTGAATCCTTGTTACTTAATAAGTTACTGTTATTGTTACTCACCAAACATTCATTATTAGCAGCAGGCAACTGCAACGGTATGAGATCCACTGTATTAAGCCGGTCTCTTAAATTTGAAAGTCTTTGAGATGCTGACACCTTAGTTGATAATTTAACATCCATATCGTTGTTTGATCGCACTGCTTGTTTCAACTACATATAAACATACATTAAAAATTAATGATAGTAGTCAACATTTATGAAATATTTGTTTATTATGAATCATTTAATTTTTTTAAGAACACAAAAATATAGGATTTTTTTGTCTGTCTGACTGACACTGATAAAATGAAGTTCAGGAGGGTAATTAAAAAGGAATAATGATTAACATAAAATAAGATAACATTTCCATATTATACTTAAAGATATTCAAATACCCACCTCCTCATTATGCGTGTTGTTGGATTCTCTCAAACTTTGCGATGAATTGGAACTTTTTAATATTTTATCTACATGGTCATTTGCTGTCTTCGTTGTTTGTTTAACATTCGCCGTCAATTTCGTTTCGTTCGACTTGCTCGAATTGTATTTATTCGTCTATGAAAAAAAATAATCTTATTATTAAAATGTTAATGCTGCTTATTATTTATTGTACGTAGTAGATTATTAGGCCAGTTTTTCTGATTGCTAAATTTCAAGTTCGATTTTAAACTGCTGGAAGGTACAATTTCGTAACGTACAAAATAGGATTAATTTAAGCGTCAATTCATATGAATTGACTGTCAATGTAACTATTGGGATATCCCAATAGTTATGCATAGAAAGTAAAATAATGGTATGGATGGCTACTCCGAAAAATTAAGAGTCATAGAGTAGGTACTAGATAGGTATAGGTTACTGGTTAGTTTAAACATTTTCAATTAGACTTTTGAATCAAAAAGTGCCCAGTTTATTACATTAAAATTAATAACTAATTAAGAATTAATTCTTAGCTTGGCACTACATCAGGGAGCCCAACGTTTTATTGTTTTTGATGTGGCGAACAAAATTGCTAATTAAAAATACACAATTGTTTAAACTGTCAAACACCAAGCAGTCACCGGTGACCGCAACCTATTGTTCTTTAATTGTGTCTATAAATACGGTACTCGACGAGTTAAAGGAATAACAGATTAGTACCTTATAATGTTGAGTGTTATTATTAAATGGAGTGCTGCTTTTAGCTCTATAATATTGATTGGAGTACTGGCTATTGTAGTTAGATGCATATCCAGATGAAGGTTTTCGCCATGATCCTTGCTTTTTGGGAAATCGATTCTGTACATATAAGAAACATACATAGTTTAAAATAGGCATATTCAATTAATTAAACATTTCTGTAATAACTGGCTCAAAATAAAAAAATATTTACTTTAAAAATTAAAATAGAGATATTAAAAATATTCAGGTGTTGTTTTCATAACAGCTGATTAACAAAGGATAAATATGTATTAATTAAGTACCCATATCATATCTTAACATAATTTTAAATGCATTGCAAAATCTGAAAGATTGTTATAATTTTTCATTAACTTACTGGATAGCTCAATTTTGGAGCTCTTTTACTTGACTTTTGACGTGAAACCATAGCAGCTATATGTTGTGTTTCTTGACTAGCTATGGCATCAACATACCATTCACCATTAGCTTGAGTCACTTTAAAACCAGGTACATCAAGAAACAGTTTATCCAGTGATGAATAACCAAGCTTCTTAAATGGAATCCATTCTCCTTGAAGTTCTCGATAGTCTCCTGTTGTATAAAATCCAATGTTAAAAAATATGTAAAAGGTTGCTAAAGGACAATGTCCAAACATGAATGGTGGAAAAAAAAATTAATAAATTAATTTATGTGTGGCAAGGTCGAGTGTAAATAATTTATCCCAAGTTGTTTCCACTTCATTCCACAGATTTAACAGTCAGTTTATCTTTATACTGGTTTTTAATAAAAATCACTTCATGATAAGATAAGGGGTTTGCTGGTAATTCTCGTTAATATAATATATGTAATTCCTTCAATGAGGACTGCCTCGTTGGCCGAGTGGTCGCAAGTGCGACTGCCGGGCAAGGGGTCTCGGGCTCGATTCCCGGGTCGGGCAAAGTATAACAGGGTTTTTAAAAATCTCAGTAGTAGCACGGAGTCTGGAATTGTGCCCGGTATATGGTAATAGGCTCACCCACTATTACATGGGACTCGATAACATAAATAGTGAAAAGTGGGTGTTACAGTGTACAGTGGCATAATGTGCACCTCTGCCTACCCCTTCGGGGATAAAAGGCGTGATGTTATGTTGTTATGTAATTCCTTATCTATATGCTTCATGTTTATCATTAGTTCAGTTATTCACACACCAGTTATGGTTTTGGCTATAAGGAATATCATAATTATTTGTGATCTCTTACCTATGGTCCATTATATTGTTCATAAATGGATTTTAATCCACTCTGGGTATTTTTGGGCATCCCTCTTTATTTTCAAAATTAATGTGAATTGAGAAATAATAAGTTTAGAATAATGTGGTAAACCATAATGGTACTTACTGTTACATTGTTTTATTGTCAATGCCCCCTTAACTGATATCAGAGTTGCTCTAAGAGCTTGGATAACTTGTTCTTTGTCAGCCATAGTAAGTTACCTGGAAATAAAGTTGAAATGCATAGTTACTATAAAACATTATTAGATATTTTTAACAGACTTAAACAAAAGAAGGAGGTTTTCAGTTTACCCTATATGTATGTATTTAATAGTAAAACGGGGTGCATAGAATTCGAGGGGTGAATAGATACAGAAGAGGGGTGAATATAAATATATTTAGAAAATGTTCTTATATTTTTTCACTCCATTCCTATATCTATTCACCCTGTTTTCGTTTTCGTCACTAAATCGTTATAAATGCTGTTTTCAGAAAAGTGTTTGTTACACTTAAGGGCAGCTTGTAGTATATTTTCAAAAGGAGGAGGTCGAAGTCAGTTTTTTAGATGCAGTTTATTGAAATTAATATTTTGATGAAAATCATCGAATGGCTGCTCCCGCCTGGGTGAGGCGGGAGGGAGTGTCAGACTCTTACTGACTAAAAACCACCCCGTTCCTTCTCCTGCATGTCGAGCCGGAGCCCCGGTTACCCGTTAGGTTCTCCGCGACATATTTTTAATACAAAATACCTATAAATTTTCATTCATTACAATACATTTCATGCAAATGTTCAAATATTTGCATGAAACACATACACTTATATTTGTATGTATTTCATGATAATTTCAATAGAACAAGTTCATGAAAAACTGTGTATATTTAATATGTATATTTAATACCAGAACCAATTTCGTATTTTTTTTTGTTGTGTTTGTTATTGTTAGATGGTTCTTGGGTAAGATAAACATTTTAAGGTGAAGCTAAGTTCACAGGGTCCGCTAGTTGTAAATAAATAAACACAAATTAATATGTTTCTAAATGTTACCTCTTCAGCCTAATCTACACAACATTAATTGAACCAGCATATGGTTTGAAATTTTCAATATAGGAAATTTCTTATTATACACAAGCATATAATAATTTTATTAGCTCATATTGCTCTTGAATATAGGTGCAGGTAAAAAGTAGTGTTCAAATAAAACGCGTTGCCTATTATAATTTTAAATATTATGCAAGGTCTGAGCAATAATAGGATAAATTCAGTTTATAATTAATTTAACTAAGCAAATATTACTACAAAGAAACAGCTAATAACTCTTAAATCGTCTACAACAACGATGCACGAAATAGGTACCTAAATTACCAAATAAACAGGTACGTTACTCAACTATTTTTTATAAAATACCTGCGACAATGCAGATGCCGGTGTTTGGAGACTAATGATAATTAGTACATAGTCAGTCAAGGCCTAATACCTTCTAAAAATATCAGATTGTCGTTAAAATATTAATGAAAAAATATCTAATAATTGCTTGAAACTATTTATGACGTGTAAGCAAGAGAAATCAGTTCATATTAGCAAATATTGTAAACACTACACACACCTACTTTCACTTCGGCAATAAGGTACTGAATAACTAAAAATATTATTCACCAAATAACTACAATGCATATATTCAATATCTTACCCAACAGCAACTAAATTTGAAAATTAGAAAGCTTCATAAAAATTTTCAATAATCTTCACTCCTCACGATACGATCCCTTAATTTTTTTCTTTTTGCATTCTGTTCTGTTTTCTGTATTGGTATTGCCAAATATATGCCATAATTCAAGTGTTGCCACCTATATTTCGCAATTTTGCACTACAATAAAAAATAAATGAGGAATCAAGGAATCAATGAAGTCGCTAGTATCGTACATGTGACAACCTGGTACACTACAACTCAACCGGTTTCGATAGTTGTTTTTTTATCGAGCTTAAAAATAAGAAGTACATTGTTCGAATTAGTTTTGTTTATTCATGATATTTAGTTATTTAAACTTTATTTTCAGGTAACTTTAGCCATAGACTATGGCCCATAGATACATACCGTACAGACTAAAACATAAATTTTACTGCGATGCATAGAGCAAGGTCCGCCGGTGGCCCGTGTTGCTCTATGACTTCGATGTTATTCACAGACTTAATAAGGTACGCAGACCCAACATTACTTGAAATTGTAAAGCTAAAAATACACATGGGCAATTTGTAAACTGGGGCCGGACTAAGGTCTGCATTGGATATGAAGGACAATATTAGGTACCTACAGAGAGATAATCGTGTATCCACTGCTGAGCAAAGCCTCTTCTCACACGGAGAAGGTTTGAGAATTAATCACCATGCTTGCTCAATGCGGGTTGGCGATTACAAACTTATAATTAGAAATTATAAGCCCAGGTTTCCTCACGATGTTTTCCTTCACCGTTTGTGAGTGGTGTCAGAATAATCTTAGAAAGTACATATAGCTCGAAAAAAGTCACATTGGTACTTGCCGTTGGTAGGTTTCAAACCCTCATGCATGAGAAGCGGGCGTCTTAAACCTCCGGGCCACCATGACATTAACGGATAAAGAGTCATAAATACTGAATAAATATCCATTTTTACTACAATTTTTATGTATTTTATATCAGAAAGTATGAGAATTTTATGAAAATATAATTAACTAGGTATTCAAGAACTTTAAAAATATAGTTTAAAAAATTATTTAATACGTCCGTAGGTATGTATTAAATCGACTCTAACAACTGCACCCTCACCCTGTATCTGGTTTTCTGGAACACGCACTCTGCGATGTCCTCCACCGTGGAGGTGTAGTGTAGGCGGAAGATGTACACCGCGGTATTCCCGTGGGCGGCACGCACTTTGATATTAGGCTCCACAGGAGAGGTGCCGCAACGTTCTTGTTTACTTTGGGACGGCGCCCCCTCCCTTGCACCGTAACAAAGCCATCTTCGTCAGCCCTTGTCGTTTATTTCTCGGGAACGGGCTTCTTTATGAGAAAGTTGGCTGGTTTATCGGCGGGTATAAGAGACCTCGCCGAAGTGGGTGATTTAGTCCAAGTCAATATTAGTTACAGCTGTCACCAGGTGAAACTCTTTTTTGTGAAACTGTATACATAAATCAAAGAGATAATAAATAAAGGGGAATACATTCCATAGACCGAAATGTACGTATACTGAAAAAGAAAATCGTCTTTTCTTTCAACAATCATGTTGGTAATACTGGGTTTAAGGCACGAGCTTACTGAAAAAAAAAACGTATTTTCTTTCAAAAATAAGGTTGGTATTGCTGCGTATAAAGCACGAGATAGCATAGAATTAGAATGTAACAAAGCTACTTTGTGCGTCTTTGCACGAGTTGCAAATTAGAAATGATGTATTCTGATGATTTGTTTAAAATGATACACTTAAAGAACATAATATTATAAATAAATAAATACGACATCAAATTAACTAAAACTAAATCAGCATATCAAAAAAAGATTAAAGAAAAAAACACAGAATTTAAATTTTAATAAATAATTACTTTTCTTTTTTTGAGGTGAACTCAGTGTTTATTTTATTTTATTAACTTTCTATCGGTGATCCGTCTGCTCGATTGCTTGCTATTCCATAAAAAAAGATTAACATTTTTAATAGTATTTATTTTGTTTGAGTATTAAACTGACAAAACGCCCATCTTTAGCCATGATTAGAAATGGGGGTTTTTTCAGATGGATAAATTATGAGTAAATACTGAATGTTTTTTGAACTTTTTTCTCGAATGTCATATCCAAAAAATTTGTTGTATTTATGGAGCACTTCCATTATAAGTATTTATCCGACAAATCACTCATCTATAGCCACTAGTCCACGACACACTTTGCTGCGGTAATTTATTTCCGCCTTTATCTGCCTCTATTATTGCATCTTGTGTCTATGGGCCAGCTACACAAATCATAGACTATAGAAAGTTGCTCCATGCGTTCATAGCTGGGTTCCGTTCGCCATCTTGCATTTCGTCAAACGTCACCCTTTCCTTTGGTGAGCAAGGTGTGTTCACGTGAGGTTGTGTGTTCCCTTCTATAGTAGGTCACACAATCCTCAGAATTTCGTGAAATATTCTTGTAAAATAAAAAAAAAAATCAAAAAAATTCATAAAATCCAAAAAAATAGTAAAATAACAAAAATTTAACGGGAATCACTTGATTTTAAGTTAGTGTACGTAAGCGTGCAACGTGGTCTGAGGAATGCGATAGTCATTATAAAGAGAAAGTGAAGTTGGTCTTTGCCTACATTAAGTTAATGTCGACGTAAACCATTGCAGTGAAATTTTCAAAATGAATCCTGGTCCACCTAATTACCCTATGGCATCTTTGTATGTCGGGGATTTACACTCCGATATTACTGAGGCCATGTTGTTCGAGAAATTTTCAACCGCTGGTCCGGTCCTTTCAATACGCGTTTGTCGCGACATGATAACTCGTAGATCCCTCGGCTATGCGTATGTGAACTTTCAGCAGCCTGCAGATGGTGAGTACTTTCTTATTATTTTTCTGCTAATACCTTCATTTATTTCAGATACCTAAAAAATTTCATTCGACTCCGCTATTGATTGACACATGTACATTATTATTTTTCTATTATACTAGAAACATGTTGTTTGGTACAATAAAACTTTGGTAGTATATTCATTTCCTTTCTGAGCATCTAAGTATCCACTCCATATTCCAATGATGGATAATTTCTCTATCTATTCAGATAAGGTTACTCAAAAATTTTTGATTTCATCCTTATCTTTATATCATAATTATACAGTTTTCGAATTTTTACTTATAACTTCAAATAATAATAATATGGATGTTTATTACTGTTCAAAGCTGCTTGGTTAATCACACCAAAGTTCTCTTAAGACTTTCCTTTTAAATCATGGATTAGTATAGGTTTTAATGTTCTAGTAATCTCTATTCCAATCTACCCTTCCCCTTCAATTTTTTGGTTTTTAATGCTTTTATTGAGAAGTATAATTTTAATCGTAACTTTTAAAATCTATTAATGAGAGCATTACATCGTTGTATTAAACAGCAAACCCTTGTATACTGTAGTTACTGGTTTGCTCATGTCGAGACTTTTACTGTGTGATTTTTGAAGAACAGAGATTATGGACTTTGACCTCTTATAAATTAAATGACCTTAGGTCCGATTTTTCCACATAACATAACATCACGCCTTTTATTCCTGAAGGGGTAGGCAGAGGTGCACATTATGCCACTGTACAATGTAACACCCTTTTTTCACTATTTATGTTGAGTCCCAATGTTATAGGGGGTGAGCCTATTGCCATGTACTGAGAATTTTTTCAACACCAGATAAATTTTAATTGAGGAATAACTTTTGAATATTCGGCAATTCTTCCTTACTATAATCTATCAAATGTCAATTTATTCTACAGTTAAGATTAACTGATGATTGTAAAATCAGCCCTTAAAATGTTTCTGCCTACTGGCCAGGGTTAAAAGTGAGAGGAGGAGTTGTGTATATTTTATTATGGGTGAGCCTTTTGCCATATACCTATCCCATACCAGTACTGACTAAATTGAAAAATCCCCAATATTAATTTGCCCGCCCTAGAAAAGTTCAAGACCCCTATGCTTACAAGTCGCGATTGCAACCACTCAACCAATAGAGTAGCGGGTATTAAAATATTTTAGGAAATAAGGTGTTAAAAATTGTGCCCTTAACCCCTTGAGCGTCCTTATGAGCACCCAGGGGATCATAAGAAAAAATGCCCCATGCTGCTTTCTCTTTTATAAAATCTATTATTAATGTTTTGTTTTTATTTTGACTGTATTTGTTTTATTTCTATTGTAAAGATTCTTGTTTTCGTGTGTCAATGGCCAAATAAATGCATTTTCTTTCTTTCTTTCTCCAAATGTCACATGTGCACCCGTTGGATCATAAGGAACACGGACGTTCGACGGGTTAATCATGAATGCAGACTTAATTACTTAGGATATTTAAAATAAAAATTCATTTCATTTGAGTAGTACAGGGTAAATAATTATTTACTAGTATAAAATGCTATTCTGTGTATTAAACAACTTTTTTATTTGTTACAGCTGAAAGAGCTTTGGACACTATGAATTTTGATATGATCAAAGGAAGACCTATTAGAATCATGTGGTCCCAACGAGACCCGTCTCTTCGCAAATCAGGCGTTGGGAATGTTTTTATTAAGAATCTTGACAAAACCATTGACAACAAGGCTATGTATGACACCTTTTCTGCCTTTGGTAATATTTTAAGCTGTAAAGTTGCTCAAGATGAAACTGGAGCCTCTAAAGGATATGGCTTCGTTCATTTTGAAACCGAAGAAGCAGCTAACAAATCCATCGAAAAAGTTAATGGAATGCTTTTAAATGGCAAGAAAGTTTACGTTGGTAGATTTATCCCACGTAAAGAACGTGAAAAGGAACTTGGCGAAAAAGCTAAATTATTCACCAATGTCTACGTCAAAAACTTTGGAGAAGATTTTAGTGATGAAATGCTTAAAGATATGTTTGAAAAATACGGCCGTATTACGAGCCATAAAGTTATGTATAAGGACGATGGATCATCAAGAGGTTTTGGGTTTGTGGCCTTTGAAGATCCAGATGCTGCCGAAAGGGCCTGCATGGAGTTAAACGGTAAAGAACTTGTGGAGGGAAAACCTCTTTATGTTGGTCGTGCTCAAAAGAAAGCCGAGCGTCAAAAAGAGCTTAAGCGGAAGTTCGAGCAGTTGAAATCTGAACGACTGACACGCTATCAAGGTGTAAACTTGTATGTCAAAAATCTCGATGATACTATTGATGATGAACGTCTCCGCAAAGAATTCACTCCTTTCGGTACAATTACTTCAGCTAAGGTGAGCAAGTTAATTAATTCTAGTATCATTATTTAATATACATTTATTGATTTTTCTGTAGTTTGTTTAATTATGGTGTCTGGTAAAGCATATAGGTCTAGTTGTTTAACCTGTCGTGTGTCTAAATTTAGATCTACACGATACACAACGTATTTTCTATTGTGTCTCCTATCAGTTCATTCAAGTGGTTAAGCCTCATTTCCAATATTAATATTTAAAAAGTGGAGACTAGGTCAAGAGAAGTTTATTCTAATTATTGTATGTACCTATTTGTATATTTAAACTAGTAGAATTTTATTACTATGCTTTAGACTTACCTGATAATTATTGTTTCAGGTGATGTTGGAGGATGGCCGAAGCAAAGGTTTCGGGTTTGTATGTTTTTCTTCTCCAGAAGAAGCTACCAAAGCTGTAACAGAAATGAATGGTCGTATTGTTGGAACCAAACCTCTGTATGTAGCTTTGGCTCAACGTAAAGAAGATCGGAAGGCTCATTTGACTTCGCAATACATGCAAAGAATGGCGAGCATGCGCATGCAGCAGATGGGTCAAATATTCCAGCCAGGTGGCGCTGGTGGTTATTTTGTCCCTACTATTCCACCCGCGCAAAGGTTCTACGGACCAGCGCAAATGACCCAGATTAGACCATCGCCACGTTGGACTGCACAACCGCCAGTTCGTCCCAGCACCCAGACAGCTGCTTCGGGTTATCCTAACATGCAGGCACCTTTCCGTCCGACACCTAGAGCTCCTACTCAAGCTGCTCTGCGATCGTCTTTGGGAGCAAGAGCTATAACAGGTCAGCAAGGCGTCGCTACCGCAGCCTCCATTCGGGCACCTCTGGTCACCCAGAGTGGCAGGCCTGCCGGTTACAAGTACACAGCTAACATGCGTAATCCACCAGCTCCACAACCAGCAGTTCACATCCAAGGCCAAGAACCGTTAACATCAACCATGTTAGCAGCCGCTCCCCTTCAAGAACAAAAACAAATGCTTGGAGAGCGTTTGTTCCCCTTGATTCAACGAATGCATCCTGATTTAGCTGGAAAAATTACAGGAATGCTTCTAGAAATTGACAATTCTGAACTTCTTCATATGTTGGAACATGGAGAATCACTCAAAGCTAAAGTAGATGAAGCTGTTGCTGTATTACAAGCTCACCAGGCTAAACAGCAAGCTACGAAAAAGGAGTAAATTACATAACAGCAGTGGCCAAATTTAATTAACAAGAACGCATATAAACATTCTTGTTAATTTACTGTAATGCTTTGAACATCTTACATTGTTATCCCGCTCATAAAAAATACAAAAATAAAAATTGAAAAAAAAGATACAAAATGTGGATTGCACTCTTTCCAAATAATTATAAAATAAAGTTATTATACTTATTGTCATTTGAGTGCAAATCTGCAAACAAAAATAAGAAACTGTCAACATTTCTATATTTGAGAGAGTATTCTAAACTCGGTAGACTTTTTACATTAACTGAGAAGTTTGTTTTAAGTTTTTTTTTCTTTAGCTTTTTATTTCTTTTGTATCTCAAGAAGGAGAGTTAATTGGCTTATGTTCTTTCAATTTCATTCTTGTCTTATTCTTTTAATCAGATTTACATTGATACCATGGATTGTAAACTTGGTCTCTTTATGTAACTGGTTCAATATTCCTTTATGATTTGTTACATATATTCTGTAAAAGCACATTACAATGATGTTTTATTTTATCTTAAGAAAGTAAGCTCCTGCGCGCTCTGCCACGTGGTTTTTCTAAGGTTTCGAATTTTGCGGACAGCAGCGCGACGGGCACCGATTGACTGGAGTGCACCACTCGTTGCCCGCCCCCACGCGCCGCTGCCCCGCTGCCCCGCTGCTGTTTTCGATAACCGACAAATTTGATTTTACGCATTAGATCGTGTGCGTTACCCAGGCCAGATGTTGTCGAAAATGAGATTGAGAGTGCTGGGACCAATTTAAGTGTTTTTCTATTTAATGAAATAACTTTTAAGATATTTATTATTTTGGTTTTTATATTGCACAACAAATTTGAACTAATTAATAAGAAGCCATGTACCAAATAAGATAAGAATCCGCTTAACCATTTCAAAGATCTAGCAAACTCAAAAACGTTACCCCAGCAAAATCTCGAATAACTTCGCAACGGATGAAAGAACAAATACAAAACAAGGCGCAACATTTACTTCATCTAGACAACTAATTTTATAGCTAGTAATTATTTAAATATTCCCATTAGAAAGAAAATGGTCTGGCTGGAGTAACGTTACCCCAGCAGGAAATGTTTTTGTGAAATAATTAAAAAACTATAAGCGCAACATATTTAAAAATGTGCGCAACAATTACAGAAGCCGCACAACTAATCCTTACTAATATTATAAATCTGAAAGTGAGTTTGTTTGTTTGTTCCACCTTCACGCCGTACCTACTCAACCGATTGCTTTGAATTTTTGCAGACGTAAGGTTAGAAGTCCGGATTAAATAATAGGGTACTTTTTAACCCGGAAAAATTGATATTCCCGAGGAAAAACAAAAGTATTGGTATAGACGGCGCTGTGTATTGGTATATGTCACATAGGTAGGCTACTTTTTATTCTTTTGTGACGCGAGCGAAGCCGCGGGTAAAAGCTAGTTATCTATATGATTCAAATGACCATTTTCGACATCTGGCCTGGGTAACGCACACCATTACCCCCTGGCCACAGCCAAGCGCGACGCGAATTGCGGTGTGACAAGCGGTGAGCGGGGAAAACAAATGGTAGACAACGTATGAAGTATGCCACAGCTAACGGCGACGCGAATTGCGGAGCAACCTGCGGCGCGAAAAGCGTCGCGCGGCATGCGGCGGCGACGGGCGGCGCGGTGTGGGAGTGAAACAAATGCACTGGGGAGTATCGAGGCGGCCACAGCCAGAGCGGCGTATGCAGCGGCAGCGAGGGGACGAATTTGTGTTCGCGCGAACAGAATAAATCGTTTTGAAAATTTCGCTCCGCATCAAATGGATACCGAAAAACTTATTAGTGAGAAATTGATAGTTAGATTAGATAGTTTGGATAGTTCCTATATTCGTGATAAAGCGTGTGAAATTCGCCAAGGTTTTTCATTTACTGGGTGCGTTCCAATTTTAGAGTTAATGATATCTTGAGCTAAAAACGCATTAGTCTCAAGACAATATCGTGCCACTTTTGATAGGGCCATTATAAATAATACTGAGTACATCCACCGCTGACGCCGCCGCGGTCGCAACTAGTCGAGCTGTGGCATACCAATCCAAATCGCGTCGCCCGCCGCGCCTCCCGTCGCACCGCGCGCCGCACCGCTTGAAGCTGTGGCCAGGGCCTTAGATCCTGCGCCGCCGTCGCCCTCAAAATTTGGGATAATAAGCCGTTTTTACAGACTTCAAAAAAAGGACTAGGTTCGGCTGATTTTTTTAATTTTTTTGTTTGTTCGCGCATTATTCCGCCATTTGTGAACCGATTTCCAAAATTTTTGTTTTGTTTGAAAGGGCGCCCTGCGGACTCTCCGTCCGCATACCGGCCCATAGTGCTGCTCGACGAGGTGGGGAAAGTCTTCGAAAGAATCATTTCGAACCGCCTCGTCGCGCACCGGACGGATATTGGGCCGGACCTGTCGGACGGCCAGGTCGGCTTCGGCAGAGGGCGCTCCAAAGTGGACGCCATCATGCGCGTTAGGGACCGGTCGATGCGGAGGACCCAGTCATAGCCGATGTTCCACAGGAGCGGCCCCAGAACCGAACCCTGTGGAATACCACGTGACATCTCTCGCCTCTCCCGAACGACGTTAGCACAATATGCTACGCCGACGATACGCTGGTCGATTTAATTCGCACGTGTCGATTTAATGGCGACAGCGGTTGCGACAGTCGTTGAAAGAATCCGACAGTTGGGACTCGAGGTGGCGCTCCACAAGCCCGAGGCCATGTGTCGAGACGGCGATGAAGTATCTGGGACTCGTCCTCGACAGTCGATGGAACTTCGTGGAGCACTTCCAAAGTTGGCGAGGGCGGGGGCTGCGTTTAAGCGCATCCTCCCCAACCTCGGGGGGCCAAACGCCTCCTGCCGGAGGTTATACACCGGGGTCGTGCGGTCCATGGCCCTCTACGGCGCCCCTGTGTGGGCGCCGAAAATGCTGCGGCGTCCCGCTCGGACGCTGCTCATGTCACAGAGGGTCATGGCGATCCGAATGATCCGCGGATACCGCACGATCTCCGGGGAGTCGGCGAACCTCTTTGCCGGATTACCGCCGTGGGATCTGGAGGCGAAGGTGCTCGCGCGCGTGTATCGCATGCTGCCCCGCCAAATAAGTGCGTGGCGGGATGAGCTCCGGCGCGATCTCATGGCGGAATGGCAGCAACGACTGTCGCAACCGAGGGCTGGGCTCGCTGCCATCGCAGCGGTAAGTCCCCTCTTTGAGGAGTGGCTTGAGAGACGCTACGGCGTCCTACCACCTGACGCAAGTCCTCACCGGACATGCAAGTTTCTGGAGGTACCTATGTCTGATGGGGCGGGAGGAAACGCCCGGGTGTCATCACTGCGAGGACCGCCCTGAGGACACGGTGGAACACACAGTGGGAGAATGTCCTGCGTGGGCTGAGCACCGCCGTGGTCTCAGGGAAGTGATCGGCGATGGCAACCTCTCGCGTCCGGGCCTAGTGCAGGCCATGATGCGGAGCGAAGGGGACTGGGATGCCGTCTCCTCCTTTTGCGAAGCAGTCATGCTAGCTAAGGAGAAGGAACGTTCTCCCGCCACCGTAAGCGCGGGCCTACGGACGGCGAGCATGGGTGGCTCCCCGTCCGACCAGGAACAGACCCGAGCGTACGGCGCGTCGCGTTCCGCGCGCGCCTCAAAGAGCCATCAGACCACCACAGATGGGGCTCAATAGGGCCGATGCCGATTCGGAGTCGCAGAGAACCTAACGGGTAACCGGGGCTCCGGCTCGACGTGCAGGAGAAGGAACGGGGTGGTTTTTAGTCAGTAAGAGTCTGACACTCCCTCCCGCCTCACCCAGGCGGGAGAAGCCATTCGATGATTTTCCCCCCTTAAAAAAAATTGCTTAAATACTCACTAGAGATATAATATTGTAGTCGTAGTAGTAGATAAAAATTAAAAACACCTTGATTACGAATGTTGCTCCACCCGTAGCATTGCAAGTGTAAGAAGGTGGCTTTTTTAAGATCATCGAATAATTCTTTGGATATTTCATTGTACAGCGTATCTAAATACTTTGTAGCAAGAGTTTTTCTAGAAGGCAATTTGAAATTCACTTTTTCGTAAAACTGTCTCCACAGTGGATATTGTACCATCGACATTGGTGCTCCAGAAATAAACAAGGCCTTTGCAAATAGTTTTGTCAGAGGTATCCCATCGTACATCTCGGCGAGCATAATACGAAATAAGGTATTTAAACTGTCAAACACCAAGCGGTCACCGGTGACCGCGACCTATTGTTCTTTAATTGTGTCTATAAAACCGGTACTCGACGAGTTAAAGAGTTCAATGAATTAGGAGTTGAAATTATAGTTTTATTATACAAAACAAAAACACTTTAAAATAATTTGAACTCAGTGTGATGTAATAATTCGTGATATTTTACAATAAAAATTTCTGCCCTGTTTTGGGACATTTATTGGGCGTAAATGGACGTTTATTGGGCATTTACTCAATACGTCCCTAAATGCCCAGGCAAAAACCCATCTATACCCACACCCACACTGATAGGTTAGAAGTCGGTGTCATAGGCTCAGCTCATACATATCAAGTTGTGTCCAAACATCGAGCGCGGCTGCCGCGCGGGCCCTCGTCGCGCCATAGTATAAAGAAAAGGGAAGTAGATTATCTTCATACAGGCGGCCAACCGTCCCGTATTCTGCGGGACCGTCCCGTAAAACGTTAGATGCGTCCCGCAAGTCCCGCATACCCATTTCTTTCTTTTTTTTCATTTCATACTAACACTAACATCCGCGCACTAACAACAGCACGAATAAATGAAGATCGGAAAATTGTCACTAAAAGTGAAAACACTACGTGCTCTGCTTGTACTTAAATTTAATATGGGAAGTTGCGAAGATTTTCATGACATACCTACTCAATAAGAATCCTGAACTTGTTAAAAAATGTCACTCTAGAGATAAATACGATTTTATTAATAGTTAAATAACTTTTGTATATAAGTTTTATGTTTTTATGTAATTATACCTAGGAGAATTCATCGAATGAATTCTCCCGTCTAGGTGAGACAGAAGGGAGTGTCAGAATCTTACTGATTAAAAACGACCCCGTTCCTACTCCTGCAATTCGATCCGATGTAATTGTAGGTCTACCTACCGGCTAAACTTTATCTACAAAAAGTCCCGCATTGGACTTTCAGAAAGTTGGTCGCCTTATTCATACAAATGCACCGCGCGCGGCTTAGATGTGTGCGCCATAGTATCTATGCGTCGACGCACGCACACTTTAACAAAATCTCGATAATTAAAAGACTAAGTATGAGCGCAAATGTGCGCAACAATTTACAGAAGCCGCACAACTAATCTTTACTAATATTATAAATCGGAAAGTGAGTTTGTTTGTTTGTTCCGCTTTCACGCCGTAACTTCTAAACCGATTGCCTTGAATTTTTACAGACGTAAAGTTAGAAGTCTGGATTAAATAATAGGGTACTTTTTATCCCAGAAAAATGTTATATTCCCGAGGGAAAACAAAAGTATTGTTATAGATGGCGCTGTGTGTATATGTCATATAAATAAGCTACTTTCATCCTTTTGTGACGCGAGCGAAGCCGCGGGTAAAAGCTAGTTATCTTTATAGATATATATAGATTCAAATGACCATTTTCGACAATATTTGGCCTGGGTAACGCACTGTTTAATGAATAAAAAATGTCTGATAATCGTAGATACGTTCTACGATTATCAGACATTTTTTGCTGTGTGTTTGGGGTCTTAATAATTCATCGATTCCAGAACTGTCTCTGTTTAGATTAGGTACCTATTGAACAGGAAAGATAAGCTAGTCACTTATTCTAGCATAATATAATTTGTACTTGATGATGAGATAACTATTTACTTATTTTTTGTTTGTTTTAGTTTTCTATCAGTATCATAGGAAGTAGGTACGCCCGTCTGGCCTGGGTAACGCACACGATAAAAACTATTTTATAGACTATTGTTGTATCGAACTTTTAAAAATTAATTCAGTGGTTATGTAAGAGATAGTTTACGCATAGTACCCGTTTCCGTAAGAAGTCCGTGATAAATACTATCATACGTTTCCTAGGTCTCAAGATCATTTTACAGACTATAAATTAAAAAAGATTCAATGTATCTAGATTTATTAACTGCACGGTTGGCGCGGTGGCCGGGCAACTGGCTGCCGTGCAACGTGTCGCAGGTTCGCACCTCAATCCCAATCTCGCCCGGAACAACTCTTTGTGTGATCCACAGATCACAGGTGTTGTTCCAGGTCTGGGTGTCATGTGTATGTGATATTGTATGTTTGTAAACACAGGAGAAAATTCTAATACGGCAATGTTTTTTTAAATAAAAAATGGCTAAGAAGATTTATACAAACTCCCATCCCCTTGGGGATAGTATTTATCAAAATTCTTTCTTAGGAGATGCCTACGTCGTACACGAATCTGGTGGTCAATTTATCAGTTTTAAATCGTGCCCAACAATACTGATATTTAGGGACATTTTTATTTGTGTTATTTTATAAAACAAAAAATGAGTATTAAATGCACGGGTATGAACAAAATAAAATAATTTTATTTTTTACGATTTATTTTAGCAATCACTTTTTAGGTTTTGTTTCTTTCACTGCAGTAGGCGCCTTAGTGACGTCGTCAGGGTTTTCTGCAGCATCCTTCAAACGCTTGGCACGAATACCAACTAATTTAGCAATTGACCGTGCCTGTAAAAAAATGTACTAGTATTAATTTATGTACACTACTTAAAAGTTTTAGGGCCTGGTTTACCATGTCTGGACAGCCACTATGTGTCAGATGATGAATGAACAACTTAAGTTGTATAGACTACCATGTCACATAAGTTTGGGTATTGCTACCTATAAGGTGGTCAAACAGACACTTAATTAACTTACCCCTCTTAGGTATTGGTAAGCCTTGAAGTCCTTCTCTTCCTCAGTGATAGCACGAGCAATAGATTTAGGAGCTGGCTGCTGTACAGGCATCAATGGTCCTCGGAGCTGAGTGGCCAATTTGCGTTCTTCTTCATTTGCTTCTCCCTTCAATACCTAGAACAAATTTTAATTTATAAATAATCTACAAGACTGGTATCCTATGTCATGGATGCATAATCACACCCAGACTCCTATATTGTGGATTAAACAAATAATTTTTGTAAGCAGGAATTAAACCCATGTCATATGTTTTTTTAATTCTGTCTTATTTTGTGCAGTCATAAAATATGCGTGAATTGTACAATTTTACAAAAAAAATGATCAAGAAAATCGAGCGCTGTTGAGACATTGCATTGTAAAGACAATCAAAATCTGCGTAGTGTTTTCATAATTGATTGTGTTATATTTTGCGAAATTATTATCTACATTTGACTTGTTTATTTTACAAATGTGTTGTTTGTGTATGTTTACTGTACTGATTTAGTTTGTGAGATTATTATTTTAATAGACTTTTTTACTTAAAATTACACTGGTCAACAAAATTCAAACTTTTTCGTGCCACACGGACTTTTTTGATATTTTTTACTTTAGTTGGTGATTGTAAGAAAAGATAAACAGTTAAAAAAAATTTGCTAGCCAAGGATTTTATTCTATTGAGTAATTAAAAATATTAAGAAAAAATACAGATCTCGTAAATCAAACTTTTTTTTTTATATAAATTACTTAATAATTTAAGATTTTCTTGAATGTTTAGCTTCTGGTTGGTCCCTTTTAATTGTCCAGCAGTAATCCGCTAACATATTTGGGCTCCATTTTCCCTGGTACCGCTTTTCCATACTAGAAATGTCCTGGTGGAACCTCTCGCCGTGCTCGTCACTGACAGCCCCTAAATTGTCAGGAAAAAAATCCAGGTGCGAGTCTAAAAAATGGATCTTGAGTGACATGTTGCAACCCAATGCTTGATATGACAATAAGAGCTCGCTAACCAACTCTCTGTAGATGTCACTCTTGTGGTTGCCCAAAAAATTTGCAACAACATTTTTAAATGCGTTCCATGCACATTTTTCTAAACCGCTTAATTTTTCTTCAAATGTTGAATCTTTTATTAACTCCCTGATTTGAGGGCCAACAAAAATACCCTCTTTTATTTTTGCATCACTTATTTTAGGGAATTTTTCTTTTAGGTACAAAAATCCACTCCCACTGCGATCCATTCCCTTCACAAAATTTTTTATTAATCCTAATTTGATATGCAATGGTGGTAAAAGCACATTATTTGGCTCTACAAGGGGTAAATACTTTACATTTTTTTGGCCAGGAACTAACGATGCACGCATAGGCCATGTTTTTTTTATATAGTGATTAGTTCTGTCTCGGCTATCCCATTCACATAAAAAACAGCAAAATTTTGTATAACCCAGCTGAAGTCCAAGTAATAATGCAACAACTTTAAGATCACCGCAGATTTTGAAGGAATATGTACTGTAATTTATTTTTTCAAGTAAAACTTTCATATTTTCATAGGTTTCTTTCATATTTGAAGCATGGGCCACAGGAACAGACGGAAGCATATTTCCATTATGCAATAAAACTGCTTTTAGACTTGCCTTCGAAGAATCAATAAATAAACGCCACTGAGAGATTTCAAAATCTATGTCCAACATTTTCATGATCTCATTTATGTTATTGCAAAACACCAAATCTCCATCCTGAGAAAAATACGTTCTGAAGTGTTCATCACGGTTTCGAAAATAGCTAACTTTTGTATTATGATGTAGCAAATTCCATTCTTTTAGCCGAGATCCTAATAGTTCCGACTGCTTTTTTGACAAATTTAAATCCCTAACCAAATCATTTAGGTCTCCTTGAGTTATCAAATGTGGCTCCTTTTCAATTCCTTCAAACTCAAAGTCATCATTCTCGTCAAAAGACCGACTTGAAGTAGACGGTTGTGAATGGTCGTTATCAACAGACGTTGTTGCAACTGGTATTAGTTCTGGCATTTTTTTACAATGAGAGACTGGTCTTATAGCAGAAGATACGTTAGGGTAGATAACTGTTTTTTTTTTCTTGTAATTTATACCTTTTAAGTCAGTGAGACAAAAATAGCAATCCGAAACGTGATCTCGCTGTTCAGTCCATATCATGGGTACAGCAAAAGGCATAGCTCGTGCACCTTTCTTCCAGTCGGTTAAATTTTTCACACACGTTATGCAACAGACATGAGGGGCCCAGAATTTGTCTTGATGGGCGACAGAAAAACCAAAACATTGGTGATAACACTCCAGCACAAGATTCGTAAAATTTCGTCGTTGTTTTTTGAATGTAAGTTCTCCGCAGATATAACAAAAAGAGTTAGGGTTATTTTTACACTTCCTCGACATGTTCACAGGATTAATAAATCACAAAAAATATTCAAATTCAACTACAAATACTTTTATGACGATTTACTTGTGAGCGTTTCTGTTAATTTACCGCCGTAGTACTAGTTATGAGTATTACCGTATCACAACAAATATGAGGCTAACAGACAAATGAAAACTGTGATTTAATGATGAGGGTAGATTGATAAAACAAAATTAGCTATCAAAGTTCGTGTGGCAAAATCAGTGTTGACCAGTGTTATTAATAATGTTTAGTGTGTGACATTATTATGCTGATTATTAATATAGCTTATACATTTTATTACTATTATGAATATATTTATTAGGTCTGATGTGTGCTTGATGATGCACTTATGATGTTTTAATGTGACTATGTATAGGTACATGTTTGCCTGAAATAAACAACTTTTGTTTATAATTAAAAACAAATCTAAACAGACCAACAAAAAAACCATTGGAAATCGAACCACTGGTTAATGGTAGGAGAAATAGACACTAATGGTTTAATTCAACACCAGGGTCATAAAATATTGTTGTTTAGGTTTGCAACTGTCAAAAAGAAATTACTTTTTATGTCAAAAGATATGCAGATAACATGTGTTTTGAGATTGACCAACATTTTTCAGTGTGGTTTATACAATCATTTTAAAGTCAATATTTGACAATCCTACTGTACATTAAAAAATATAAGATAGCCATCTATAATTATCTACAAAACATTACCTTCTTGCCCTTAGGGAACAGGATCAGTCGTGCACGGTACTCCTTTAACCTCTGAACATTAACCTGCAGAGACTCAACAGATTTGTTACGCCTGCGAGGATCCACTGCAATACCAATGGTTCTAGCAAAAGCAGGGTTAAGGCCAGCCGCCTGTAAAAATAATAGATTTATGTTATGGTTTTACAAACATGATAAAAAGGTTATTTTTTAAGTGTGTGCATTGGTATCATAGTTTCCTATTGGGCAGATTACACTCAAAAAGAGTCAATATTCATAACTAGCTTTTGACTGTTACTTCATCAGTGAAAAACTGTTTATTTGTTACATAAAAAATAGGACCCTGTTGAAATTAGCAACAGGATTGGATTATGGTGGGAAATGCAGTTGAATTTCTGGAAGTACTAGTCCAAATTGAATCATTCTTTTTGTATTGGATACTCCACTTATCAAAGAAGATTTTAAGCTACATAACATCATGCTAAGCTCAATAGAAGACGACCAGTGTGGGTGAAAAGGCGCCAGGAAAGCTAAATACTAGGTATTTATTTTTGATGGTGTTAGTACTATGTCCAAATACATTTTCATCTATTTGGGTGGCTTTTAACAATGTACTTTAGAAAATATAGTTATTAGTCTTTATTGTTTATATATTGTTGTTAATTGTAAATAAATAACTTATTAACAGACAATTCATACTACATACTAACATAAGACAATTCAATGTATAATTAATGTGTACAAACAAATTATAAAATTCTGGTTTACTGATGGGTATGATATATATTTGAAAAACTATAGAAGCACCTCATGAATGCAGGTGGTATTTAATAATAATGTCCACTGCTGTAGGACAAAGCATTATTGAAGAATATACAGTAATGAATAGGAAAACAAAAGGTATTTATATGTATAACTACTTATGTAGTTAAGTATACATAAAAAAACTTATGTAGTTAAGTATACATAAAAAAAATTTCATTATAATTAATGTAGTAGTATAAACATAAGGCAAAATAAGACGGATGATCAAGGGGGTGTCTAGTAGGATTCACCTCCATTTCAATATGTATCAAGTTCTGAAATTCATAAGTAATTATTTCAATCAATTAAAAGTCCTGTGATAAAACCTTGACATGGTTGAAAAGTAACTCACTCTGATTTCGCGAAGAGTAAATCCACGACCCGCTCGCACTTTTGTATGATAGCGAATAGTGGGACAACGGACAACGGGTCTCAAAGGTCCAGCAGCAGGACGTGGAGCAACGGCTTTGGCCTTCTTAATCCTGTTCTGTTTTCTACGATGACGTCTAGCCGGCTGATTAAACCATGTCTTCACAAAACGTTGCCAATCCTTATGGAAATGGCCATTAGGGATCATATTATTTCCCTTCCCCATGTTTGATGAACCACAACTTCAACTAAAACACAAAATCAAAAAATAGACAAGAGTATTGATGGCACTATGTACAGCAATACAAAATCGATTATAAAAAATGCTATTGATAGTAAGATTTATATAAAATAGATAGATTACGAAAAGACTGACCGGTGTCAGGCAGAAGATGTGTAAAAAGAATTGTTAAATGAAAGAAACGACACAAGTGACACTTGACACTTTGACAGTACACGTTGGTGTTGCCATTGGAATATATCATTGCATTACGTCGTGTTATATATCTATGGTCGTGCCCTATAACGTGGACTATTTATTTATAATCCATCTTTTTAATATTGACGGCGATTGGTTAAAAAATAACCAATAAAACTATAGCAACACTCAATGACATACTTCCATTGGATGTTCATAACCAAACGTAGTATTAAGTAGTCTGTGGTTCATAACATCAATGAAGAAAGAAAAAGGAGGAAATGAGCTGTGCATGGAGAGGCCTATGTCCAGCAGTGGACGAATACAGGCTGATGATGATGATGATGAACTGTGCATGGACGTATTGAACTGTGTACGTACTCCACGTGCCAAAATGAAAACTAAAATGGCATAGACTCCGTCACCCGCCCATTAAATAGTGTAGTGACAAAACTAGCTGCACTCGGAGGCCCAATTACACCCCTCCCTAGTCTCCCGAATCCTCGTATCCTCCACAATCCTCGAATTCCCAATTCCCAAAAGGCCGTTAACGCACTTGTAACACCTTGGTGTTTCGGGTGTCCATGGGCGGCCGATTACTTACCATCAAGTGGTCTGCTCGTTTACCGGCGCTATAAAAAAAAACTCAATCGAATATATTTCAATCATGTTTCTTTTGACTCGACTTTTGTCGAAGGATAATTAAAATTACTTAAACATTCAATGTGATGTGGTTTGGAAGCAGGCAATTGTTTAGCCGTTACAGCACGCCATAATAAATAATATTACTGAGTAGGTCAGTCAACTTTTCAGAGTGCCCAATTTCTAAATCAAGTACGTGTATCATATAAAACCACTTTAATTACAATCCCTGAAACAAGTTTTACTTTATTTTTTAATTACCCTATTATTTAATCCGGACTTCTAACTTTACGTCTGCAAAAATTCAAAGCAATCGGTTGAGTAGTTACGGCGTGAAGGTGGAACAAACAAACAAACTCACTTTCAGATTTATGATATTAGTAAGGTAAGTCAAGTATGTAATAACATAACAGACACAATAATATTGTGTGGATATTAACTATTAACTTACAAATTATGAGATTTTAGAATTTAAAAAACTTATATCGATCCCAGCGCCCCATGCGACCATAGATATTATTATATAACATGCGACGAATTAATTTCGCAAGTTAAATTACTGCACCACGACACGCCTCGACTCTCTAGTTTGTTTTCATCTTTATTTGTTACACTGTCCTAATTCTACCTACTTTGATTACTTGGCAACCCTAAATCAGGCTTTTTCGGCTACAGCAAATTACCATTATTACAGAATCACGACGGGAATATCTCAGTTGTCATAAAATTTTAGGTAGTAAAAATAATAAATTAGTTGATTTACTCGTGTTTAGTTATGGAAGACACCAAAGCAACTCAATCTAGTGATTACCACAAAGAAAACGATGAGAAACACCAGAAAAAGAAGAGCAAAAACAAGAAAAAGCGTAGCGGTGGGGATGGCGACCACGGCGTTCCAACCTTGCCCGACGGTTTAGTCAATGTGCCTAATTCTAGTGATGCTCATCAGAACATATCCTTGAAAGATTTGAAAATGGCTATGGAGGTGTTAAATCTGCAACAAAAACCAGCTAAAACAACCGAAGAAGCTCTACACAAGTCTTATCAATTTTGGTCAACTCAACCTGTTCCAAAAATGGATGAAAAAATCATTTCTAACGAACCCATAGAACCTCCTAAGTCTGTTGAAGACATAAGGTCTGAACCTTATACTTTGCCAGATGGGTTCCAATGGGACACTTTGAATTTGAATGAACCTTTAGTACTAAAAGAGCTGTATACACTTTTGAATGAAAACTATGTCGAGGATGATGACTGCATGTTTAGATTTGACTATCAAACTGATTTTCTGAAGTGGGCCCTCCAACCACCTGGCTGGAGAATGGAATGGCATTGTGGTGTTCGTGTAGTTAAGTCTGGCAGATTAGTGGGCTTTATTTCAGCCATTCCTGCTCAGTTGAGGATTTATGACCATGTACAAACAGTTGTTGAGATAAACTTTTTATGTGTGCATAAAAAGCTTCGTGCCAAGAGAGTTGCTCCTGTTCTTATTAGGGAAATAACACGCAGAGTCAATCTGACTGGTATTTTTCAAGGTGTTTACACTGCAGGTATTGTTTTACCTAAACCAATAGCTACTTGCCGCTATTGGCATAGGTCTCTTAATCCAAAGAAACTCATTGATATTAAGTTCAGTCATTTGTCTAGAAACATGACAATGCAGAGAACACTAAAATTATTCAAACTGCCAGATTTGCCCAAGACTGCCGGATTTCGTAAAATGGAAATTCAAGATTGTGAAAAGGTGGTTAAATTATTAAATGATTATTTGGGAAAATTTGATTTAGCTCCAATATTTTCAGAAGATGATTTTAAGCATTGGTTTTTGCCCCAGTCTGGCATAATTGACAGCTTTGTTGTAGAAGCTTCTGATGGCAGTATAACAGATTTTGTTAGTTACTATACTCTGCCTTCTACAGTTGTGTATCATCCAGTACACAAAACACTAAAAGCTGCATATTCATTTTATAATGTATCTACAAAGACACCATGGACAGATCTAATGCTTGATGGGCTGATTACAGCAAAGAATTCAGGTTTTGATGTTTTTAATGCACTGGATCTTATGGAAAACAAGGAGTTTTTGGAGCCTTTGAAGTTTGGCATTGGAGATGGGAATTTGCAATACTACTTGTACAACTGGAGATGTCCCAGTATGGCACCTAATAAAATTGGATTAGTACTACAGTAATATTATAATAATTTGTATTCAGTGATAACAATAATGACTGGTTTCTTTGGTTTTTATCACATTATGTAAAAATGTTCTTATTAGTTGGATAAATGTAGCTTTAGTTTATAATAAAGTGGTTGCCTATTAATAACTGTTTTTAACAATGAAATATAAATATTTACACATTTCAAAATTGTAAACAGAGTTTGACAACTAAATATAGTCTTTTCCAAGTACATACTATTATGTCTTTTTCTTGTACAACTGAGTGGTGCCCTCGAACTGAACATTCTTTTTGTAACCAGTGTCTAAATAGTTTACTGTTTTTAGGGTTCTGTACCCAAAGTATTAAAACGAGAATCCTTGGTAATCAGATGTATTTTTATTGCCGTTGTAAGCTATAATCACAAATTGTTTGATTTTTCTTGTCACCTCACACTACCAATTTCTCCAGTATTGTCAGTACAACAATAGTAAATACAGTCAGCATCGGATACTATTATCCAGGGGTGTTAGGGAGCTCCGTAATCGTAATCGAAACTATCGGATATCCGATATAAAAAAATATTCGTAACCGTAACCGAATCCGAAATAAACCATTATATTAGCTATTTGTATTTTGCTTTGAAATTCCTTAAAATTTTAATATCCGTAGCCGAAATTATCCGAAACTAACGGATAATCCGAAATAATTTAATATCCGTATTCGAAACCGTATCCAGTATAATAATAATTTCTATATCCGTATCCGAAATTTCATATTCATAACATCCCTGCTATTGTCTGACGCTGACTTCACAAAATTGATACGAATTATTTTCATGTATTTTTTATTTCTAATTACCTACCCGCGGTATGTGGAACGTAGATATACGCGAGACACAATGTGTTTTCTATTGTGTCACATATGCCGACAGATAGCGGTTAATCGAAGTACCTAATCACTCATGCAATCAATCCATCTTTGCAAATGCAGTGGCAGTTATTGATGCCTTCTTAAAGAAATTAGCTGAATTCGCCTCTCTTGAACTGCCAACCAACCAACCCCAGCTTTTGCAAATTGGAGACCGACTGCTGTGCAGTATGCTACGAGGTCCCACGTTGTGTAGGTACCAGCCTACCAGCTTCTTCATCATTGTGTTCAGTTCTTCACACATCTGCAAGTTTTTGATTAAATGTATTCCTACTGTAACCAACTCCGTCAAGTGCGCCTCAGTATTATTTATTATGGCCGTATCAAAAGTGGCACGATATTGTCTTGAGACTAATGCGTTTTTAGCTCAAGATATCATTAACTCTAAAATTGGAACGCAACCAGTTAATGAAAAAAGGAAAAACCTTGGCGAATTTCACACGCTTAGCTGTGGCCGCCTCGATACTTCTCCAGTGCATTTGTTTCACTCGCACACCGCGCCGCCGCATGCCGCGCGACGCTTTTCGCGCCGCAGTTAGCTGTGGCATACTTCATATGTTGTCTACCATTTGTTTTCCCCGCTCACCGCTTGTCGCGCCGCAATCCGCGCCGCGCTTGGCTGTGGCCAGGGGGTAAAAGGATTTAGGTCAACTTAACCTGAAACCCTTGTATACAAAGGATGACGGGCAAACATGTATAGGAAATGTACCTACCAACCAATAACCACCTGACGTACCTATGTAGTTAGAAAGATCGTTTCATGACTATCATCTATTATTATGGGAGCTTATTTCAATTCGTTGTGGAGAAAATGTTATAATTACTTAAATGATCTATTAACCTTTTGAACGCCAGAGCAAAAACGCATGAACTTGCCCTCAACGCCAGGCCACAAATTCACCGCAAATACCTACGAAAAAAATAGGGATTCCAAAACTTCATCGATAATCAATTTTATTTTCATTTTCGTCTTTAATTTCGAAATATAATGTCCTTATAACATTGAAATTTAATTCAACATTACATTTCTTCCTATTAAAGTAATAGTTATACACTATTTACAGACTTGTATAATACCGTAATAACAGATATGAGACTACAATATATTTAAATATAATAACTGTAGGTACAACACTATTCTTGATCTGCTGTCTTCATATTGTGACCATGGCGTGGACGGCCCGCCATTTTAATAACTACTTCGCTACCGAAATAAGGATGTGGCAACGTAATATCTCGTTTATCGATGTTCTAGTACAATATTATTTTATAATAAATGAAACACGTTTTTTAAATTAGATTTATAATTCCGAATGTAACAGGTACTTAAAAATATATGATTGAAATAGGTTAAGAAGGTAAATAAAAACTATGAAAAAATAGAAAATTTTAATAAAATGTTATACAGTATGTACTATGTATACATGTTTTTAAATATTAAGTTCTATAAACCTGGCATAAAAAGTAACAAATTAAAACAATTAACGATTATATATATATATAATTATCACAACTACCAATCAGTCTTATACTAATAAATCTTTTGAATAATAGAACAAAATTATACAAAATCTACAATGCAAATCTTTAAATCAAATTCGTCCAAAGATTCTGTTTCCGAAAATTCTTCGTCATCTGAGACTCCTTCTAATATGCGAAGAAGTTCTTCCGTAGTCATTAAATTCCCACTCATTATAATAGTCACTTAATATAAATCTTGAACTCGATATCACAAGTAAATTAATCATAAATATTATTCATTCACTTCACTAATTTCTGGTCGCCGCGCTTGTGACGTCACGATATTGTCGTCTAGTCGTGACCATGGCGTACAGGGTACTGATAATTCGGGTTGCGTTAGGGATGCGCTTGAGTTGGGATTAGTGAATATCGAAATTCGACCCAACCAAATTTTATTTTTGACTATGTAGCTTATTGAATGATTTTTAAGACTGGTTTTATAAAATTAATGCTGCTTTATCCTATAGTCCATCTGTTTAGGTAATTAACTAAAGGTAAACAAAGAAAACCACGTGACACAGAGATACTTAACCTACTATTACTTCAAATATTTCTCGTGTTTTAATTTTAACTAAATTCACTTTAAAATCGTTCATTTGTCATACACACACATACAAGTACAAATGCCTAAATCGTACAAGAGCCTAGCCTATGGGTGTATTTCATTATCATATTTAAATAGAAACTATTCTGAATCTGATGTACGGATTTCTTTCTTGTACGGATATGTGTCTTTGGGCCAAGTTTCTTCAATATATTTGAACACATTAATTACAAACGATGTATATCTAAACTTAAATAACTTAATAACAAAAACAAAAACAAAACAAAGAAACAAGATAAATTCAACAAAATAGGAACGCGAGCGCAAACGACGAGAGAGCTGTCAATGGCGCCTGATTAACCGACTAAACGTAATACACGCTACTTTCATTGTCGCGCTACATCTTAGTTGTACTCTTTAATTTGACAACATTATTTTGCTTCGTTCTTAAGGAAGGGTTTTGGATACCTGGGATTTTAGGCTCTTTATGGTGTCTATTGTAATGAAATATTATATTATTTAATAAATGTTATTAAATAAATATCCTCAAGCAGATATATATAATATTTACTAAGAAATAAGTGAAAAGGAACAGAAACACAACATTTAATTGAGAAAACTGTCGTAAAAAGGGAAACAATTTTATTTTCTTATGAAGTATTTTGAATCATGGAAATGTCAACTATAAAGAACTCTTTTTATGGTTTGTTTACAAATAGTTAACTACCTAAACAGACGGAGTATAGTACCAAATTATACCTAAAATAATATATTCCAGAGGAAAGTTTCGAATCGATCTTTGATTTGAAATAATGATATTATCCAACATGCGCTACATCACTAGCGGTCACGCAGTTATGACACTGGCGTGTGAGGACATTCTTTTTTCAGAGTTTATTTCTTTCTTTTTAACGTAAAATTTCTCAATATTTATAATGCAATTTAATTAGTTTTATGGAAATAAATAAATTTTGGACCTTCTATTTTACAGGTATATAAATAAATAGGCATTAAAGTAATGTTTAAATAGTTTATTTCGTGTTTTAATGTACCGCTGTTTTTGTCACATATTTGTGTCGTTGGCGCTCAGGGACAGTTTTCGCTTGTCACGTATTTGTGACCCTGGCGCTCAAAAGGTTAAACAAAGGATAAAGCGAACCAAATGTAATGGAGTCTGGACCCACCCTTCAATAGCAACATGTGATACACCGTTGGATAGATAGGGCTTCTTAAATGAAACAATAGTTGAAAATACACCTATGGTCGAATGTTAGTATCTTTGGAGGTACGACGTCTTAAAATTATTTCAGTCTCAGCACCGAAACATAATATAGACACTACACGCCGAAGCCACAAGGAGAGCCACGAGGTGGGCCCAACATTACTCTATGTTCTTTGATTCTATCAAAGGCCATGGAGTAACGTTGGGTGGGTCCACATAATATTTAAGTAAAATAATAACATTTTACACACAACGAATGGATTCCATATTTGAACGCATACTCCAACTGGCCCCTGACACAAAAGCAATAGTGTTTAAAAAGGGTTTTTGAATCCGTAATTTTTTTTGAATGACGCATTGTAGATCCACGCAATTTAGAGACTTTTCTAATGATTGTATCGATATGTGTGTCGAAACCCATTTGACTGTCTGGATGGATACCTAAGTCACGGAAATATACGAATTTACCCAATATTTTCTGTTTCTTTTAATTCATCGTCGTAACAATAAAAGGAGAACTCTGCGATCCATATCCAGACAAGGACGTGTGCGCAGGCTATACGAAATATCGACTGGCGGTACACAGTGCTGTGGCACGACGTCGTGTCGTGTACCTACCGTTTTATGCCGGTGCGGTACCCTATATCATCATCATCGTATTGTAACTTTCGTGAGACATACTAAATAAATTATTATGTTGGACTGGACGCATGCGTCGTGTGAGTGAGGTTACCGGAGGTCCAAGCTCCCCAATAATCCTCAAATTTCTAATCCCTAAAAGGCCTGAAGGGTAACGCACTCGTAACACCTCTGATGGTCCGAGTGTCCATGGGCGACGCCGATTGCTTACCATCAGGTGATCTGTCTGGTCGTTTACTGGCTTATACCATAAAAAAACAATTAGTAATCTATATAATCAATATCAGAGCGGGTGAAAACGTACAGGAGTAGCTAGATTGATAATTAAATTAATGTTTTTTTCAGGCGCGAGGTCGTTGCGGTCCACAACCAAGGTCCGAAATAACAAGACATCAAGTGTTACCATTACCATACCCTTCCTATATGAGATGGGACCAAATATCATAAACATTAACCAATCATAGGTTGACTGGTACGAATTTAGAATAGTCATAAATTAAAACCAGGGGTCACCGCGGAAAAGAAATTAAACATGGTCATGCCAAATATTTAATTAGTCAAGACACTAATGTTATAAGAGTTGAGATTTAAGTAAGTATTAATCCTTATAATATAATATTCTTAAGCAGACGCATTTATTTCGGTATTACTTTTCTCGCTAACAGCATCTGCAGCATCACCAGGAGTCTCTCCGTTTTCACCTGGTTTAATTTTCTTATCACTCTTCCTGAATTTATCATACCTGAAAAAATAATAAACTCACTTTGATAACTGTTGACAATTCGGTGTTACAATTGAAACCCGGTGGTTTCAATACAATTGCATTCCATAATGTATTTTACAACAGTTGGTGTTGTTACAAAGTACAGGAACAATTATGGACCCTGTCGGGTACAACAAAAGTAGTTTTTTTTTATAGAGGAAAAGATGAACAGAACTTGTGAAAAATTAAAAATTTCAATACGAGAAGAAATTAATTTGCCTTTTTCTGAAATGGTGATCACACTTGTTAAATATGTATCTTTGACAAGTGTCATATTAATTGCTAGGAGGATTACAGAGACTGAAAGCGGTTAAGGTTACGGTACCCGGTACCGGTATAAAATAAGTATACCGATATTAAGGCTATACCGTTATTTAATCTTTACGCGATATTTGTACTCAAAGCTAGATTTGACAATAGTGAGAGGTGCGAGAAGTGTGGTGCGAAGTGAATATGACAAGATTCTGTGAGGAGAGAGAAATAGGATATGTGAACTAACGTACAGAATATCTCTTTCATTCCGATATCATTACGGTACCGAGATATGACGGTTTTCATTTGATACCCAAAAACAACGGTACCGAAATGAAGTGGTAACTTTATTCAAAAATAATAATCACATTTTCATTGACGATATATTTAATCTTCATTTTTTGTACTTATTTTTTAAATAAATAAGTATGCTATTTAACAAATAGTATGACGTACTACAAATAGACTAGGTAGTGTTGGGCAAATTGAAATCTAACTACTGATTACTAACTACGACTACTTAAAGTAATTAGTAATTGATGATTACAGATTACATTAAATAATCGTAAAAAGTAATACTGGTATCAACAGCCTATAGGTGGCCACTGCTGACTAAAGGTCTCTTCTCTCACAGATAAGGTTTGAGCATTAACACGTTCGAGGACGCTACCACTTGAGTCGGGTTTTCAAAATGACACAGTACATGTCTATACAAAATTATACGACGTATCAGTACGTAGTGTCCCATGAAGAAATATCGTTTTAAACATATCATGACACAACCGTTTTATCACGTCAACGTGTATATGCATCTAGGTAAGGATCCGCCTCGTTGGAGATGTCGGAATCATCAAACATGCTTATCTTGTGTCTTATTTTGCGCTTATATCCATCTAAACCACACAATAACCCATTAAACATCAATTTCACACTGTAAAATCATTAATTTGCATTAAAGTACACACAGTGACACAGCCGCGCTGAATGTAGGAGCGCGGGACGTATAAACACGTTGTGCGTATGTGAATACCGTAACCGCACACTATCAACGACACTTATTTTAAATAGTTCTAAACTTACCCTACGTGACAGTACAGAGTTGGGTAATTTATATGTTGTGACACAAGATACATTTAAAAGGATTTTTACTTGAACTTTCATCGGAAATGAACGTTCTGCCGTATAATTTAAATGTTATTTGAACGTCATCGTACGTTGTGCGATATTAAAATCTCGAACGATGACGTATAATCTCGTTTTGTCCTCGAACGTGTTAACCATCACTCTTGCTCCATGCGGGTCAGCGATTTCAAACATATAATAAATTATAAGCCCAGGTTTTTTCTCGACGTTTTCCTTTGCTGTTTGTCAGGGGTGTCTAAATAATTTAAGAAAGTACAGTTTGTCTATTAATGAAAATCAATGAGGGCGCCACAGGTCGTGGGTACCAACCCAATAAAAACCAAAACTAACCTATAAATAAATGCGCAATATAAACAATTCTTATTTTAGACATAAAATTGTTTATTTTGTACGTTTTTCACTTCAGGCAAATAAAATATAAACTGTAACACGATTCCAACCCGTCATAGCCAACGATCGAGCGAAAACATAATCTTACTTAATTTGATATTTGTCCAGCTTCTTGTACTATTGAAAATCACTCTATATTCGAAATACAATCCGTCGAGCTCCACTCCGAATTGTTTTTTGCATGTTTAATTAACTCCTGAGTTTTATTCACTTAAATTAATCTAGTACTTTTTTAACAAAAACGATTCGCAAAACAAACTCGTTCACAGCTGATGACATTTAACATACTTTCATTGAAACAATCTCAATCAGATCTAAACATACGGTCTTATTAATAAAAATCTCCTATTCCAAACTTATTCACAGGTTAGTCTTGGACTAGCTAATCCCGGACTAACAAAGTATTAACTTCAGAATTGAATTCCTATTAATAAACATGGAATAACCTCGGAATAATGAAGGAAACTCGGTTGTCAATAAAGAAGAAAAAAACATTTATTTATTTATTTACTAACCAGACTAACGTTGGAATAGCTTAGTCCGACGTTACTCCTTGTTTATTAATACCGTATTAGACTATTCTGAGCTTAAATCATGAAGTAAAGTTATTCTTACTCTAATCTATGTTTATTAATAAGAGGGCTAGTGTTTAGAAATATACCAACGGCAAGTTACCTCATGCATGAAAACTGGGCGTCTTAGACGTAGAGGTGACAACATTTTAATAGTATTAACAACTGAGAACTAACAGCCTGATTGGTCAGCTAGTAAGTGTAATCATGTCTAATGTCACTCGATACCACAATTATGAGATTTGATCACCATGGCACAGTTGCAATGTAATGGTCAAACATTTCAGAAACTGGGTGTTAATGTATTACAATTACTATTGAATAGAAATATATTAATACTAGCGAACCCGACAGACGTGGTCCTGCATATTCACTTGAATGTATAAACAAAAATTCATTCTAATTAGTTCAGCCGTTTAGGATAAATAACGTAGACACCGACTGCAGCGCCATCTGCCGGGCTGATTTGTGAATCTAAACCATCCAAGGCGCCACTCTAATGCGTACATAAAAATTCATTTAAATCGGTCAAGCCGTTTAGGAGGAGTTCAATGACATACACACATACAGTAGATTTATATATATAAAGATTATCATTGAAGAAGTTAGAAATGACTTGTTCTACATACCTCCCGAGATCTTCCTCGTCGTCACTGCCTTCGTTACCTTGGGGATCTACTTCTCGAAGTAACTCTCCAATGTCTTTATCTACATCTGCCCATAATTTATCCTCACTCCCTGTGAAAATGTTAGTGTGAAACATTAAAAAATATATATTTTAAAGTCTTTTCATATATCTAGTTTGACCGAAAATCAAGCCTTCTATGCAAGCTGGATCACCCTAAGAACAATCTTTTGTTTTTTGAAACAGTTGTATTAACAGCAATTATTTAACAACATTTTCATATTTCGCCCTTCCCGTGGGTTTAGATTTTCTGTACTAACCAGATGCGGCCGAATTATCAGCACCATTGTCCAGTTTCTTTTTAGGATCTTCAGTATCTTCCACCTTCACCGGTGCAGTCTTATCTCCAGTTTCAGCAGGAGAAGTTTCCTTCTCTTCTTCTAAAAAATAAAATATTGTTAAGTTTAAATAACTGACTCCTATTGTGATCATGCACACATGAAAATAAATAGGAACATTGAGGGCATGTTAATTAGGACAACACTGTCTTACCTTTTTGCTGATGTAACTGGCGATGAATTCTTTCAGCGTGTTTGCGAAGAGTGCGAGTGTCACGATGTTGGACATAGCGCCCCAGATGTATACGTAAACGACAATGACGACGCAGAGCTTCTGCTTCTTCAGTGCCGCCAGCCTCAACATGGGGCAAGTAAACACGGCATAATTCACACCACCAAACCTAAAAAGTTTGAAATTGACTTAAAAATCGCGAAAGTAAAATATGTAACTAGTTTAACATTTTAATTCAAAGTGAATTGGTTACATGGTTAAGTAATAATTTGTTAATAGATGTATCAGTTGGTAAGTAATTTCAATGTTTGAATAATTCCTATTTTTATGAAACAAATAAAAATGTAATGTGTCCATCATTCTACGCACATAGCACCTAGAGAAAGTACCTAGTACTTAGCAAGTGTACATAATATTTCATACCTCCATTTTTTTGATATGCTCACTGCCAATGTTAATTTCAACTTTGGGTTTTTTAGGAGAACTTTCATCTTTCTTTTCGCCCCCTGAGTCATCATCTTCAACTTCTGTAAGAAATATGTAAATAAAACATCATAATTTAAAAAGAACAACAAATGCCTGGAACCGAGGTTGAACTTTTCAGTTTCGAATATCAACTCGCTGAAATTCTTGGCCACGGCGGAACGTGTACCGTTTGGATTAAAATTAGCGCGTACAATTACATTAATTGCTTCGTTGAATGGTTGTATATTTTATGATTGTTTGCAACAACTCAATTGTTACACAGTGGTCGTCTTTGCGTAGTTCGTTAGCAATGTATTGTCATTGCATTCTGTTTATTAAAATTTTGTAAATTTTCTCTATAATTTCATAGCACATAAATAATAATACAAGTATATTTATTGTGTTGCTGTGAGTTTTAAGTAGGTACTCGCATGCGTAATGTTCGGTCGAACATTCTACATGCCGCCGAATCTCCGGAATATTTTTGACATTGGTATACGGCAGATTGGATTTATTGAAATACTAGCTTCTGCCCGCGACTTCGTACGCGTACCATCCCATTTTTTTCCGACCCCGTTCGTGATTTTCGAAAAAAAGAAAAAAAAATGGGTAAAAAGTATCCTATGTCGGTCTCCTGGCTCTAAGCTACCTCCCTGCCAATTTTCAGCCAAATCTATTCTGCCGTTCTTGAGTTATAAGTGGTGTAACTAACACGACTTTCTTTTATATATATACATAGATAGATTACCGAACATTGAAATTACTGTTAATATGCATTAAAAATACGTTTTATAAGCCAATAGGCTCAACACTTGACTAAATGTGTGTGGCATGATCAATATCTATTGTCTACTCACTATCAGGTGGTTAATGACGTTTGAATTGAAGTTTTACTAGTGTTTATATGCCTAATCTTTCAAAAGTTCATTTATCAGATAGATGGACACTTTATTCCTAATGGTGAACCCAAGGTCTCTTTAGTAATCTGTCGTCAACACCCGAAATGAGGTTAAAAACTGTGATTTTGCTTATCAGATGCAATTAGTGTGATCCTCTCGTTTTTTCTCCAATAGGGAATTAGCTAGTGTCACACTATTGGACGTTCAATATTTGAAAGCTTGTTACTTAGGGAGAAAAAAATGATTGCTGTGACTTGCATGTCAAGTTAGCTGTCAAAATCAATGAAATATTACATTATCATTATTAGAAAAAAGGTGTCCAGTTTTTTAATCTAAAATTTTCCAGCCCTTACCATCTACATCACCCACTGAGTCAAGAGTCATAAAGTTGTCTAAATCAACATCCATGCCCTCGTCACCGCTAGCTTCAGCCTTAGGACTCACTCGACGCGCAGATTGGCTCGCTTTCCTCTACAATAAAAAAATATATTTATAGCTGTAAATAACATAGACATAAATATATCGTATTCTGTTCACTTAGCCAATGTACATAATTATTATAGCAAACCTTAAGGTGTTCCAAAGAACAAATATGATGTTCGTATATCATAGGCGAGCGGAAGGTGAGGCGACAAATCTGGCAAAACGGCATCAGGAAGCGCTTCATGGCGCGGTGCGTGTCGGTGAGGTTGTGCGCGTGGCGCGTGGTGCGGTGGTTGAGGCGGCACACCGGGCAGAACGTCGTGCGCGCCGCCAGCTGCGCGCCCGCCGCCGCCTCCAGCTCGCGCTGGGCGCCGCGCTGCGCCACGCGCATTCGCAGCAGCTGCGCCTTGTGCCGCCGCGCCACGCCGCTCATGGCCGCGCGATGCTTGCTCGACACCAGGTGCTTTGCGTATGCCTGACGAAATCTTATACTTATAAGTGAGCCAAATAAAGTCTATGCCCCAATAAGGCTTATTCCTTTCCCGTTTCCCAATTTCAGAATTTGGATAACTTCTTGGCGAGAAAAAACTTCGATACCCGAAAGGCAGAACAATGCCTTTAAAGAATAGGGTAGTTGTTAGGGTATGAAAATTAAAAATCTAATTAGTCCGTCAGTTAGATAATAAAAAAATATAAGACACGTATTTTTTATTTTCTCGTATAAAGTTACAGCACTACTTAGACAAAATGGAGTTAAGTGTAGGAGTTCCCGGTCGTTACGTCATGTTACAAAATGTAGCACTTTGTGACGTCACACGATATTTCAGATTAATATATCGTCGAAAGTATTTAATTTTGTGAGAAAAGAAAAAATACGTGTCTAATATTTATATTTATATTAATCTACCAGACGGACATTAAAATAAAATAATTTAGGAAACTACCCCACCAGTTGCCTCCCTTCCAACTGAATTCTTTAAGAGGCGTTACAAGTGCGTTATCGGCCTTATGGGGATTAGGAATTTGACGATTGTTATTGTTGATGATTCGGAGATTGGGAAAGTGCGTAATTGGGATTCCGGTAACCTCACACACACACACACACGACGAAACACAATGTAAGCGTTGGTTAATGAATAATTTTGTTTATAACTAGTGGCACCGACTTCTTACCTATCAGTGTAGCCTATAAGTATGTATGAACAATAATAGTTATGCTTTTTAATTTTTCGTTTTTATTAGTTTTTGAAGCCACTTTTTTATTTTATACTTTTTAGTTTAAGTAAATAAGTAAGATATTATAGTATAGTTTTGTATTCATTAAGAAGTTGAAAACCTACTTGTTATTATTGAGGCCTCAATAAGATTTAGTTTACTTACTTTAGAGAGTTAATCAGGGTTCTCAATAACGCCAATCTCCAGAACTACTGGTTCGAATTAATTTATCAAGGAATGATTTCCGAGAGTTTAGAAAATCGGCGTTTTTGTAGATTTTGATTTTTTCGGGAAGTATAGTACACAATATAACTATTTAGTTTACGCATAGGTATGAAATATTTTTTTCTGCAGATGCCGCTTAGTAGTTACGCTAAAATAGTACGATTAGATAGTACTATTTTAAAAAAAGATAAAAACAGAAATATAATTTTTCATAAAAAGATATGTCAGAAAAAAAGCTGTTGCTCATTTATCAATAGTGAAACTTACCGCAAAAGTTGCACATTTCTCTTTACAATGTACGCACGATAAATGTACGTAAGGACGCGGACGCTGGGGACCTGTATCCGACGCAGCATCTGGTTCTTTATCTGTGTCTTCGCCACCCTCTACTTGCTCTCCATCAGACACGTCGGCTTCAGCCTGTTACACATAGAATTTGCTTTTAAACTTCATTATCTATACTTAATCTTATTACTTACCTTATATTTGTCTATACTTAAAATCAATCTGTAGAGAGTATCTATAGTTAATCTTATTACTTATATCTATCTATACTTAAAATAAATCTGTAGAGAGGTTAATTCTGTTAAGTAGGGATCGATACTGATGCCAAAAATGCAATCAGTAAGATGCCTGTCTGCCTGTAAAACTGATATAGAAACAAAAACTACTCGACGGATTTTAATGAACCCTGAGCTGGTATATGTATATTGTATACATTTCATCATGCTATCTTAATCAATATGTTGTTGGGAAATGGGGAGTTACTTCATTTTTTACGATTCCGTCGCATGTGCAATCTTTATGGTTAAAGTTGCACAAATATCATGTAGGACGGAAATGTACTCCTTAAAATTATATAAAAAATATCCCACAACAGCATATGATTTTCTCTTATGGTTGACTTACAATAACACGTGTAGTGCCCGATAGCTTAGCAGTGCCAAACTTTCTGATTATATCTGTCTATACTACGTTTATAACACTCTAAATCATCCCTAATTAAAAATTAACACCATTCCATAAAAAATAATCATAGAAATCGGATAAAAAGTACGGTGTTTCTATACACCATACTTTTTATTCAGTTTGGTACAGTAATAATTACTGTGAAATATACAGGGTGTCCGCGAAGTCGATGACCAAATGGCACCAGTTGATCGACAAGGTTCCAACAGTTATCAGAAAAATTCAGAAAAAATTCCAAGTTATATTTCTTTCTAAATACAATGATTTATGTGTTATCCACGAAAAAGTACACCCTGCCAGTCTCTTGACTCTTGTTGCTATAATTCTTTATATTTTCGTCTGTATTTTAGCTTACGTTATCCTGAATAGTGCTTTATATGGTGATGTAACGAATGTCATTTTTTGAATATTCGCGAATATGTGTATATATTTTGTCCACCATTTCACTTTCACATGTATGTGTGTATATTTTTTTACTGCTATAAGTTAAAGTTGAGAGACAACAAAATCGTTCTACGAAAACTGCACAAAAGAAGTATTTTTCCTAAAAATCCTCTTATTCCTGATATAAACAAGACCTACCAATGAATAGAGTATATATCCACAGATAATTTGATGTACAAAATATAGTTTTGTGTAAGCTACAAAACGATATTTTCACTGAGATATGCTAAGAGTAAAATACGCAAGTTATTACCTTTGGGGATTTAGTTTTGGTCTCCTTTTTTTCTTCAGCAACTTCCTCTTTCTCCTCTGCATCCCAATCTTCTTCAGTTGAAGAGGCATCTTCTTTGGACTTGACAGAACTGCTTGAAGATTAATCATTATATGTATTAGTTTATACATATATACAATATAAGCAATAAATCAAATAATATTAAATTCCTAATACGATATTCTACATTCTATAATGAAATAATTATGCTGTACCATCTTAGGGGCTCTTATTTCTTTTTCTAGAGCATCTCTTCTTATGGCCGGGCATTTACAAAGGGTCACAATCAGTGAGTCTACATTCTGATGTCAATTTCATTCATTCATGTGGTGTTTCATTCAGCCTCACGCTAACTCCCGTTCTTCTATTTTATTTATTTATTTATGATTAACTAAATGTAAGCAATGGGTACTCAATATATCGAATTACCTTCGGCCCTTGACAGATCGGAACGCACGGGTGTAACCGAGCGTTCTTTCGGTGTATCGCCTAGAGGTAAATGTACCGCGAGAGCGCGGTGCGCCTCTGAAGGTCGCCCGTGACCGCATAGTGCGTCCGCGGAAGGACCGGCGCACGGCGCGTGGCCGCGTCGTGGGCCGTGTCTCTCGCGGCGGGCCCATTCCGCTCGGCTTGCGGTAGCTTTCTCGGTTTGGCGAGCGTCGGCGATCTTCGCCACCAAACGATCTCCTTTCGCTGCTGTAACTTTCTTGTCGAGCGCCATAAGATCCACCGTAATGGCCACCTCCATCATGGCTACGTCTATCGCTCGAAGAGCCCTGTACACAACTCTCTTTGGTTCTTTCGACACGCTTTACATATGAAATAGAATAAATTGTTTAATGAGGATGGAAATGGTATTATTCTTCTTTTTCAGCCCTCATCAAAGTGTTAACACACAAATTTTTAGGCACCAACAAACTCCTTATAACCGTATTTATAGCCAAAGTCCAATGCAATGGAATCTTTTTTCTCTAGATCCACCATTTCACTTTTACAATTTACCATGGTAGACAAATAAGATGTTGTCTTTATAAATGCAATCTCCTGGCATTGAATGACACTCAGGTACTTACATGAACAGAAAATAGATGTCACATCACACATATTCACACTGACATTGTAAAAGAAGAATAGGGTGGTCCATATCTAAATTAGATGAAGTCTGGAAGGTTAATAACTCTAACTATTCATTAGTCCTCATGATATAGTATATTCACATTCATATTTGTTGCTGCTTTGAATAGTTCAAAATTATCTGTTTCCGTGTCAAATTCTTGAAGTAATAATTTCACACCTGTATTCATTTCTATATTATCTGTTAATCATTTGTATAACAAATATCAGCCTCATCAAATCCAAGAAGGAAATACTGTTTTTCTCAGTTCCTTTACATTCAAGTTAACCCATAGATAGTTTTATATATAGTTCACTAAAAGTGCCAAATTTTTCCATTCGAAAATGCATCAGTGAATATCTTTGATTTTCCTCAAAATTTTATTTTCCTTAAGGAATATATGTACAGATCACATAATCGAACTATTTTTTTTTCAAAATTCTGTAATATCTGTATTTTAGTAAGTTTACAGCTTAGCGTGCACAGTTTTATGATGGCCATTACTTTAAATCTGCATATTTTAGTTGCATTTGTCGAAATTTATGTGTAGTATGGAATATAAAAATTATAAGAAAAAGTAAATTAACTTTCTATCAAGATTTACTGACCTCCATCCTCATCCTCTTTCTGTCAGGAGAGCCGGACCGACCACCATAATCCCGATTGGAATAACTTGCAGAACTTTCCTAAAAGTAAGAAAGTTAATAAAGTGAGTTGTTGCATATGTCGTAGGATAATTTGATATTTCGAATCTTCGCGAAAATCCTAGGGGTTTTGCGAAAACGCGGATAATTAGACATAGGCGAAAAATTATCAAATCTTACTGGACAAAGTCAGGATTTTTGCGAAAATACTCGTTACTATAGTAAGATTGCGAAACGAAACGCTGGCTGTTATGAAATAAGAACGCTGGTTGGTCGGTCAGCGCGTTCAATAAGAGATCGTCTCTGATTGGTTGACGTCTTAAATGTTTTTTCGTCGTCTTAAACGACCAGTTTCATCCAATTTATGGATTACACCCTAAAATTGGATCATTTTTTTTTTACAACGACTGAGATCTCCTATTGTCTGTAGAAAACAACATACATACTAAAATTTTCAATAAAAGGTTTATAAAAATCAATTTAGTGATTTTTCTTTCTCACCTAAACTAGGAACCAATTAGAAGCCAGCCACCAAAATTGTAGCCAATCAGTGTTGAGCACATCAAATCTTACTATAGTAACGAGTATTTTCGCAAAAATCCTGACTTTGTCCAGTAAGATTTGATAATTTTTCGCCTATGTCTAATTATCCGCGTTTTCGCAAAACCCCTAGGATTTCCGCGAAGATTCGAAATATCAAATTATCCTACGACACATATAATTTCAAAAGTTTAAATGAAGAATAACGTAATTCTATGTCTCATATAAAACGGATGTTTCATCACTTAAAAAACTACAAATTTGCCATGAAAAAAGTGAAATTTCTTATGAAAAACAAAATTTTGTAAATGGTTGCACATTGATTGAAACATATTAACAGACATGATTTTATCACAAACAGAGAACTTAATAATTAGTACAAAGAGGTGTTTTATTACCTCATTATTTTAACTAATAGTATTATCATTTGTTTCTGCATACTTACTGATCTATATGGTTTCTTATAAGAGTCTTCCATTCTGTCACGGCTGGAATTATATCTACTTGCACTACTGCTAGTATATCGGGACTCATTATTATATGAAGAGTAGCCTCCACCACGTCCCCCGCGACTCTCATATGATCCTCTATTGCTACTTCCTCGATACGACCCCCTATATCCACTCCCTCTACCACCACTGTAACTTCCTCTTCCTCCATAGCCTCTACCTCGAGACGACATCTGAATAATTAAGTTTAATTAGGTACTTAGCTGTAATATAAATTTAATGTAGTACAAGATAAAAAAAAACTGATGACAAATGCGGAAAGAATAGGCAAAGGTGTACATATGCCATCTAATGATCATGGTCACACATTAACGGCACCGCTCCAACTTTAGCTGGATTGGAGAGGTAGACTTTTAATTTAATATATTATAATATTAATATAATGTCATATGATATATTTCTCATAAAAAGGCTGTAAGGATGGCTTTGGCTTTTTGTATTGGTTCCAAAGTACAACACGCTGTGCCGTTGCTGTGTGCTATGACCCTTGCACTCGCTATGCACCAGTTCTAGTGACACGAGTTTCACTAGTGATAATACATATGAATGAATAAGAGTAATAACAATTTGTTAAATATTGTTTATGTCACAGCAAAATAACAAGAACCAAGTTCATAAATTATTTCGAAAATTAAGATTCTAACACAAGAGATAAATTGTATCATCATTGACTAGAGTAAAACAGTCAACATCAACATATCAGACAGCAGGTATTTGTTTGTATTTTTTTTTATTAAATGTAAAATTAAAGGTGATCTCTAATAGGTCGAACCGTTTTGGAATCATACTAGTGGATAGTCGTAACACGGCACAAATTGATAAATTTTGCGAAAATGTGGGCTGTAAAATAATGCAATTTATCTCTTGTTGAGAATCCTATAACAGTTTTAAATGTTGCCACGAAAATATAGAACAAGAACTGGATAAGTGGGATTATGTGTTATTATTGTTATATAATCCCACTTTTCTTGCCAGTAACAGCAGTTGCAGTTCCTAGCTTGCCACGATTAATAGGTTACAAAATTAACAGGTACATTATCATGTAGGAGTTAACAAAGTTTGCAATTAGTTTAGTGAGTATTATATTACAAATAAAAAAAAACTTGTATGATTTAGAATTATCTTTTAGGTGTTGAATGTTTGTTCTGACTGAGCTTCAATTAGATCACAGAAGAATAATTCATCATGGAAGTACCTACCTATTTGTACCACTGTTTCCTTCACTCTGCTAAATATTAAGTCTGACCATTATAATGCTTTATAAGTACCTTGTGAGTGGGAATCATTTTAGATATGCTATATGGCCATTTCGATTTTTATCAGACCATAATCTGCCCTTGATTTCATTCCTATCCTATCCCTTCAGCCAAAAGAAAAGAATGACGCGAACCGTGGCGTACCCTCTCTAACCTGGCTGGCACCCTTGGCACTTACCTAGTTTGCCGTAGCTAATAATTCGGCTCAGAGTGAAACGTGACGTGATTGACAAATATAATAATAATTAGACACAAAAACACTCATTAACTTTCATATTTAAAATATTGATAAGAATTACGATAATCCTTACATTTTATTGGAAAAAGTGTAATTACCAAAGCTTATTCCTAGCTCTACCAGCCTAAGACAAGACAAATCACCAAATATATACCTATGTGCCTGACTGTACATTACCGGCAGTTCGCTGAAATATTAGATCGATTAGTACGTAATGAATTTGAACACAAAAAAAATGGCGTCCGTCCATCCAGAAATCACACTGCATTTACAGAACTACGGATCTCGGTAACCCTACTAATAATTGGAATGGATATTGTAGCCAACAACCAATTATACCATACCATTAATTATCAGACCACTATAATACTATAAAATGTTAATGTTACTAAGAATATAAGTCCGGCGCCATTTTCGTTTCCCCGTGTAACGTAGCAGCACTGCGACAGGCACGCACATGCCGCATAACATTGCCTTATACATAATATAGGAATAGGAATATTGATTCATGACAAACATTGACTAAAATTTAATTTGATCTCACCTCAATCTATCGCAATTGCTGCCAGCAACACCTTGATACTGAAAAACGATATAATCACAAAGTAAACGACTTTCCGCAATGGTTTTCCATTGAAAGATCAACTTTGAAATAGTGACAGACAAGACAAATGTGACAACTTTGACAACCACAGAGCACGTAATAATAATGTTAGAAGCATAGACAAAAAGAAACGAAATGTCATCGCGTAGCGGGAAAATATAATCTGTGGTTCGAACAATGAAAAAAGTCAAGATGGCGGGAACTCGAAAATTATTGAGTTGAGACCAAAGACTAGCAATAGTTGAGACGGTGTATTTGGTGTTGAGGGAATTTTATTCTATTTGAAAGTCAATTTGCCTATTCATGTGTTATTGTTGTTGTTTTTCTTTCCAATTAATAGTTATGGTTTAGCTAGTTTTCAATTTGTAATTTGATTTCGATGTTAACAATATAAGGTGAATTCATGAATTGTAATGGTGGTACTCTTTATTTCTCCTGCCTCCTGAGTTTCTAAAATCCAATGTGGTATAAAACAAATAAGTTACTAATATCAAAGAGTAAGGTGAACTCTATGACAGTTTTTAAGTTTCCTAATAATAATATCACTGAAGAAAAAAAAGTCAGTGAAGAATATCTATGAGTAAAGATATTGAGAATAAAAATTAAGTAACTACATAAATATTTACAACTTAAAATACAACTACAACTCAACAATTAAATAAAATGAATTTAGGCGTCAAAGTATTAGTCCGCATCACTATCACAGGGGAACGTTCCCAGGAGACTGGCAGCATTGCCACGTTGCATGGCAATGCTTATTTTCTGTCCGAAGAAATAGCCAGCCCTCTGATCACGTGTAGAGTCGATTAGCCCACGGGCGATATTTTTAATAACAGAGTGTGCACTGGGACCCCATGGCCCAAGTGTTTCGACCCCAAACGGCTCAAAACAGTAGTTACCCACTAGATTTGAATATTTACGTCGTTTGAGGGCCTCTGCCGCGGAAGCGGCTGCACTAACGCATGCAGCGGTACTTAAAAGATGTGATGGCGCAAGGGTGTCTACACACGTCGCGTCTCACATCAAAGGCCTACCCATTTTCCAAGGCAGCAACGACATACCATCTGGTCTTTTGCCGTCATCACGTACCAAAGCATTAGGTTCGGAAAGAATTTTCCTGATTAATTCAGAGGTACTGTGGACCGATGACAGAAAAGCTGGTAAACTAATACTAATTAGAAAGACTTGCGGGGTGCGGGCCAGGCTAGTGCGTATGCGCGAGTGTGTGTGTGCGCCTCCCCCCGGCCCCTCGGACCGGTAACGTAAACATAGTATAAAGAACATTCTTTATACTATGACGTAAAAGTGTAGCGAGATGCACGATGAATTAGAACAGAAACGAGTGCGCGAAATTTTTCAAACAGACCTTTAGTAATTTGGATATTATGAAAAAACTATTGAATGGATCTGTTTAAAATAAAATTATTTACATTATTGAACAAATTATCTAGGGTTGTATGGTAACTATTTTGCAATTTTCCTTCTTCATAAGTTATTTATTTCCCCCCAAAGATACGTTAAAATTAGTGTTGAAATGAGGAAGTTTAGACGCTCATAACTTTAAATTATTAGTTAACTTCTAATTCTAATTCTAATCTCCAAGATTGTTTAAGAGTACTGGGTACTTTTAACCTTTTAAACGCCACGGTCGGCCAAGGGCGTAGCCAGGATTTTTTACACAGGGCTAGGCAGGTTGAGAAAATCCTAGACTGAATCGATTTTTTATACATCCTTACTAATATTATAAATCTGAAAGTGAGTTTGTTTGTTTGTTCCACCTTCACGCCGTAAATACTAAACCGATTGCTTTGAATTTTTGCAGACGTAAAGTTAGAAGTCTGGATTAAATAATAGGGTACTTTTTATCCTGGAAAAATTTGATGTAACCATATATATTATATTTGTATTGGTATAGATGGCGCTGTGCGTATTGCTATATGTCACATAGGCTACTTTTTATCCTTTTGTGACGCGAGCGTAGCCGCGGGTAAAAACTAGTTAAGTATAAATGCGAAAGTTTATAAGTGTATGTGGATGGATGAATGTTTGCCTCTTTCTCGCAAAAGCTATTGAACAGATTACGATGAAATTTGGTATGTAGGTAGCTGAAGACCCAGAATAACATATACATTACATACATAGGGGTATAGCAGGTTTAGTTTAGGGTAAGTGTAGGATTGATTACTGGGCAGGACGACGTCCACCGGGTCAGCTAGTGTAACAATAAAATTACTAATTTTAACCAGAAACAGAATAGCTTTAATTACTTAAACATTAACCTGCGTGGTTGTTCACAAAATCTATTTATAACTTTTTTAATAACTTCGTCTTTATTTTCTTGTACTAGCAAAAGTATTATACTATGTATAAAAAATAAGAATCTAAGAATGATTGTGAATAAAATTGTGGAATGTTGATCACCATTTTAGCAATTTCCTCCTGTCTGTGTTTTTCCTTGTCTTTTTTTAGATCACCTCTTTCCAAACGTTTTTTCTTTGGTGTACTAGCACCAGAGCACCCAGGACCACCATCACAATAGGGTATTACAGTCTAATTCAAAAAGTGTTTTAATTTAATCTGTTATTGATAAAATACCACAAAAAAATATAAATAATTTTTTTTTATTCCAATTATTTCATAAAAACGTGTTTTAATTTTACATTTCAAATTTGAACGCGAAAACGCCAATTCTCAGGCCGCCATGTCTGTGACGTCACGGGCATTGTAAACATTACGCTTCGCTGAAAGAAATAAACATATTTTCGAAATAAATAATGAGTTCTAGTGGCTATAGTCCTTATCATTGGTGTCTTGTGTCTGAATGTAAGAATACAAGTGCCAACAGATTTAAAAATGAGAAATACGTGGTTGAAATTAGCACGAAGAGATCCAAAGTTATTGTCCACAAAAACGAAATACTATTTTTGTGAGGATCATTTCGATGTAAGTATGCAGTTTAATAGCTCATATAAACATGTGAAAATAAATTTTTGTCATTACAAAACTAATATTTTATAGGTTATGTTTTATAGTGTTTCATGTAATTTATTTCATGTTGTAGCTGGAAAATGACAT